ATGGACCAATGCCTCATTATTATCTTGACAACTTTGTTTCGCGGAAACTGGAGTTGTGGGAGTCAGCTTTTCAGTGTACGCAAGGTCAGGTGGCTTGTTAAACTCTTTGGGGCAGAATAAATTTGGCTGCAGACTAAATTTTGGGAAGGACATGGAATATCTCAGATAGTTGTGGTCAGCAGACTGAGGATTACCATGGACAAAGTGGGAGTTTAATTGGAATTACTTGAAAATGGATTGTACACAGCTACTGCATGGTGTGTCCTGAAGTAGAACTCCAAGTAACCAAAACATGTACGTAAATTAAAACAATGTAAATTGCTGGAAATGACAGATCATTATCAATGCAATTTCAAGATGATGTGCAAGTCAACAGGAACAAATGATTTTGCTAAAGTGCCCAATGACCATTTTCCCCTTTGATTGGAAAGCATCTTCGATTGAAAGAACAACAAAAGCTCTGTCATAAAATGATAGGAGAAAACATGTTAGGTTTCTTTTTTTAATTAACTATAATATAATCTTGCATATTTCCAATACAACTTTCAGAAATGGGAAGTTACTTGCTGACCCTATCCGGGACTACACAACTCAATTTATTCATTATCTGATTAAATGGGTCAAGCGATTAAAATGATGCCAATTTTCCATAATTCAGCCTGCATCCTGCATGCAGTATGACTGCATGACACTTACATGTATTTGCGTGTTAACAAGGTCAAGCTTCATTACATTGCATAATCCGCGGCTGTCATGCGCAACCACAATTTTCCCTGCACTAATCCGTCAAAATCTTTCAGCATCACTTTTCCTTTTCACAACCTTGACAAAAAAAATATGGCCTTATGACTATCAAAAAAGAGCAATGGTAGTTAATATTGGAAGCTTTCTGGAATGGAAATGTATATTCACCTCCAGGCTACAAGCCCGATGGAGGTGGGCAGAACAATCAACTTCACAAAGTAATGGTTGTGTCCAGGGTTAAGGCGCTGCCCAGACAAACAGAATATACCGGGAAATCTAACTATCCTTTGATCGGGCCAGTTTTTTAGTCACGCAAACCTCAGGCTCCATTTGTTTAGCACTCAGCTTGTTTATGCACTCACTCGACTGCGACTTTTACAGAGTTTTTAATACCGCAAACCGCACGTAGGCCCAGTGGTTCAGAAAAAGGGTAAGTTTTTGGACTTAAAGCGAATGTACTTCAAGAAGATGGCAAAACAGGGCGACATAAAAAAATGCACGTAAATTACTGTATCCATTGACATCAGGGTAAAAATGACTCGATTTTGTAAAAAATTCCAAGTCTTTGCGCAAGACAAAACTAATCACAGTAGAAAATTCTGATTTCCGAGGACAGTTTTACAAAATGATTTTTTCTAAATTAATTGTTAATAATTAATAAATGATTTTTGCAAAATGATACATAAAACCATGTTTGGCATCTTGTAAAGAGATTGTTTCGTATCGATTGTCAAATTTCACACTTCGTTAAGATCAATACATAAAATTGTATCAGTTTGAAGAATACATGAAGTATTCCTGGTACACGCACTTTCCACAAATGACTGACATGCCAAGAATTGTTTAATATGCATTAATTTTCTTGGTGAATACTTTGAAAGGTCAACTGACTACCTGCACAGGTAGGCCCTACTCCGTCAACAGTGGGAAAAAAAGAAAGCTAACTGAAGGATTTTTTGGTTGCTGCATATATCTTCATTGCCTGCGTTGCACAATTACATTGGGCTGGGTGCAATATTTTACAGACATTACAGTTGACTATTTTAACCCCGGCTTCTCAATCTCTGTGCAAGAACTGAAGATGGCGCTAGCTTCAATCTCTTCATCTGCCCAAGGAGTCCTAGAAACAGTTGGCGGATCTTGTGCATTTCAACCCCCAAACAGTATGTACTTTTTCTCACTGAAATCTTTTTTTCTGGAGTTCCGAATATTGGACTGAATGATGTTGCGTTTGGCTGGGTTGGGCTTGTTTTATCGGTCATGATTAAACACTACCGGCATAATTGATGATAAAAATAAAGTTTTTTTACGAGAACTGTGTATGTAGGCTTATCTCAGTTTGTTACACCTCTATTTGACAGCTGAACGTCACTTAGAATTTTGAAAATGACATGAAATTTATCGATTTGAATTTTTTTATTCCTCCCTTTTTTAAATCCTCCAAACATCTTCTTCAATCCATCCTCAAGTGTCCCATTTTTGTGATGGATTTGATTGAAAGAATAGACAGTCAAACTTTGGCATCTACTGTAATTGGTACAAAATGGATTTCAAGGATTTCAACTAAATGCACTTACTCTTACATCAAATTGAAATGCAATTTGAATTATGCTTTTTTATTTACTGCTTACTGCTAAGGCCAAAATCAGAAAAAAAAATTGACAGGGGTCTGGATTAATATTTTACAATTTATAATTTCCACACCCCCTAATTATGACTAGTCTCCTGTCCCCAAAAGAGGGAGTTTGCCTATTTGACAGCTTTAGTTCAGGAAATTTCCCTTTAACAGGAAAGCTTCCCTTAACAGGATCACCACCGGGAAGGTAGCTGTCATGATCCCATGTTAGTGAATGCAGAAGGGGGAGGGAGAGCAGAATTTAGATGGTGCGTGCTAGTGATGGAAGGGGTGGGAAAGAGAGGAAGCAGGGAGGAGGAAAGGTAGATATGAAACAGTGCGTGCAAGTGACAAAAGAAAAGATGAGGGGAGGAGAGAAACAGGATGGAGGAAAGGCAAACGAAGAACGGTGCGTGCGAGTGACGATAGACAGGGGATGAGGGAGGGAACAGAGGGTAGGGAAAAATAGGGGAGGACTTAGGGTGGCGGTAGGTAGAGGCGGGAGGAAGGGCGGAGGTATGGGGAGGGAATGTACGGTGATGAGCCAGTCAGGAATCACCAGGGGAAGTAAGGGAAAGTCTTGTCTCATCTGTGGCTGCAGTGCAATGACTAGCTCCAGCGTTTCACAGGTGAGAGGCAACTCAGCAAATTGAAGGTCCATATACTCAAGCAGTTGGTTGCTACCAAAAAGTCACTGTATGCCTACCAACAGTCAGTTGGCTTGTGGTATAAAACAAGAGTACACAATGAATAGCCATTTTCCCCTACCTTTTGGTGGGTGGGGTTTTGGGTGGGAAACGGCAAAGTAAGCACCAAAAAAACAGAGTCATTTATCAAGACTTCTTGCAGTAAGCTAAAAAAAAATAAAGTTCAAATTATCTGAAAACCACAACATTCGAGGCAAACTCCCTCTTTTGGGGACAGGAGACTAGTCATAATTATTTCCACACCCCCTAATTATGACTAGTCTCCTGTCCCCAAAAGAGAGAGTTTGCTTCGAATGTTGTGGTTTTCAGATAATTTGAACTTTATTTTTTTTAGCTTACTGCAAGAAGTCTTGATAAATGACTCTGTTTTTTGTGCTTACTTTGCCGTTTCCCACCCAAAACCCCACCCACCAAAAGGTAGGGGAAAATGGCTATTCATTGTGTACTCTTGTTTTATACCAACTGCTTGAGTAGATGGACCTTCAATTTGCTGAGTTGCATCTCACCTGTGAAACGCTGGAGCTAGTCATTGCACTGCAGCCACAGTTGAGACAAGACTATCCCTTACTCCTCCCTGGTGATTCCTGACTGGCTCATCACCGTACATTCCCTCCCCATACCTCCGCCCTTCCTTCCCCCTCTACCTACCGCCACCCCTAGTCCCCTATTTTTCCCTACCCTCCATCCCCACCCTCATCCCCTGTCTATCGTCACTCGCACGCACCGTTCTTCGTCTGCCTTTCCTCCATCCTGTTTCCCTCCTCTCCACCCCTCATCTTTGCTTTTGTCACTTGCACGCACTGTTTCATATCTACCTTTCCTCCTCCCTGCTTCCTCTCTTTCCCACCCCTTCCATCTCTAGCACGCACCATCTAATTTCTGCTCTCCCTCCCCCTTCTGCTTTCACTAACATGGGATCATGACAGCTACCTTCCCGGTGGTGATCCTGTTTAGGGAAGCTTTCCTGTTAATGGGAAATTTCCTGAACTAAAGCTGTCTAATAGGGGATGCTAGTACACTGAATCATTTTGAACGGTTATCAACTTGAATCTCCATTAAGTCTTTATAATGGAGATCGATGGTGATAATTTCATGTTGCGTTATGCAATTTCGTATTGAAACAAAAGAAAGTTCCAAATTTGAAATACACTTGAAAAATGTTTAGCTTGCGCCATTTTACACACAAAATGTAAGGAAATTTTGTTATTGCATACTTTATTCCCAAGTTATGTCTATTTCGCCATTAATTTTGCAAAAATATAAAATGCTTCAAAGTGTCCAGCTGGTATCTGGCTGAATATTGATTTACAAGGTCCAAATGACAAGGAAATGCAAAAACATTTTGTGTGGACCTTTCTTGTCATCACTCTTCAACGATTCGGCGATTCATCATGGGCCAGGACCAGCATAGTGCTTGAAGTTGATGAGTCTGGTGAGAATGAGACGTATGGCGAGAAGTACGCACAACTTATGTCATTCAGCGTTTTCGTGTGAGTGCCAGATGGGGGGGGGGGGGGGGGGGGGGGACCTGTGCACGGAGCACATAGACTTGAATATGTATACATGTATATTTTATGAACAGTGTATGAAAACCAACAGAGTGCAAATTTTAGGGCTGTCAATTTTCGTATAATTTAGTATTTGATTATGCGAACCTGCGTTTGACCGAATATTCAATACTTTGCTCGCAGCGATCGATGTTGTGGTCTGCTGGAATGTTTTGCATTTAAGTACATGCGTTGCATTGAATAACGGTCAAGGGTTTTAGCCTGCTAAAAGGATGAGAACAATAAACCGCTGTCGACAAAAAGTTGCTGTTTCCATCAACAAAAAGCGGCATGTGATGATAAAGTGCCGCAACTTCACGATTAAAATAACGTTACAGTCCTGTACATGTACGTCCATATTAAAAAAATGTAATAATGATAACCAACCTTTGAGGAGGCACTTCTCCCGCTGACCGTCGTCTCCCCGGAGCCCGAGATTCCGGCATTACTGGTTCTTGGTGGAGGTGACCCAGGGGGCGCTTTGCCCGGCCTCTTCAGCCCGTCCAGCAGCCGCACCAGCAGTATATTAGTAGGTAGATCGGTCACCAGCCGACAGGGTACCAGCTCCCTGCATTCTGGGCACTTGAGCTCGTTGCGGGTGTTGATGATCTGCTGCAGGCAGCGCATGCAGAAGGTGTGCTGGCAGGGCAGGACCCGGCTGGTAACATCCAGAGGCTCCAGGCAGACCGAGCACTCCAGGAGATTGAAGATGGTCTGCTCATCCATGGGGGCTGCCAGGTGTCGGCTTCAAATTTAAAAAAAAACTCAATCTGCAGGCAAATAGGAACAAAAAGAGATTAAGTAACAAACTGAAAAATGTGAGAAAATTACCGAGTCTCCTTCATCAAAACTGATGGAACACATAACACAATCTATTACATGTCGGAAATTGGATCATGGAAATTGGTCACAATACAGCGAGTAGTACAGAAATCATTACAGGCAGGGACCCTGCAGTGCAAAGTTATATTTGGAATGGTTGCAACGTACCTAGACAAAAAAAAGGCGAAAACAGACTGAGAATTTAAAATTCATAAACGAAAGAATGTTGCATCCTGACGCCATTTTTTTTTCATCTTGTATTTTATCAGTGAAGAACATGTCATTGCAAAAATGTTGAAAAGACATGAAACTGGGACGAAGAGACCTTTCCAATTTTGTTAGAAAATACTTTGACAATGCACTAAACTCTCCATAGACATTGTACACGTTAACAACCAAAGAAGTGGCATCTGGATAGTACATTCTTTCCCTCATACATATGACGTCATTAGTCTATAGGAAATCTGCTATACAGTTGTGTACAAAATCTATGGAGAAGAATATTTCCTAACAAAATAGGAACTTTTATGTGATTCTCAGTCCCAGATTCATGTCTTTTCAACATTTTGCAATGACTGACCTTTATTGAGATGAGAAATGAAGAAAAAAGTGGAGTCAGGTTACAACATTCTTTCCAAATAAACAAACAAAATGGGGGGGGGGGCAGGGGAGGGGGAAATTAAACAAAATTTTCAAAATTCAACATGTTCAATGACAAAGATCTCCCTTGTTAATTTAAGGAGTACAGAACAGGAGGCTGTTAAGAAAAAGGCACTCTTGCTCAAACTGAATTAGGCAATATTGTATTAAAAGTGTACACAATTCAAACGTATGCCTGCGACTGCGTACGTGTGCCTTCACTTCGGCCATGTCAGCTGTTCATTATGTGCATGCATAACGAACGTTGTTGGTTGTTGACCCATGCACGATTGACCAATAACGTCAAAAAGAAACGAGAACCAAGACACGTTTCCGCGAATAAACCTTCCAAATACATTCAAATTATAGACCGCTTCATTTACATATATGTACTCACCTATTCGAACTTTGACGAAGAATACAAAGTAATATGAAATTTACACATTATCAGCGGCTGAGGTTTCACAGTCGACCCAAACCTCATGGCCGCCATCTTGCTTGTTGACCGCATCACATCCGACGTATTCGGTGCTTTCACCAAAAAACGTAGTCCTCCAAATTACAATATTTATCCAAATCGTTTCGTATTTCTTTTGATGTACACTTTTTCATGAATAAAATCCACCACTTGAGGATATTTGAATAGATCAAATGAGAAAAGTGATAATACACTTCTTTGAAATTAAATGCGGAGTACTTTTGTGTCTTGCAAAATAATGTTGGACACATGCAAAGTAATTTGACAGACGACGTGCACAAAGTCTAGGGACGTGTGTAGGAGTTGATATTTCGTGGAAATGCTGCCGCCCTCTCTAGGCTAAACCATCCACAAAATCGAGAAAAATGTACCTCAATTAAGAAATGTGTTACTTAAAGAATTTTAATTGCCATTTCTGAGTCAAATATAAAATTTAAAGTAGTAAAAACTGATTACAGAAATAATCTGATGTATTGCTTCCCCTTTTTGATTACAAGACAGCCGCTTTTGAAAATAAAGTGACAGATTCACAAGATCCATTTCTGTTTTCTATCAAGAATTGTCATCCTGACGCAATATTTATTGAATTAATCATTTCACAGAATTAAATGCCAAAACAAAAAAATATCCATGAAAATCACAACAATGTATTTAATTATGACACTGGGTGGTTTTGAATTAGTACATGCTACATTCGGGTGATCTACAATGACCCGAAATTGATGCTGAAATCAGATTTTTAAAAAATTTATAAAGAAAACATTTTTCTGTACACAACAAACTTGATCTTTTTCCAATTTCATTTCAATCCATGTTTCTTCCTATTTGGCTGAAACTCAAAAAGGCAACAAAAAAAGGAGGATGCAAGAAACTCTAGTTCTATTGGCATTCCATGGAGCCTTAAAAAAAGTACCAAAATTATGCAAGCCTTTGACCCAGTATTCAAGAGATATATACCGTTGCATTCTCTGAAACACAAAGCTATTTTTTTAATGATAAACACTGTCTTGAAATTATCATGTACGAACAAAAGACAGCAATTTTCACTGTGCTCAGTAGCCATTTTGTATTGAAACCAGTTAATTTGTCAACAAAATTCACAATTTGGAAATGCAGGCATGAAAACAAGCACACAGTTTGCAATGTTACCAGGCCCTTTTTCTTCCCCTGAAATGACTTAATCAGACATCGATTCGATTGAAAAAAAAAATGGAAAAAAGGTAAAAAAAAAAAAAAAATTGACTGGAACGTGTTGGCGACATTTGCGCCAATCAAAGGCCATACATGTACAGCAACACCACAAACTATTCATTGCATAAGCTTTTCAAACAATGGCACTCAAGTAGGAACTCGCATTTTCTTTTGCAAGATAAATTCAATTCACTGACCACTTCCCTTTCGGCACACACAAAACTTATTAAGAATATCCAGATTTTTTTTTACCGAAAAGAATGTTTTGCTCTACAGCAAGATCAACTTTTAGTTTCAGTGTGGTGTTCTGGTAATTTCAAGTCACGACATTTGAAAAAATATACGGAGGGATCACTCCTCAGACATCGAAGCCAATAAAAAAAAAAAGACGTAGAAGAGTAAGATTGCTTTCAAATACATTCTGGACAAAAGTGAAAGTGCTTAATTATTTCAATAAATAATATCAGGATTCAAACAACAAAGAAGCTTGGAATTCCATTTGATAGATACAATAATCTGGACTGGATAAGATGGTATTTCAATATTTGGAGTTTAAATTTAAAACGACTGTTTATAACAAACAGAGATAATAAACATAATTTTAACAAGAAATCCTCGCCCAGCACACTGCTTGAAATTGTGTCCAAGAAGTTCAGAAAAGCCTTGTACGATTCGTTTAATCATGGAGGGTACTCCATCAAATTTCATGAAAAGGTCATGTTGGAGAACAGTTTTCTAAAATGTCAAAATCTATGACATTTTTATTTACTAAAAAAGAATCTAAGGTTGCCCAAAATTATCAACATCTGTCCTCAAACTTTTTCAACAAACATTTCAGAATGCAAACAAAGTGGACTTAAACCAAAGAGGAAGCATTGCTGAACTGTGTCATGAACTGTGAAGGAATTTCAATCTAGCACGGAGTAATTAAACATGAATTCATCCTGGTCATTTCTGGTTAATACTTGATGCAAATTTCAGAGTGAGTGTATTATTTATTGACCCAGTAACGTCAATGAATAGGGTATAGCTGGCTTCTTATTCTGTACACAGATGCCAAAAGAAGTTCCAGTGAAGAGCCACTCTCAATTGATCGAATGCAATTTTGTACACTCTGGAACCTAGGCTTGCCTAGTTTTGTTTTCATGAGGGTTTGATCGCAGAGTTCTCTTTGAAAAAAAAATCCACTTTCAAATAAATTCATATCGGTTTCTTTCAGCCCATTATAATCGACTTGCGCACTTGATGAGCAACTGAATTACCGCCATAACTTCCGAGTGTTTTTACAAAGAGAATCCAAAATCCATTTCAATGTTGTTTACAGGGATCCTACTAAAAACAAAAACCTGGGCCACCCCTGTGGTTCCCCTACCAAGTTTCAAGTCTTTCCACATTGTCCACTATATGAGTATGGCAATTTAAAACTGGTGCATCACATTGGCGAGTCAGGTTGGCGTGGGGAGTCAGGTTGGCGTAGCGGTACTTTCCTCGCCTTCCACCGCTGTGACCCGGGTTCGAATCCCGCCTGGGCCAATATGTGGATTGAGTTTTCAGTCCCTACCTGATTCCGTGGGTTTCCCCAGAATATTCTTCTGGGCTTTTCCTCCCACCTCTAAAACTGTAACTTCTTCTCATTGTCTTCCCTCCACAGGTTTCTTCAGGCTTGCGAGCTACAGTGCCTAGGGCGCTTTTGAGGAATCCTTGGTTTCATTACCAGAAATGATTAATAATAACAGGCACTTGTCCAATAGACCGATCAATTAATGGTAGAGTATATCATTTGCAGCTATCCAAAAAGTAACTGACCAAATTATTGTTAAAAAGTTTACTTGGCTTTAAGGTAGTAATGGCACTAAACTCCCTGTGAAATTATTCCTTCTGGCATGCTGTCATTTTAAAGAAAACAATGAAAGGAGGCCATTTCCAAACATGAGTAAAGTGACGTATACTTGGAAAGTTCCATTAGTACTTCGTTGTTAATTCGGCGCATCCATGAATGGGTGTGCACAAGCGTTGACACGCCGCACACGCACGAAGGCCCTCTATAATTCGTCGGTTCAGTGCGTGACATCGCATAGCTGCAATCAGCTGAATGAGAATGTGTCCCGGATGCTGATCTCGGGCGCAATTCAAAACATGACATTGGCAACTTTTGATTTGAAATCGAGATCCTAGAATATTGTTTTCTCGGAATATACAGTATTCACAGAGCTAAACCTTCATCAGGTTCGTTGTTAAGCACCTGTCTTTAGATTTTGAGCACTTTTGTTACTTCGAACAAACAAAATGCACAAATGACAAATGATTTACCCTTTCCATTACTGGATCAGTCAAAAAAGACAAGGTCAGGCTTGATAGTGTAAAAAAAATAGAAAACATAACACTTGTAATTTACAACAGAAATCTGGGGGCAATTTCACGGAGCTCGTTTATAGCAAGCAGAAAATCTGTGCTAAAAGTAGAACAAAATTCTGAAAATTGAAAACCCTCTTTCAATGTCTCAAGCAAACCCTGCGAGCAAGATTCTTTTTTCTGTGTAAACTGCTTAGGGTTCCATGAAATGGCCAAAAGTTCTTCTTGCAGAAAAAAAAACATGTGCTTACAAGTGCCACAAAATCTAATTGAAGTTTATGGCACTGTATGAAGCTTCAAAGAGCTTCTTAGTACAGAAGTTTGCTCAGCTCAGAAAAAAAAAGTGCTTAGCAAAAACAGGTTACCAGCCAAAAACGTCATGCAATGCAGACTGGTTGTGACTGTTTGGAACTGGTTTTGACTGGTTGTAACTGGTTCTCAGCTGATTTCTGCTAAGCATATAAACTTGCTAAGCACTATTTTCTGCTGTTAGACTTTGTCCAAATTACTTGGCTATGGCTTCAAATTACACACGAGTCTATGTGAAGTGGCTGCAGCCGCTACCATAGACTCGTGTGTAATTTGGATATGGGCCTTAGCAAAAACAAGTTCCCAGCCAAAACGTCATGCAATGCAGACTGGTTGTACTGGTTTTGACTGGTTGTAACTGGTTCTCAGCTGATTTCTGCTAAGCACGAGTCTATGGGAAGTGGCTGCAGCCGTTAGCATAGACTCATGTGTAATTTGGACACGGGCCTTAGAAGCCCCAAGAAACTGGATCCAGAACACCCAAGCCATCGGTTTCACGCTTCGGCCTCCACGTGGGTAGAATTGCACAGCGGCTGCTCCTTGTGCTGCGAGTTCTCCACGGGCTTCGGCGACGGCTCCCTGGCGGTCTTGCCGTCGCAGTTCTCCGTGGCTTCGATCTGCGTCTTGTCCGTGGGCGGCGCGGGGGGAGCGAAGACGGTTGCATAGGGGAAGAGTTGGTGACACTGGGCGCGGTAGGCGGCCGAGTCCGACTTGAAGAAGTCGTTGAGGAGTGTGAGAACGTAGGAGCAGTTCTGTTAAATAAAAGGGGAATTGATTCGATTCAAGGAGAGTTCATTTAAATTTTGTGACTTACAACTATTTCGGTTTCAATTCAGAGTATTTCCAATCCCTTTATAATCCATATATATGTAAACGACCAATTCTTATTAAAAATCCACCCAAAAAATGGCCTATAGTACACCACTTCTTTACAAATTTCTACCCGATGCTGGTAGCACAAATATTCCTTGACATGAAGGAAGTACTGTTAGATTAATAACAAAAATTTAGACATTTACTTGAACTTTATGATAATGAAAGGAGACTATGCAGAGTGGTTTTATGAGGAGTGTTTATTTTATTTCATTTTGTTTATTTCTTATTTCGAAGCCCATTCAGCGATGTGGGAGGAAAACCCCAGAAGAATATTCTGAGGAAAACCCACGGAATCAGGCAGGGACTGAAAACCCAATCCACATGTTGGCCCAGGCAGGATTCGAACCCGGGTCACAGCGGTGGAAGGCGAGGAAAGTACCGCTACGCCAACCTGACTGTTATATCTCACCTGCAAAGTTGTGTCTGTTAGTTCATCACCAAGGTATGTTGCTAGCGACAAAGCAGTCTCTTGGTTAGATGGGTCCAGGTGGAAAAGACATTTCGCTCCTGCATTGAAGACAAATGAGACTGGATTAATCCTCCTGCTGTTTGAACAGTCACTGACAGTAAACAAATAAATACATATTCTTCCCCTGCCATGCCTTTTACACAGGCTAGTCACCAACAGCCAGATCACATTTCAAGCAAGCACTGTGACTAGTCAAATTCAGTCAAGCGGCAAAAGTAGGAACAGCTGGCTTATCAATCACCTACAGTCAAAGCATAGCTAGATCAAGTTACATAAACAGTCATAGCCAGTCAATCCTGCGGTGTGTAGACTGGGAGTAATTCCAAACTTAAAGGGAAAATACAACATTTGCAAACATCAAAAAATAAAACTACCAAATCATTTTGTAATACCTTGCTGGACTGTTAGTGAATGACAGTGTAAAGCATCCTGTAAAATCATGGCACCTGGTATACTGTCATTTTCAAGAAAAGTGGTATTTTTGTATCAATTTCCAATGCTGATCGGCCGATCAGCGTTGGAAAAAACTGGCTTTTTTTCAAATACTGGCCCCAATTGACCATCGCACTTGTTTGCAATCGATTACACACCTATGAACGGGTACAAGCCAGCTAGACTGGTTCCCTGACCTTACAATTCCCCAATGTATGTAAACTGCTCTGTTTCTTCTTAAATGGAGTCAGGGAATCAGACTACAGGAAAATGATTGTTTTTCTTGGTTTTTATAGCATTTTTGAACCCAAAACCTCAAAAAAGTCAGTGTAACTATATTTGCTATATATTTCCAACACCCCAATTCCATCCATTTCTGAAAATTACAGCAAAAGCAAATGATGTATATTCCCTTTAAGCAAACCAGACTTTATTTTAGAGCACAGCGGTACAGTGGAGGGCTTTCTGGAGAGAAATTTGTGGATGCTTGTGACCTACCGATTGTGCGATGTTCCAGTGAGTGTTGGTGGGCATCGATGAAGTCTTGGTTGAAGGCCTTCAGTTGCTTGCCTCCTAGTAATCGTTCCAGCTCCCCTGATAACACCGTCTGAACGGGCTCTGCTAAATCTCCTCTCTCATTGACTAGAAAAAAAATCATACGATACACGATGAATAGAACGGAAATGAACTACACGTATCGTGAAAAACAAATAAACTTCAAATGTAACACTTCACACGAGAATGCTGATATATGGCATCACAATATGAAGATGCTTTACAAATGATCAACATTATTATTAATAAAATCCCTCCTATTGTTTGATCAGTAACAGACGGTCACAAATTCTTTCACTTTGCCTGCCATGCATTTGTATACAGACTAGCAAAAAACAGTCCCATCACATTCGTGTAAACACTGTGACTAGTCAAATTCCATCAACAGACAAAAAGAGGTAACTGGTAGTTACAGCTGGCATGACAATCACCTCCAGTCAAAGCATGGCTATATCAAATTAACAAGGGGATTCTTAACTGTTTAAAACAGTCACCTGATTGATTTTGAGAGAGGGAGGGTTTTTAGTATCTTGTCTTATAGTTAAAAACCTTTCGTTTGGTTAACAGCTACCTACTATGGCCTTGATGCCTACCTTTGATAGCTAGCTTGACTAGACATTCATGTAGTGCAGCGTTGGATGCGTCTACAACATGCCCTCGCTTGACTGCTTGCAACATTAATAACAGCTTGTCTGCAAATTCAAGAAATAAACACCAACAGGCGTAAATACTTCTGGCGAATGTTTCCTGTGCTTTTATGGGGTATTAAAGATATGTTTAGAAATAAACTGAAGTGTTGACCTAGTATTACCACAATGCTCAGTGGGGAGAGTGGCCTAGTGGTTAGGGTTCGTGACACATGATCAGAGGGTCAGGGGTTCGAATCCAGATACTGGTCGCATGTTGCGTCTTGGGCAAGCCACTTCATCCCAACTTGCCTCTCTCCACCCAGGAGTATTAATGGGTACCAGCATTAGCTCGGGAGTAACCTGCGACAAGCATTTCAAGCATTGCAGTCGTTTCATACTAACTGAAACCGGAGATAAATGCCAGCCTGATGGGCCACATTGGCTCGTGACAGACTCTGCAGTGCTCTGCAGTCTTGAAAAACTCACAATCAACATAATAGATAGAATGTACCAGTACTTCACTGAACTAATCGCCCAAAGCTTTGCCATTCCACACAAAATCAAGGCTCTCCACAACAAACGTTTCAGACATTCCCATTCAAATCATTTCTTGATCCTTCACCTTCTTTGAATTTTTGGACATTTTCATGAAAACACTTCACAGAGGGAAAACAAATTCTGACTCACCTTTTCTTAAATAGATTTCAAAAGCTAGAAGGTGCGTTTGTATTCTGCTCTTGGCTAGTGTTTGTAGAGGCTTCAGGAAGTAGACGGCTTGATCTAGTGGATTGTCCCCCTGGAAAAAAAAAAACAGATATGAAGATGAAATACGTCAAAGATGATTATTTCAAGACTGCGGTGTTTGACTCATGTACGATGGTACGTTTGTTCGAACCCTGCCAGGAACATGATGTTTGTGCCCTTGGGCAAGACACTTAAATACAATTGCCTCTCTCCACCCAGGAATATGAATGGGTACCTGTAAGGGTAGAGGACCGAATGCGCACTGATAACAGTTGCCACGTGGTCTGATGGCCTGATCAATTTAGTCATATATTTGAACATTCATTAGAGCCTTACCCTGGCCAGCTTGTCCGGCACTAGCTCCTCCTCCTTAGGTCCGTCAGCATCTGGGTCGTGCTTGTTCTTGCCTTGCGTCTTGGCGTCCCCGCCCACTTTGCCCTTAGTCTCCTCTTCCTTCTGCTGGGCCTTCTTCTGGGCGCGGCGCTGCTTGCTGCGGATCTTCTTGAGCTCCTTGGGGCTCAGGTTCTCCGTGTCCAGGGATTCCTCCTTGTCCACGTCCTCCAGGGGCTTGTCGTGGAGGTGGATGTAGACCTGACCATCAACAAAAATAAAAAGAATTTCTCCAAAAATGAACTCAATTTGATACCGCTATCTGTTACTGTCAGTTTGTCACAATCACAGTGTAAAGATATGGAGTTTCAGCCCGCACTGCTCCAGGATGTCACTGGCTCTGCCTCAACATATTGACAGTGATTGCTGGAGGATTTTGCAGGATTGAGGCAGCGGTCATCCCTACCAGGGACCCCATTCAAGAAACAACGGATGATTTTGGGAGATTGAGGGTGTATGCAATTTAAACATGGGAGGCATTTGCAGGATTTTGCAGGATTGAGTTTAATAGCCTAGGAAGTTAGGGTTAAAGCAAAGTTACTAAGATAAACATCTCTGGTTCTTCTAAGAACGATGTTTCTCTTGCATATTCACTTCTCATACTACCATGCAAGCCTCTGCTTGCACTAAAGGTACACTGTTAAGTCTCCCTACCTCTATTGCAATTTTGGCGGCGTTGAAGTAGAAGATGTGAGTCCTGATGACATCCTCCAACCTGAGAAGATTGACGTACGCCCGCAGGGTCATCTTACGCATGCAGTAGGTGTGGAAGTCAAACTGGTCTTCTATAATCTCTGTAAAATGCTGACAACCGAAAAAAGAAAGAAAAAAAAATCCCAAAACTGACTTAACAACAAGCAGCACACAAGATAAACTCTTGATCTTTCTAATTTTTTTGAATAAAGCAAGACATTTGAGAATGCAAACCTCACTAATCAAGGACTCTAAATCGAGTGATTTACCAAAAACAAAAGGATGAGCTCAGCATGCCTTGAAGTGTGTAGCTGCTCATCCTTGCAGCAAACTATGCAGTAAACATGGGGGCTTTCTTCAAACGAATACTGAAGAGTTTCTTGGAAGGCGGACAATTCGGGCGATTCACAATGCAGTGCGCCACCTAGAGTTTACGGTCGACAAAACATGGCCCATTTGAATGAGTGTCAGTAGACAACTTGAGCTAATTCGTTATAGATTGGGGCATATGCGTTCTGACTACAAAAAAAACCACCACATTGATAACAAGAAAAGAAAGGGGTAAACAGATCCTCGAATCATACACTTACCAAACTACTGACCGGAAAAACAAACACTTTCAAATGTCCCGCGCTGCAAATTTGTCGACCATCTCCCACAATACACTGGGAAAATTGAACTCTCTGTGGCAAACTCTTGGTGGCAAACTGCATTGTGAATCGCCCGAATTTGTTTGAAAGGTGTCAAATTTTAAAACCACTATTGAATTCATCGCTAGGAAATTGGCTACAAATTGGTTTCTGTAAATTATGAGCTCAGGAAACACTCCTTACCCTGTCCACCTCGTGGCATTTCTTGAGCGCCTCGCCGTATTTGGCCTGTCGTTGGAAGCTGAGGGCGCACTCCGTCTGGAACCACATGCACTGCATCTCGTTAAGGTTCTCCATCGCGGCCACGCCCTCCTGCAGGGAACAGAAAGTACAAGAAGTGGGTGAGGGGAAAATTCCAGCGTTATGACATCTTAACCATGATATCTAATTAATGATTCAGAGAAATGATCCAAAACTCCCAGGCTGTAATCTTGGCCATTACTAGATGATGGATGTATAAGATTTGGAAAAAAAATACATTTTTAGGTTTATTCATTGAGCTCTTAAAAGCTGTGTATCGGACAATACATAGTGCTGGAATTGCCGATCGGGTGATTCTTGGAGTGATACAGTTTCTATGGCTTTCGAAAAAATGAGCAACAGGACTCGAAAAGCAAGCTGATTGGCAAACAATTCTAGATGGGAAAGTATCATGTTTAATAGAGTGATGACACTACGTAGTGACCTTCTTTTAGCAATTCTCTAAGGCATGCTATTTAAGGTTCCTTATTATCAGGAAAACTCTAAATTGATTCGAAACTCCAGGATGGAATCAGAATGAATTAAAAAATGTTGGGGAAGCCTTTACCGCATTTTCTACTTGCTTACCCTAGTAAACTTGGCACACATTTCCTCTGCCTGCTTGACCTGGTTTGCCCTGAGCATGTACTTTGCACATTTACAGTTGATGAACCTGTCTGCCGTGTCCAGCGACTGTGCCTCATCCAGGCACTCCACGGCCTTCTTGACATCACCCGCATGCTGCAAGGAAAAAACCAAGCCTCTCATTAGTCTAGATGCATGTGCATCCAAGGTTCTTAAATCCAGGCCCTTTTTTGTTCACAGACGCACTTCGAGAAAGTACTAAAACCGCGAGCCTTAAACAACTGTAACCCTGCCAGACGCAACACAGTGCATGTGGTGGAAAAGAACTGGTGCACTTTGATGCATTCAGCTACCAACACCAGTGCATGAATGGCCAGCTCTGAAACAATGAAAGCTAAGTCCCACTGAACAATGCCACAGTTGCATCCTGCTGCCTGCGGTGACCACGGACTCTGAGGCAGTGTTGACTTGAGACTTTTCCCCTGATGCATCTTGCTACATTTGACAGGCTTGTCACGTAGTCAAGTGTTGCATGCTGCTACTTTTGGCAGGGTTCTAGCAAACATATCCTGGAGGGTTAGGGTTAAAGCTCTCTTTTGTATTGGGGATTAAAGCAAAGGTCTTAATTGTCACACAATGGATTGGCACTGAGCGAAAAATGAGACCCGACAATATGCAACTTTTTTTGTGTGTATGAAGGAAAAATGTGATGACATTTTCTGAATATTCCAATTATACCTTGAATATCTTTGCCTTGATAATGAAGAGTTCAATGAGTGTTGGCGTGTGCTCCACGGCCTTGTTGACAAACTCCATGGCCTTCTCTACGTTTCTCAGCTGATCGTAGTGCTGGGCCAGGAAGTATAACGTCCACAGTAGGACAGTCGGTGCCTCGGGCTCGCTGTCTGTGTCGTCTAAAACAAACAATATCGAAACCACACGGGTTGTGAAACTGAAAACATGCTTGAACTTGATGCTATAAAACTAATCAGGTATGTAACTGATCTTATGAAAATATACAGTGTCTAATCAAACAGAACCAGCAACATATTTTGTCTCAGAAAACAAGTAGCTTATTTACTGTGCTATAACCCCAACTCCCTAGGCTTTTTTTGCTAGGATGTAGCCTCAATCCTGCAAAATTCTCCAATTGGCCTCATGGAAAAATATCATATAGCCTCAATCCTGCAAATTCCTCCATTATTTCTTGAATATGGTCCGTGGAGGGGTGACCACTGCCTGAATCCTGCAAAATCCTGCGGCAGTGACTGTCAGTATGTTGAGGCTTGGCCAGTGACATCCTGGAGCAGTACAGAGGATTTCAAGCATAATCCTGGCATATATTTATACATGGCTGAGTAAAAACAACACAAGGTCCAGCCCAAGACCTTGACAAAGTGCACCAGTAACGCACTTTTGCCATGTAACCTCAATCCTCCAAATTCCTCCACTTTGGCAAAGAGGATTTTGAAGGATTCAGGTCGGTTAGGGTTTATGTGGGAATATGATGTACCATTGTCATTTCGACCCCAATTATCTTTGAATTTCAAAAATAGTGCGAGTATACAGAAATTCCATTGAGGTATTTTAACAATAAGAATTGTTTACCTTTACTGAACTTGGAGTCGGTCTCTAAGCAGTCCAGGTAGCCTAATACAATTCTCTGGATGACTTCAACCTTCCAGGGTTCTCTGTACAGACCCTTGACGCTCACGAATGCCGTGGGCACCCCTTTCCTGAGCATCCGCCGGAGGTAGTCGTCCAAAAGCTTCTCAAATCTTTCCCCTTCAAAAGGAATAGTGTTGCAGTTGTAATTGACCCTAACTCCACTCAAACAGTTTTGCTAGGACCATGCTGAAGTAAAAAATCACGGCCCTTCGTAGCTACAATTTTTATAAACTACTGTACAATCAGAGCTATTTCTGTAGCTTGTTTCTGTAGCTTGTGAGAAAACTTCAGAAGCTCGCTTGACTTGAAAGCGAGACACCACCACGTAAGACACCATCATGTAAACAGTGATTATGAAATTATTCGTGTGAAGGTGAATTTTTTTTAATAAACTGGGAGAAATATTTTACACATTCATGACGCAAAATTCAATTCCATTCAAAAGTCCATCAAAATGACATAAAAGTGTCTTGAGGGACATTAACAGATAATGAACACATTAAAAATGGCCCCAAAAGCACGGAAGAATTATATATAGTCTGAATTCTCAATTTATAAAATCATTAGACAGGTCACTTCGGTTGTACGGCTTTTTAAGTTGAGATGATGCTTACCCGTTGTGAAGTTCAGAGGCTTCCTTCTTGGTACCGCGGCCCTTGGGAATTTGTCAGCGACCCGTGTGTATATCTGTAGCCTTTCCACCTCCTCCAATGGGCTCTTGCTTTTCTCTAACCCTTCATAGAAGCTCCAGCTCTCCGGGTTTCGATTCAGCAGCTCTTCGTAGATGGTGACTGCTTCGGAGGCCCTGCCGAGTTTCAGCAACAGCTCCGCTGGAAGGGAGACATGATAAATGACGAGTTCCAAAAATGAAATAAAAGATCACGGTGTATGGAATCATGTTTCAAGCACAAACACTCACTGTGTTTCTTATCCCCATCCTATGGATTTCCAAACTGTAGGTTTCTAGATGCCAACTCACAACACAAAGACAAAACACGTGCCAAGACATTTACGCATTCTCACCTCTAGTTTCCAATATGGAAATTTGGTCGCAGATTTGGATCTCATATTTGTCGAGATGCTGAAGTGCCTTCTCATGATCCCCCGACTCCCTGTAGACCTGGTTCTGATACAGCAGGAACTCGCTGTGCTCGTAATCATAGGGCTTGACCTGCTGAAAAGAACCATGAAACAGAGATGCAGTTAAGTCTTCACAAGTTCACAAGTGGGTCATTCTATAAATATGGGTCCATTTTGTTCCCCTTGTCCCGTTACACCTGGCATCGATGATTCTGTAATTCTGATGCACTCTTTAATGCAGTCGTCCTCCAAGAGTGATTATGAGTAGCAATCTACCTACCTAACAAATAAAAACTATTTGAAGTCGTTCTTAGCGATACTTGCACTGCAAGTTTAAAATTACCAAAGTAACAGGGACAAGACAAATGTCACACTTTGGACTCTCAAACTTATAGAATGACACTGTAGTCAATTGACAAGTGGAGGTCACCACAGCTACCTTCGAAAGATTGTCTGCATCTTCCTGGTATAGATGAATTCGGTAAACAAAATCAAAAGCCATTTTTAAGGTGGAACCCCTTCCACGCGCATGCCACATGCGTTCTTGACGATAAGGCACGCTTGCATTTTTGTAAACCTATTGGTCGAAGGAGCCCGGAGTGCTTGTGTACCACATGAACGCGAGCCTGGTTCCACTTTAAATATGGCTTTTAATTTTGTTTGCCGAATCAGCCTATACTCTCATTTGGCAAACGTTGCTTCATTTATTAGTAACAAGCCAAATCCGGTCCAGTCCGGTCCAGTTCAGGCAAATCCGGTGCAGTAGCAAATCATGTCTCTGAGTCTACGTTTGCATCATAAACTCTGTTGGCAACTAGCTACACTACAAGAATCTGATCACAAACAGTTGATCCTAACATTGCCGTCTTACCTGCTGTGTGTTCCTGAATTCTTCCAGTATCCTCAGAGCCATGTCAAACTCCTTGAGCAGGTGATAAGACATGGCGTAGCCGATCCAAGAGGCTCGCTGGGCTGGTCGCAAGAGTAGGAGCTGATACCGTGTGTCCTGCACAGAAAAGACAAGAGTGTGCATAAGGCATTGTGCAGAACATGAATTCAGGCAGTGAGCTAATATCGGTATGGAATCTGATCCATCATAGACATACAGGGCCTACTTTTGCATCTTGCTGTACGGCATAAAAGCACTCACTGGTAAGAATTATCGACAGGTTCGAGAGAACTACAAATATATCTGTTTATGGGCATGTGTACTTCGCTTAGTTAAGGATTTTGTGCTCACAAAATTAAGAAGAACAAGGTACTCACAAAAAAAAAAGACAAAATGTGATATCAATTGCCTTACATTCTGGATAGTTACCCGTTTCTGCTAAGCAAGTATTATCCTATGCTTAACAGATTTCTGACCTCAGCAACTACTCCTGATCTTATAGTGAGAATATACAGGCAATGGCCTCCGAGCTACGAGGCTTATAACAGATTTGTAAGCCCTGAAATTTTCAATCAGTAGGCACTTGAAAAAATCATGAACTTCAAGATATACAGCAGATAACACAGAGAACGACTTGCCTACTGCAGACAGTCAGTACTTTAATTAAAAAACTTACGTGTAGGAAACTGCTATGCAATTCTTTGAAAAAAAAATATTTCTGTATTGAAGACTGAGAAATTCTGTACTGCAAAAGGTTAACATCGCTAAGAATGTGCAAATAAAGGGAAATTGCTCACTGATTTCAAATTAGATATATGAGTCATTACCACACGGGAAACTCAGGTAACTTTCAGTGGCTTATGGCAACTGGATGCCATTTCCTTTGATTGTTCAGGCCAGGATTGTTCCGCACCGTTTCTTCAGTTCATGCTTTTGTGCCAACGCCAACTTAACGCACTAACGCAGTAGCATATTCTTTGTATTTAAAGATAATGGATTATACAATTTTATTTTCTCTGAGAATTGCAACAAGGACATTTCATAATATTTTTTACTTACAATCAAGTGGGCTATCTCATAATATTTTGGCAGTTACATTTTTTAGTCTTTACATATGATCCTATATGCCTTTAACTATTACTGAGGCATCAGGTCCCATGTACAGTATTAGAGGCTTTGCTACACAGCACTGTATTCATTCAAATACTGTAAAATCTAGGGCTTGATTTGGATGGATTTGGGTTTACTTTGGGCTGAAGAATAATTTCATAATTTTTTTATGAAGATTTTGTACTTACCCGATAACCTTCCAGGTCTCGCATCTGGATCTGTAGGAGTGATAAATCCCGCAGGATCTGCAGATTGTCCTGATGGATTGAATAAGAAACACCGGTCTCAATAATCACAAGGATAACTCATCCAAAGACAAAAATCGGATCAATTTACAACGTGTTGTGATGTAAGACTGAGATGAAACACTGAAAGTTTTTCCTGTTGTTATAAATTTTTGAAATTACTTTGATAACACTTTAAGCCTGCTCTACTTTTGGATAGGTCTAATGTGCATCAACATGAATGCAAAAACTGGAGTGAAAACATGGATCTCTTTATAACCAATCTCTTCTCTCTTTTGAAGTTCAAAAGATAGAGAAAAAGGTTACTACTTAATTAATTTTGGAATGAAAATAGTAAGTAAATTTTACTTAAATCTCCAAATACTCTTTGGATTCATTCCAATTATAGCCAAGAGTGATTTTTTGGTTGTCTCCTTGAAGATAAAATGAAAATTCTTCATAGTTTTTTGTTTCAAATCCAATGTCTTTGTGTATTTCTCTCTTTTTTATGCTAGTATAAATATTCCCAAGCCTAAAATGGCAATTGACTGACCTTGTCCCATTTGAGAGCGTTCCTGTAGCACTTGATGGCTTCATCATACTTTCTATCCGACCGCTGGAGCAGTCCGTACACATGCCAGCCTGCAGATTCTTGGCATTAAGGAAAATACTACAACAACCATGACATCCTTCAATAACAAGTTTTAAAACAGATGAATTTTTATATTGTGCAGTGAGATCCTGTTCAATTAGTGAGATGTCAACAAAAAAATACCCACTTCTTTCGTCATAAATTTTATAGGTAAAACACCTTTCGTGAAAACCTAAGGAATTCTAGATTTCAAGCCCAGAATCGTGAAATATTCTGGCAAAAAATCCTGAAATTAGGAAAAATCCTGACAAAATCTCATCCCTGGGACAAAGAAGAACACATCTGTCAGTATTAATATTAGTACATTGAGAACCCTTTTAGATTGAGTTAGACAGGATTCGGAGTACGATTCGATACTACCTTCAGAATCAGACTCCATATTTCAAAGTGCTCCATATGAACTGTACTGCACAAACAAGACTGAAACTTAGTCAAATGATTCTAGTGCAACACATATTGAAAGTACCTTTTGAGCAAGAAGAATGCACAGCAATGTCAATCAAATTATTTTTACCTTTGAAAAATTATGAACTGAGTGACTCACATTAGACATTTGTGGTAAATTGTAATGCAACAATTCAACCGTTTTGGTTTTTGTTTTGACCATTTAACTCGTAAAGGATACAGACATGGCTCTTGAGGTCATTGCGCAATCCTCGTCTGACCAGCTCATAGGCTTCTTCCTTCTTGCCCAGGCAGTTCAGGATCAGACCCTTCATAGATTGGGTTTCTACAAGGTGAGAAGATAGTAGTTATGATTTAATGGATTTCTTACACATAAATCCTCTATAGCCTTGTGTAACTCACACCATGTCATAGTTTTACAAGACAAGTCATCATAAATCAATCACAAAAAATTAAACTTTTTAGAAGAATTTTCACATAGGCATCCGTTTCTTTTTTATCTCCTGAAACTGGTGATCTGATTTAGGATGTACTTGTGATTTGTGAATTTGTAAGTCACACCATTTTTTTCAAACTGCTTATTCCAACATGTTTTAGGCACTAACTGGGTTCATTTCACACATTAATTATTCAGGTACCTGCAGGACATCTTCTATGTTAACCCCAACTCCCTTGGCATTTTTAGCTAGGATGTAACCTCGATCCGTCAAAATCCTCCAACTGCCTCCATGTAAAAATAGCGTAAATCCTCAATCCTGCAAAATCCTCCGTTATTTCTTGAACGTGTTCCTTTGAGCTTTGAGGGGTGACCACTGCCTCAATCCTGCAAAATCCTCCAACAATCACTGTCAATATGTTGAGGCAGGGCCAGTGACATCCTGGAGCAGTGCGGAGGATTTCAAGTATAATATAGGCCTAAATTTATGCACGGCTGAGCATAAACAACACATGGTCTGGCCCAAGACCTTGACACAGTGCATCCTCAAAAATCAGCCACACATTTTTGCCGTGTATCCTCAATCCTGCAAAATGCTCCATTTTGCAAAGAGGAGTTTTGGAGGATTTGGGAAGGTGAGGGTTAATTACTCTGGCAGGTGCAGGACATCTACGTTCAAGTGACTACACAATGTATATGAACATATGTCACAAACCTGTACACAGAAAACTCACTATTTTGAGAGGAAATTTTTCTGAAATAACCCAAATTACTCTGTAAACATTTTACTTGAAACCTCCTTTAATTCTCCAAAATCTACCACTCCACAGGAACTCAATGTCACATTTTCTTGGAGTTTTCTCTCTCTGAGCATTGAGTCCCAGATAGGCTTGGCCTCCTTAATCCTGTGATATCCTCTAAACCACCAGGTGGATTTTAAGGGGTCCAGGAGGATTAAGTTAAGATGCAAAAAGAGCACACTCACCTCCATGTTCAGCAAACTTTGGATTTGTCAAAATCTGCTTGGCGAACTTCAGCCCATTTTTGTACAGCTTTTGCTCATAGCATTTCTGAAAAAGAACACAGAAAATATAGAAATTAGAATGAGGTTTAAACGGTTAAATGTTTTACATTAAAACACAAATAATCCAAATCTATTTGAGCCCCATAAGCCAAACTTTTAATAACGGAGTTTGTATTTATCAGGTTAACCATTTATCAGAATCAGATGTTTATATCATATATCAAGAATTAAAAATAATCTGTACACCTTTTAAATTCACAAAGCATTAGCAGACCCTTACTCCTTTCTAAGCTTAACATTAAACCTTACCGTGTTTACCAAATTAACATTACTTAGCCCTACACTTACATTTACACTTTACACTAACATAAAATTACAGAAAGAAATACAGGCCCAACATGCATGACACGATAGTCATGATAGTCATGGAATTAAATTGCCAAAGTCAAGATTTAGGGCCCACCTGATTTCTTCAATTGTAAGAAAAAAGAGTATTAACTGAACAAGCTTAATCACATGCCAACAATTGTGAATGACCTCGACCTTGCGCTAAATTGTCATATGAAAAGATAATCGGATTGGCCTGTCGAAAATAGACGGTTTATATACAGCTCTACCTCCGACTGCCATTGAAAAGCATTAGAAAACGTCATACATTTCATACAAAATCGTGCACTGCGCCAACCCACATCGAAACAAAAACAAAGTAAACACTTACTAAAACTCTCTTGAACAGAGTGTTTTCTTTCGGGGGTAGTGGGTTAGCCGATGGCATGATGCACCCCGGAACATAGGCCCAATATCTGTCTTGAAAGTGGTAAATTCAGGGTTATTTCTAGACGGATTCTGCACCACCGCGTGGTTAAAACACCAAGATGGCTGGTACGGTTGTGCGCAAGCGCAGTTGCTCAGCCCAACTTCTGATTTCCTTATTAGGCAAGAGGGCGCTAGATAGACCTAACTGCAACAAATATCGCAACCGCTGGAATTTATTTATAACCCAGTTTCATGCTTTAAGTTGAGCAAGTAAAACTCCACATCACAAAAAAAATCTGAGGATTAGTCATAAATCGTTTTAAAACAGAATGGAAATATAAAACTTCAGTGGGTAACCAGCTTTGTTGAAACGTTTCCCTTGGGCGCAGCAATGTGTGGGAAGGGTCATTTGAAAGGCGAGATGTTATCCCCTTAATAATTAATTGTCAGACAAAACATTTAAAAAGCTAGTATTAAAAAAGTTCTAGTAAGCACAATGACCCAAGAAGCTACGCCTGCGAGTATCCTATGTCCTGTATGTAATCATCCTCCATGATGTATAAATAAACCTGGAAAAAATCCACTTTTTGAACTTTTAGTAATTTTCAATAGGATATTTTAGTGTTGGTATCAATTTCCTCGGCTTCAAGAAAAATCAGTTGTTTTCTTAACTCAGACCAATCAGGGGCCGGAATTCGGCGCCCCGCAGCATCGTGCGTGGCAGCCCCCCCCCCCCCCCCGACCGTTCACAATGACAAAACAATCCAAATGCAACTCCTCGTAGTCCTCGATCACATTTCAAGTTTACTTAAAACAATCATCAATCAAAAAGGGAACCTGCCAAGACCAAGTACTATTTTAGCGAATTTCCGTTTTATCGAGCTGATAATGATTTATCATTCACTTTTATTTCATCACGCGCGCGCGGAATTAAGCCAACGAAAATGTTATAGCGCCCCCTTTGGCTTTTGATATTTTCGACGATAACATAATTTTTAACTGGTACCCTTTCAAGAAATTACTGCCGGAACTCCCATTGGGTTGACCAGCGAAGGTGACGCACTAGAGAGAACGGAACGATCCTCGAAACCGCCTCTCGCTTAAAATGGCCGAAGTTTCAAGACAACGGTTACAGAGATCGCACTGATAATTCACCCTTTTCACCGAAAATATCATCGAATAAGACGTCAACTCTTACGTGTGCTCGCCCTGGAATGAATAGCGATGGTAAGTATGGCGAAATTGTTCGTCTGAACTTTTGATCAACCCCAGTAGACGCTAGTCTCTTTCCCGCCTCTCTTGGCCGGCGCTTTGTCCCATGTTTTTGAACCAAGCCAAGACTGGTGAACGGCTGAAGTTGCGTCTTCTGCTCTCGTTTTTCGTCTGCTTCAACGATGTTCAGTTTCCATGACTCCTTGTCGTTTCTTATTCCACATCTTCAACAATTCAACACACTAACTCAGTAATTCCGTAATTCTGTACATAACCACTACAATTACAAAGTCTCTTTTCAATATGAACTGAAACACATATGTTTCCTTCTTTTGTTGGAGAAACTTGTTGAACTTGAGAAAAAAATATGCAAAATGAAGTGGCCTATTTTTGCCTAAACTAAAGTAAACATTGTTATTATTTTTATGTTAATGTTTAAAGATGCCCTTTTTTCTACTCAACAACTTGTTAAAATGAATAGCCTTAGTGTCCATAGAAATGAAGTGCTTTGTTTGTAGTCTCCTTTATTGTCATTTGTTAGTAAATAGTAATTTTAATTTAAAGACTCATGTTGTCGACTGTACACTAGAAAGTTGAGTTCCTTCAAATTGAAGTTGAAATCTTATTTTGAACAAAACCCAGGTTACCATGGCTACAGTACATAGTTGTGTGATACGTCCAATGTGATTGTGAAAACACATTAGGCTAAATAAAGAAAATGAACATGTTCAAATACAGGGTTGTCAAATATGTCGGTAGACACTTAATTACTTGTGTTTAAAAACCAAATTTTTAAACATAATTTGCAATTGTTACTACTACTGCCCCTTTTAATTTACATGTTTTGAATATCTGGGTTTTTTCCTGAGGTCAAAGTGCTTCTGTCTGTAATAAATCTTCAGAAGGTTGTTAGCCCAGGTTGGACTCAGGTCTGTTGTGTGTATGTGCAACGCGTAGTGCAATAGTCGTCCAACCTGGGCTAACAAAAAGGCTGTGTAACATAAATAGGCAGAGGCTGTACACTTGTTTGCAATACTGCTTGATCCAATATAAATGTTACAGAAATTATATCTTGTTGCCATTCCTTTACTGCAAAAAAAGAGTTGTTTTTGCACATGTTTACATGTTCTATGTACAAATTCATTTGTATCTGCATCTGCACAAGAAAATCCATAAATGCACATAATGCAGTCCACATACACACATGTATGTTTAATGTGTGTTGAATTTTTAACACATGTGCATTAAAAAAATTGCTGAAAAAAGTACTTTTTTTCTGATTGATTGATTGATTCCTACAGGGGCTCAAGAATACTTAACTTTTCGTTGATGCAATAAATAGGCATCTGACAACCCTGACGAACATGTACTTTTTCTTTTGATTTTCAGATATGTGAAAATCTGTAAGAGGTCTGAAGGTGAATCCTAGTGCTTTAACCAGTAGAGCTTACTGGTATAGACAGAAATTTGCGTGTAGCAAGCACCAAGACATCATGGAACCAGGGCAGGAGGTAGTAGAGGACTCAGTAACAGCGGTTGAGCAAACAGTGGACCCATCCTCCATAGCATACACTGTGGAGATTCACTTGGTGGATGAAGGCTACGCCAATCAGAACGCCGTGGTAGAGCAGCAGCTCACAGTGGAGGGGGATGGCGAGATGCAGGGACAGCCCATACCCACTGCGGTTGTGATAGCGGATGGCAGCGAGGGGATGAGCGAGCAGCATCAGACCATGACCACAGAACCGATGGACTCCAACGTGATGGTCACGTTCTCCGAGAGCGACCCGCCGGCAAATCTGCATCATCTTACAGTCTCCAGTGACATGATGACGTATTTGCCCGAGTCCAGCGTTCCCCAGTCTGAAAACACTGCGAGGCAGCAACACCACCAGATCATCATGACGCAGCATCAGACCTCAGAGGGCATCACAGAGGTCAAGCTAGTTGATAGCATTCCTGATGAGTCCGGCCAGGACATGCCTGTGTTGCTTGTGCAGCCCCAGGCAGAGAATTCCAAGCCAGCGGAGGACGTAGCGGACAGCCAACAAGGGGGAGAGACCATCAAGGAGATGGAGACTCAGATAGCCTCGGCTGTGGAGGCCTTGGAAGCTCTGACGGGTCTAGCCACCACCTTCAATGCCTGGGCCCAGCAGAACCCTCAGGTACTGGATGAATCATCTGGGCATTCTGTGACCGATAAACCTCACAAATCAGCGAAACACAAATCCGGCAAGCACAAATCCAAAAAGCACAAGTCAGGAAAGCACAAGAAGAAAAGCTCCTACAAGAAAGAGAAATCTTCCATAGACATTGAAATTGATGAAAGTAGTGCTGTTGGTGGCATGTGGAAGTGCAAAACCTGTGCCAAAATATTTCCCAGCAAGTTAAAGCTCAAGAACCACATGATTTCCCACTCAGATGAGAGACCACATGTCTGTGATGTCTGCGGCAGTGCTTTCAAGCGTGCCAGATACCTTCAAATTCACAAGAAAAGTCACTTTTCAGACACACAGTTTGCCTGCCAGTACTGTAGCAAAGCGTATTTTGAGAAAAAGAGACTTCGCTCTCATATGAAGTGCCACCTCAATCCTCTCAATTGTGAAATTTGTGGGAAATCCTATGGTGACAAGAGGGGCCTTCAAATCCACTTAAGAACTCACACCAATGAGAAGCCATACGTATGCCGCCTCTGTGGACGTGGATTTACCTCAAAGGCTGGGGTTAACAAGCACGAGCGCAGCCACTCTGGACTGAAACCCTACGTCTGTAAAACCTGCGGCAAGGCCTACACACAGCCCACAAATCTCTCAGATCACGAACGAACACACATCAACGAGAGGACCTTTGCTTGCACGTCCTGTCGTAAGGTCTTTCTTGCTAGAAGCAGCCTGAGACGGCATCGAATCAAGAACCACCCAGGGGTGGATCCTAACGTTGGCAAACTAGAGCCCCTGCATCAAAGACAACGCTTCATCAAAAGGGTCAACAGTGCCAAGGATGAGAAGTCACACTACAAGTACACCTGCGCTGTTTGCTCCAAGAAATTCAAAAAGGAAAAATACCTCAAGAAGCACAGCAAGACTCACACCGTCGGGACCAAGGCTTGCTCGTACTGCAGCAAGAGCTTCAGAGACAAGAGGGATCTCCTGAACCACGAGAGACGTCACACGGGTGAGAAGCCGTACAAATGCAGCAACTGTGGCAAAGCGTTTGTCTCCAGTTCGGCTATGCTGCGACACGAGAAGTGTCACCTTGGCCTAAGGCCATACATCTGCACAACCTGCGGCAAGGGTTTCACGCGAACTACTGGTCTGCGTGATCATGAATTGATCCACAAAGGGAAGAACAAACGGTTCGCGTGTGATAACTGCGACAAGATCTTTGCATCACGGAGTGCCTTGAGGAGCCACGGACGACTGAAGCACCAGCATGATCAGTTTGCGGAGGTGGTGGATGCACCCTTGGCTACGGTGGAAGTTCCAGTTGAGACTGAGGAAGGGGAAGCTGTTAGTTACATCAAGTTGATGTTTACTGAGGCTTAAATTGACCCATCACGGGACTTATAACAATTCCTGGAATTTTTGTATAATTGCCCCAAAACTTCCGCACTTAAACACCTTTGATCACTTTCTTTATTGCATATTATTTTAATGGTCCTGTATAGCATAAAAACTGTACAGGATGAGTAATATAAAACGAAACCCAAATGGCAGGACCAATTTTTGAATGAAGAGTTGCCTGTAGCACTTTCAAAATCTAGGATATGAAAGCCCAATCAATGAGCTTTCTTTCAGTACAAGAAACATTGAAATCACTCATGTACTTTTCAAGTTACGGAATTTTGAACACAAACACCGTTTTAAAATTCTGTCCATGTATCACAAAGAAAAGGTAAGTGTTCTTTCAGCAAAATGAAAAACAATTCATGTGCATCCCTATGAGAATTGTTTTCGTTTGCTGAAAGAATACTTGCTTTTTAGTGATTCGTGGACAGAACTTTAAAACGGTGTTTGTGTTCAAAATTCCGTAACTTGAAAAGTTACATTAGTTAGAATTTGAAAGTGCCATAGGCCAAATTTCATTTAAAAATTGGTCCTGCCATTTGGGTTTCGTTTGTTTTTGTTTTTGTTGACTCGCCCTGACCCTGTAGTTGGGCATGTAGCTGTTTCAATTTGTATGTACAGTCTGTACAGACAGTTTTCCCGTTGAGATTTAAACTTTTGTCATTGGTAATCTTATTGATATATTGTTAAAAATCGGGTGTAATTTTTTTTTTGGGAGGGGGGCTTTGTAGACATGCACAGTATATTGTACACGTATGTACTTTCCAACCAAGAAAAAAATGGCTATTGTAGATTTGAATCTTCATAGTACAAAGCATTTTTTTAAAATCTGAACCTAGTTGGTAGGGGCCATGCGGCACATCACTCAACACTTTTTGTTGGCTTGACCGTGGGCTGAATGGGAACTTCCGGTGAAATCCGATAGCCGTTATTTGGTTTGAAAAAAAGAAAGGATTTTGAAACTACTAACTTGTATGTATGGAGTAAGCGCACACTTTTGGGAAGCAATGTTTCATAATTGAAAGAATATGCTGTAATAATTTTGTACAAATATCACTTTGTTCATATAGCTGTGTTTAAAAGGAGTTCAATTTTGAGTTTGAAGTTTTCTCTGTTTTTGAATTGTTTGAATGCTGTGTCAGTTTCTATGAAATCAGTCAGGAATGTAAACTATTGGCACAATATTTATGGATACCTTTATTGAATGTTTTGAATGGGTCATGTAAATATTTTCCTTGATCGAAATATTAAATTTTTTTCTCAGTTTTTGTTGATTTAAGAGAAGTGAAAGTTACAAAATGTTTTTATGCACATACCGTAAGTTTTGCAGTGACATGACTTTATGGAGACAACTTTTTTTTTCCCCAAACAAAATTGGCCATTCAGTTTAAAAACATTTTTTGAAGACCCTCTTTAGATAAATTAACTACATTATGTTTTTAACCAATGTTCATTGCAAAGATGGAACACGTAATGGAAAGTAAATGAAACATACATGTAATGGAACTACAAACTTTTTGGATAAGTAAACTAATTTCTTCAAGCTTAAAGCACACTGAGTTCTAACCTTAGGAATCTTAAACATTTGTTTCGCTTCATTTATAACACAAAGTATTTTAATGTGAAGATCAGTGTGAAGAGAATTTCTCAGCTGAGCATATTTGTGTACTCGTCAGCTCAGTGAATTTCTGTGATTAATAGTGCTAGTTTGTCAAAACTGGAACAATTATCGTACAAATGTAACAGTAATGGCCATTCACAATTTACATGCACAGTTTCATTGCACAACTTAGTGCTAGATCTAACACTTGCAAGTTTGTATGTTTTTTCTGTAATTCATATTAATCTCAAAACAATATCTTGCTGTTTTCTTTGAATGACTTTTGGAAGATACTTTGTAAGTTTTCGTTCCTAACAGGATCTCCTGTCAGTTTGGCAAATAAAAAACCTTGGTGTTCGGATATGATTTGTGGCTGGAATACTTTTTACACCCGTGTCCCGCCTGTTTTCTCAATTTGAATTTTGGCAAATTTATTGACGGCCTAAGTAAGGGTGTTTTGTAGTTAGTACTGCAGGATGTGGGAGGTAATAAACAGCCACACAGGGCTTTGAAAGCAACATAAATACTAACGTACATGTACATCCGAATTTTATTGTTGGGTGGCATTGAACTTTCAAAGCTTTTAATTAAAATGTTGTAAAAGGATATATCAGGTTGGAAAGAGGAAATGCATGGATAAAGAACAGGTGTGTGTCAAATACATGGCCATGATTGTGAAGCACAAAATCAATTGAGCATTGTGAAATTGCCACAAATTTCTCCTGCCTTGCTGTCAGATTTGAATAAATTTAAATAAGATCTTGTAGTATGTGCAACACGATTTTGCCATGGACTCCCTGAACAGTGCTAATGGAGAGAGGTTAAGGACATTGAGTGCCATTGCTGCTCGACAGAGATGTGGGTTAATGCACATTATGATGAAAATTGACGATGCATTTGTCTTGTAAAGCATTCATGGACCAATGGGCATGATGACCCTACAATGTACACACTGGTTCATGTTTGAGTAGTACCAACCAGTGCCATCTGCTGTTGCTATGCTGAATCAATATCTGCATGCTAGCCATAATAATCTGCACGTTCTTTGACAGCTAGACATGGCCCTTGTGTGTCAGTGTTGAACTGAAGGCCGGTTGTTCTTTCTTTCTTAGAGTGTTTCTGAGAGCAATCTTAAGATGGAGGTTTCTAGCCCACCCTTTGGCCTGGAAGAAGCCTACAACACACTGTTGACACCAGGTGCACTGTCATTTATTGGGGACATCGCAGTCAAATTTGATCAGAGAGTGGAACAGGTCAGTGCAACTTTAAGTTTCTTTTAGCCTACAATCATCAAGTGCATGGCAAAAGCTAAGTGGAGGGGGTGGGTGCCCCTTCCAACATCGTTGGAAGTAGGAGTAGACACATGGATATGAAACCTTTTAAAAAGCCCTTTTTTCAGTGACATCCACTTGTAGAAGCATAGGGCTCCTGTGAAATATTGATAATCAAAATATCTTCACTTTTGCCCGTCCATAGGTTCCCAAAGTTATACATGTATGTAAATCGTAATAACAAATGTATTACTGCAATCAAATAACAATGTCTTACTGCAATCCTGTTGTATTTGGTTTTGATCATGTATTTTAAATTTTTATAGGTACAGGTCATTTGGGATTGGCTAAAAGCTAACTGCATTTGAAATGCTGAACACTGTTGAAAGTGTTTTATATGCAGACAACAGAAACATACCTCACCCAATGCTAATGTAGCATTTTTTTCTAAGTCGTTTGACTAAGTACTTTCTTGACTATTGCAGATGCTAAATGACAGAATTCTCAAGAAGGCACACCTCGATCGGTCCAGAGGTCTTCCTGATTTCTCGCCAGAGACAAGTCACATAAGGACAGGCTCCTGGAAGGTGGATCCTGTCCCAAGGAGGCTGACAAACAGACACGTAGACCTGGGCGATGTGTCTCCAGCCAACACCGGGCATTTTGTGCAAGCACTGCAATCTACTGCCCAAGGCATACAGGTACAAAGATGTCATCTGCAGTGGCAGTTCTACAGGGTAGGGGTCTAGGTAGTCTAAACCCCAGTGGGCCGCACAAAAAATAGGAAAATCATGCAGAAAAATATACCACATGCCTGATTATGGTGACTCTGCCAAAGCTGAATCCGCTCCTGATCTGAGATGCATAGTTGTAACGAAGTAAATCGCTTTGTCGATCAGAAATCAATCACAAGTAAATCGCAAGAAGTGTTGTAGCCAAGACCATCACTAGTGGGTACAAGTTCTCACAAGTCCATCACAGTTTGAAGTCAAGTCACAAGCTGTTCAAATGAACTCTGGTAAAGGCATTCCTTCATGTCCCGTTGTTCAGCCCCTGTTACTTGTGCCTGGACTTGTGAATAAACCTCGCTATACAACATTGATTGCAATTCAAATCACATGTCAGCTCACAAGTAACATGGGATTGACAGTGATAAAAGACTGAATGGTGTTTTAGTTTGTTGGTTTAGAAGCATTGGAATCAAGTCATTACAGGTCATCTCAAGTCATCACAAGTCAGTCAAAAGTCATCAGAAATCAACCACAGGTCGATCACAAGTGATCCAGTCTCAAGTCAAATGAAAAAACTATTCACATGAACTGTGAAAACGTCGTTCCTTTTTCATTGTCAGTTACCTCTGATTGGAATCCTGATTTGACTTAGGATTGACTTATTACAAATCTGGGGTTTAAATAACTTATTGACACTGAGATTATAATATATACTTTTTTGGCTATTTTGAAAAGACAATTTACTGTTTCCCTTAATGCGTGCAGACAGACTTTGATGATGGCCATTGTCCAACATGGCAAACCCAACTGCAAGGGATGTTCAACATCTACCAGGCTGTACACGACAAGCTGTACGCTAACATGCCGTCCATTGACAACCTACCTGTACTCATGCTGAGACCCAGGGCATGGAATATGGTGGAGCACAATATGCTGGTGAGTACCGGTAGATCTGAAACAGATTCTTCCTTCATTAGTCTTCATTAACCCAATAACTTTGCTGCAAGTGTTACTTGAGTACCCTGGTGGATCCAAACAGTGATAATCCATGACCACAATGAGTGTGAATCCAACAGATCAAACAGGAAAAAGTTAAAGTCTTAAGTTCCAAGTGTTTTGCTAGTACTGGACTGAAAACAAAAAATGAAGCAAGGCAGTGGATCTGTATAAAATCCAAAAGAGTATGATTATGCTCAGATCAATAAAGCCATGCAGAAATCGCTCATAATTGGACATTGTTGGGTTCAGGATGGTTAGGGTCGTTAGGAATTCAGTCTGCAGCGTAGTTAAGGTCAAGCTGTTATTAAAAAAATAGTCCAATCTGTGCTTTTTATTTCTGATTGGGCATGGTAGGCACTCTGTATAAGTGGACTCGCAGCAAGAAATTGCAAACTTTACTGCATTGAAGGGCACTTGAGAATCACTGCTGCTGTGCACTCACCCTTAAGTGCTTTGCTCCCAAGTCAGATTTGTGCACAAGTTGTTTAAAACTGGTCGTGCGCATGATATATCCTTCAGTGGCCAAGCAGGCCTCACAGGGCCATCTGCAGTTCCCGCAAGGAGTTCCAATACATGGTGGTCAATTTCTTTTATATTTTTTTTTACCATAACCATGATGGCGTTCTCTTCTCAGGTCTATGGCAAGGAGGTCCCTGGGCCCATCTTTGACTTTGGCTTGCTGATGTTCCACACGGCCAAGATTCTTCATGCCAAAGAGAGTGGGCCTTTTTTCTACTTATCCAAGGTAAATGTTTCAGCGGACACAAAGGCCTTTTGATTTGAAGGAAAGGACAATATTGGGTAAGGTTTTTTTTAATGAGACTCGGCCAACCTCTTGATGTGCTGCCTACCACCAGACCGAGTAACATGTATTTGCAGAGAAAGAAGAATCTGTTAAGTTTATGCGTTACCAGTGATAGATCACAAAAAAAGGGAAAAGCAAAATTCTGGCAAGGAGTTCAAAAGGAGGAGGGAAAAAACATGAGGAACATTTCATTTCATTTGGAAGGTAAATTATTGGTGAAAGCTGCACAGGCTATTAATTAGCTTTTTATAAGAAAGAACAACATCTTTTCTTTTGGTATTTGACAGCTTGAGGGATACAAAGAGGCCAGGCTTTGGAAAGACATCTTTGTGTTTGCAGAGGAGAAGGTATATTAAAAGAAAGTTGTTTTTTTTTTTTTAACCGTGGATACATGTATTCAGTTTTGAGCAACAATTTTGGGAAACGACTCCCTGAAGAAACTGCAGGTCCATCATATTCATTCTTCATTCCTTTTAATAACATTAAAAGGAATGAGGAGTGCTGTGGCCTCATGGTCTGGAGCATTGATTTTGTGGTCTGCGGGTAATTCTGCAGGTTGTGGGTTTGAGCCCAGCCTGGGGTTATGGTATTTGGAATATTTCATTGGCCCAACGAGCAGGGTAACAATGATGTAAATAATAATTATTCATGTTTCCATAAAATTTCATTCCCTAGCTTGGATTGAGAATTGGCACCATTAAAGCGACTGTGCTAATTGAGAACATCTTTGCGGCATTTGAGATGCATGAGATACTGTATGAGCTCCGCTACCACTCCGCCGGCCTCAACTGTGGTATCTGGGATTATTCTGCATCTTTCATCAATAAACTTGGTAAGGACCATCCCTTCTTACATAATTGAAATAAAGACATCTTTATATAGTCATCACTAGTCAACACAAGTTACCCAGTCTCAAGTAAAGTCACAAGCTTTTCAAATGAACTGACATTGAGGCATTCCTATGATTGCTCAAGACCTGTTACAAGTACTACTACAATTTGCATCAGTTTTACTTGTACAGTTGCAGTTTGTACTGATTTACCTTTTGAAGAACACTTTCATCTATTGTGTTGTGTCAGGAAACAGGCCGGAGTTTGTGCTTCCAGACCGCAGCAAGTACGTCAACATGCAGAGGCATTTCCTGAAGAGTTACATGGCACTGACGATCAAGACGTGCCACGGCCGTGGATGCCATGCCACGGGAGGAATGAGTGCAACCTTATTGCCTGCGACACTAGGCCCAGAGTATGATAGACTTATGGATGTGGCTTGCAGGTATAAGTCTATTTTTCTACGGGGAATCATCAACCACAAAAAATGTAGAAGTGAAAGAGAGAGTTGGTATTTTGCTTGAACCGTGATAGGTTACAAGAAGGGGAAAGCAAGATCTGGCAAAGAGTTAGTGAGGCGGTACAAGGAAGAAACTTTACCAGGTCTTGAAACACAAATGGTATACATATCTGAAAAGTATAGTCAAGTTGGGGACTATAAATGAGAAATGAAGAAGCTATTCAGTGAGAGAGAGAGAGAGTTGATATTTTGCTTGAACTGTGATCAGCTGTTAAAAGGGAGAAAACAAGATCTTGGCAAGGGCTTCCACAGTGAGGTAGTACAAAGAAAGAAACCTGAAGAGTATTTGTAGTTTGTACCTGGTCTTGGCATGGGCGTTGCGAGGGGGAGGCCAAGGGGCACTTGCCCCCCCCCCCCAGGCCCTCCCTGGAAAAGGAAAAAAAAGGGAAAAGAGGTGCGAAACCATATTGCTGTTAATTTTATGGGGGGGGGGTACCGGTAGCGCAAATGTTCCCCTGAACCATGCTCAGAAAATCATAATTTGAGAATATGTTTAAAAAGTTAAGAAATTTTGGCAAAAAAATGTGGTTTGCCCCTCTCCCTGGAAATAATCCTGGCGACGCCCATGGGTCTTGGAACACAAATGATATATGGATTATGTGAAAAGTATAGTTAACACAATTTCTTGACTTGATCGTTTTACATGTATCAAAATATTACTTCACGTTCTTCCCCTTGTCTATTTTATTGATTGCTTTGTGTAGAGCCAAGTTGACTGAAATCAAGGCTGGGGCAGATGGATTCATGGTGTATGACATACGTCTTGTCAAGCCCATGCAAAAGGTAGCAGAATGGCTTTCTTTCCCATTGACAGAAGAGTTTCCTGCAGAATAATAAGGGATTAAATAGTTGAGTTAACCTTTGAGAAAAAAATCTCATCATTTGTTTTCCCACACAGGCCTAGGTCCTATTTTATTCAGCTGTTTGTTGCATTATGAATTTTTGCACTTTCAGAGAGCATTCACATACTTCTTGTAAACATAGCTCATTACGCATGGGTTTCAAATTTGTTTTTTTTCCAAATGGAAATTGATGATTAAGTTAGTTGCCTGTGTGGTTATGCAATTGGTTTAATGTTTACTCAAATGGTTGTATGCTGTTTGGGATGCACTTACAATACCAGAAGAAAATTAGAAACGAAAGGAAAAATTTAATTTCAAAACAACATTCTTGTGGATTTGCAGCTGTGACACCTTTAACTTGCTTTTCACAACTTGTGGAATGATGAACTTACCTGAAGCCTTTTTGGGCTGACATTTTTGTTGTTAGTTGTTTGAGATGTACGCCCCTGCTGCAAACCAGTACAGCGTTCTCAGACCTGATGTGAATGCCACCAAAGAAGACTTGCTGCTAATGCCATCGGTAAGTCTGCATTTTGTCATCCCTTTTGTTATTTCAAAAACTAGATGTTGCATGTAATATAATTGATGTTGATCTTCAGTAGTGCCCTACATGAGACAGTGACCCTTATGGCATTGTCAAGTCACATGATAGTCAATTGGTTCGCATGCAGAATGACTCATTAAGTGTGGGCCGCAATTATTACATTTTTTTGTATTGCTGTATAATAATATGATGTATCGCTATAACAGACCAATTAGACTATCTGTTACAGGAGTGTCAAATTGTATTGATTGCTTTGTGCAGGGAGGCGTGACATTGGCTGGTCTGAAACACAACATTGCTGTTGCTGTCCTGTTTATTGAGTCTTGGTTAAAAGGTACAGTAGTCAACATGACTTAACTTAAAAACTTGGATTTTTAAGATTGAAGTTTTTTCGCATGAAGTATTTCTGTTTTATATGCAGGAAAACATTATTCATGAAACTGTTTCAATTTTTATTATTTCATAAAGTGAAAGTCATCGAGCCAAATCACCAACTCACTTGTAATGCAGACTGCTTGTATGTAACTATTCCTGAAGCTGAGCTTATACAAAAGTTATTTGAAGTATGAAGAAGCATTGTTAATTTAAATGAAATTAAATATAACTCCACAAAATCAGCACAGACACACGCATTGCCTTTACCGAAAAGTAAGCAATCCATAACATGCTGACATCAGTGGGAAATTGAAGCAATTCATAATAACGCGAAGACTGGTTTTTATTGCTTTCAAATTCTTCAGGACAAGGGCATTTCTTCTACAAAGGGGCTATTGAAGACTCAGCAACAGCAGAGATATCCAGGTCCCAGGTAAGAGCACAGTGCTGTCCTCAAGTTTGAGGCACACGAGAATGCTTGGCTTGCTGGTATTTGGCTGACGATGACCGACACGTAATTTCAAGCTGGATAACTTACAGTAGATGATAACTCATGCTACATGGTAGAGTATGATTCAGTGATGTGGTGTGTATCAAGCCATGCCAATGACCAGTGTAGCAAGCAACTGAACCGTGGATGACATGCAGTTGCAACAACATCATTTTGCATTTATACATCTGTAACACATTTTAATATTGGGCTATGTTCTTCACCATTACAGTGTCATGAGCGCTGTATACTCGGTGCTGTCTGCGAACTTGTGAGAAACATTTCACAAGCCTACTCAGGTTGGACTCAAAAGCGTGACCACCTGCTTACCAGTACAAAAGTCTTATAATCACTCAACCACCAAGCTTGCCTGGGTTGGCTGCCAGTTCAAATCTGACAGAGCAGCAGATATTGCAAATAAGTTGTAATTCTTAAGCATTAAACCGTTAGTATTACATTGTATTACATTGTGTTTGTTCACTTGTGAGTAATAGGCTGGGCAGTTTTGGGCGCTACAGTAACTAAAGGGTGAATAAATTGGTCAGGCATGCAACTGGAAAGCTTGGGAAAAACAAGGAAACTCCAAACCGCACAAGACTTTGTACAGTATTTTTCCATTTGTAATGGCATCTATGAGAAGTAAAAAACGAGGAAATCAGCGGATCTGAGGAAAAGTTGCATGCTTGAATGGGAAGTCTCTTAATACAATTGTATGCAGTTTTAATAAAGCAGGCTTCCTTTTCATTTTTCCACACAGGTGTGGCAGTGGATCCGTCACAGGGCACATCTAGAAGGCAATCATCAACTCATCACATACTCCCTCGTCAAGGACCTGTGCCAGCAGTTCCTCGACCGGCAAATCCAAGACAACCCCTACTTTTCCACCACGGAGCAGAGAAAGCGCCTGCTGAGGGCAGCGGACATTTTCCGCCAGCTCGTCACCAAGACGGCCTTCCCAGAATTCATCACTACGTACCTGAGCTTGGAGAACAGTTTTCGAACCAGCACCTGGCATGCATCGAAACTGTAGGATTTTGTTTTTTGATGAAGTACAATTAGTGAAAAGCCGGTGGGGGTTGCAGGTCATATGAACAAGATTTTTGAAACCATTGTTTGAGGGGAGTGGTCTTTTGGGCTGGACACACAGTCTAGTAGCCACTTGCTGAGCACTGCTATTCAAATGTAGTCTCTGTAAAACCCAAATGTTTGTTATTAAAATGAATAGAATGTTTGAAAAATGTTACTGAACTTTTCGAGCTTTTTTTTTGCATTTCTTTTCGCTTAGAAAAGAAAATCATGTTTATAGTCAGTGGATTTATTATTCAGTAGTTAACTCTATCTGTTTTCGGGCATTATTTTGTGTAATCTGATAAACGTATTTTTGTCAGTCCAGACAAAATTGACAAATACAGAATGGTGTTTCACAAGATTTTCTGTTACAATAAGTTTCCAATTAGAATTTAATCACAGACACTGCATTGATGGTATCAGATATTCATTTTTCATCCAGGCATTGGGCATTTTATTAACTGATACTTGCTATATTGCCAATTCAGAAAAATTTGTAATTTAAGTAAAAGGTTTGTTTAGAAGGTTGATCTGCTAAAATAAACTTTCAAATGCAAGTTCAAAACTGAGTCTGCTATACATCCTGTATCAAGTCTGTTATGTCACTCAAAACAATGGTTTATAATCTACATGCAGGATTGGGGATTTTTGTTTTGTTTCTACTGCTTAATGTTTTCATCTAAATTACATACACTGACATAAATGAAGTATCATAGACTTGTTCTTATTAGGGGTGTGCATTGGAACCAGGTACCGGAGTACCCGGCCGCTGACGTCAGGAACCGGTTCCAGATTATGGGATCGGGCACCTGTAACCAACTTTACCAATTACTTAGTAACTCCTCCGACAATGAAACAGAAAGGTTTTGAATGTCAATTGTGGGGAATTTCCAAAGTGAAAACCAGGCTACATGGAAAACCAAAACAGATGTCACGTTCATGATACTCATGAAAGTTGCAATTTTCACCTAAAGCTGTAAAGCTCACTGTACTACACACATGAATTGCTGCACTGACGCAGTGATGTGGTAGTATTATCGCGCGCACCTTAATGAACAATCTCAACAGAAACTTCCGAGATTTGTATTTCTGGGTTGGTTTTCTTTAACAGGTACCATTTTTTTTTTCAATTGGGTATGGGGTGAGCATTTACGGGTTGTACGGGAACTGGGCCCCCCTACTTGTTCTGACAGTATTGAAATAATATTCAAGACAGAATCACACTTCCAAAATAATCTTTTATTCCCACTGGATGTGAAAATCAACACACACTGATGCACAGGGAATGTATGCTTGCGTTAATCAAAATTGTTTAAGCACTCATCAGCGCATAAATTAAATTCACATGCCTCACCAATTCATGCCCGTTATTCATAGTTTCTTTAAAAAAATGTTTTAAGTATAAACATTTCAAGTGCAAACAGCACACTATATTGAAAATAAAATGCAGAAGCATGATGATGATGTGTTGCGATCCAAAGGAATAAAAATGAAGGAAAGTTTAATTTATAAAGAGGGGGCACTATTACTTGGAAAATTGTTTTCTGGCCAGCTGCAATTGCTTTCCACACGGGAAAAAAAGTGCACTTTAATTGACTGCTATGGTTAAAAGAAATGTATGTTTCAAACATGGATTTATTCAGAATCGAGCAAATGTAACCGGAGGAAATTATTTAAAAATCTGGTATTTTTCAAAGCAACAATGCCCAATCTCTAAAATGTCTTGGTGCCTGATTAACCCAATAGTAGCCATGGGGCTATTTGATTGTTGAATGATAGATTTCTATTCCACGACCTGTTTTATACATAAAATTAATATAAATGTATGTAAACCAAAGAATAATAAAAAAGAATATAGATTAATTTACAATGTGTATTTGTGTAACTCTTTTTTCTTTTCTTTTCATTCTTACCCTTCTATTGTGTTACTTTACCAATAAAACTGACATTGCAGAATTGTAATGCATTCTGTGTTTGAATTAATTTGGAGGAAGAAATAATGCATTGAAAGCAATAAAAAAAAATACACACAAAATGTCAACAGCCACATGTGGGAGTTGGGTTAGGTCACTGGCTAAAAGGCTGAACAAATTTATGCCAAGCCCTAAAAGGCTAACAGTGAGACAAATTTCAGTCTAAAATTCCCTCCTGAATAAACGGCAGTTTAAGCTTTTAAGATGAAGAGATGGTTTGAAGTTTCAACACGAGGCGTGATTGCAGCATCTGAGAAGTGCCCGAAGCTGTGCCTCAAGAAATGCACTTAAAAGCTGATGCAGGAGGATTTATTATGTGCATTATGCATATAGCTGCAATTGCAGATATTCTCGATATAGGTAACTTGATCGGCAACATCTACGGTTAACGTACAGCTAAGAAAGAGCACGTTTTGACAGAAAATAATACAGTACATTTTGATGTAGCTTGACTTGCATGACTAGGTTTTTAACTGGAGCAATCATCTACATGTGCATGCTTTTTTTCTTAGCTTTTCACATGCAGTACTTAATAATGGAGCTTCAAAGTAATATATTACCTGCATTGCCATGGGAAAGTAGATTTCCCTCACAGATCTAATACTAGCGCCAGTACCTAAATGCTTAAATACCATTTGAAAGAAATTGCATAAATTCAGGTCAAACTGCCACCTGCATGATATAAAAATATAATACATCATAAAGATATTTTGTTTACACACTATTTGATATTGTTGACACATAACTATAGCTCTATGCGGCATATATACATGTACATACATTTTAATATATTTCTAGACGCAAGGTATGTGTGTATGAAGATTAACATTTTCACATTTGGTACATGCTTTCTCCATTGGATGACACAAGAAGGTACCCTGTGCGTGCAAAATAAATTTGAGCAGATACGGGCAAATTCTAGTCTGAGTATCACCTGTTGTCCAACTGAGCCCTCTCTGTCTCTGGTCCGTCTTATATATCTAAGCATGCATATTTATGAGACCCCATTGCCAGCCAATCGGAGTCGACATGACATCATTTCATTCCGAAATTCGGACTAAGCAGTTGATCGGTCAATTCTAATAAAACCTGACACTGGCTTTCAAAATGGGTTACCGAAGACCTGATAAAGAAGGCCCCCGCTGCATGGTCAGAATCTTGAGGTCAAGACGCAGTCTAGTTGCATAATTATTCGCTGAATCTGCTCGCATATCATAGACCCTTACTGTGCTAGGGGATATTCCATAGACTGGGCAAATTCAAGGGATAGGGTTTATCGAGTGCAACCATTTTCAACCCTTCAGAAAATCTCAGTATCCCTTTTTTGGTAAAAAATTCTTTGTACATTTATGCACTTCAATGCCCAACCCCAAGTGGGCCTAGACACGATAATTCAATCTCCATGTGAACAGACACTTTGTCCAAAAAAATGTCAAGGGTCCTCTGTGATTTTATCAATCATTCTGATACTTTGAGTTGGAGGGTGATACTAAATGATATGCTGGTAGATGATTTACTTTGATCTTAAAATATGGGGAGGGGAAAAATAAATACACATACCGCTTCCTTACAAATTGACATCACAAAAAGACACTTTTAAAATGCATTGATGTTACTGGGATTACTACTTATACACGGTTACATACACATGGGCGTTTCTTTCATAAAATACCTTTTTAATAGGATTACACACTGCATGTATGGCTACTGTACATGTGATATATCATGTAGGGCCTATGCACTATATTTATGTTAAATTTATACTTTTATGTCCAATATTTAACATGCAAACTTAGATCCCGACAAAATAACCAGTTGACATCCAGTACAAAATCTGTACAGGCTTATAAGTTCAAATGGATCATAAATAGCCAGATTTGCTGCAGGGAGTGTTTTAGATTCATGTCATCAAATTATGTTGTGGACATGTATGCACTGCTGTTTTCCAGGTTATACATACAATACAAAGTGGTCAATAGTTGATGGTTGTTTCATATTGCCCCAGATGTGTACAGGCAAAGAATTCAGTTTCATGTACAAAACCCATTTGCATTATAGCTGGTCAATAGTTGATGGTTGTATTATATTGCCCCCGACATACATGTGCACAGGCAAAGGAATCAGTTTCATGTATAAAGCCAGTTGCATTATAGCTGGTCAATAGTTGATGGTTGTATTATATTGCCCCAGACATACATGTGCACAGGCAAAGGAACCAGTTTCATGTATAAAACCAGTTGCATTATAGCTGGTCAATAGTTGATGGTTGTATTATATTGCCCCAGACATACATGTGCACAGGCAAAGGAATCAGTTTCATGTATAAAACCAGTTGCATTATACTTATAGCTGGTCAATAGTTGATGGTTGTATTATATTGCCTCAGACATACATGTGCACAGGCAAAGGAATCAGTTTCATGTATAAAACCAGTTGCATTATAGCTGGTCAATAGTTGATGCTTGTATTATATTGTCCTGGTTATGCAGGCTGAGCATTCACTTTCATGCTTAACAACCATTTGATAAGACTTAGTGTTCAATTGTGCGACACACAAAATTATTTGATGCGTCTCAAATATTAGTGCATGCATTGTCTGCGTTCAGATGTGAGCATGTTACAATAGTGGTGGGATGCTTGTGATGAACAATGTCCCGCCTACGCCAAATGATTTATGACTGAATTCAATCCAGGGACTACCGGCCTCCTGCACACTGTATGCTGTATGCAATTATAAAAACTGTAGGGTTATGTTCATGTACCAGCAGAATATACCGTAATGCTTTCAAGCTGAACTGTTAATTTTTTTATTTTTTTTTGGCGAGCAATTTTTGAAATAGCAACAATGTGCATTCAATAACAGCATGTGGGTAAAATGAACATAGGGTTTTTACAGTGGTAATTAATACATCAATTTATTTTCATTATTTTAATGTTTCTAGACCATTTTCAATTATGAAAATCACTGGCCCATGTAAATAAAAAAAAAATGCACAGTGAGAACTAATTCTTTCAAACATGCACAACATGCACACTATAGACAATGCAATAAATGCAAACCAATGTACAGTGTATTTCTTACTTTTTTTCTTAGTTGGGTATGCATCTGAAGTTGGGCAGAGTGCCAGCACCCAAGCTACTTACTGTAACAACGTCGTAAGGCACTTACTGTGATGAGGTTTTCAGTAAGAAGCCACTTCAAAAAATTACTCTCAAATACAAATGTGGTTGAATAATAGTCTTAGTGCAATCGGTTTGACCTTTACGGCCAAGGGATGGGAACATACGTACATGTGTGTAGGCCATAATAGCTTGGTTCATCTTTTAAGCTATTGCAAATTATATTTAATCAAAATACTAAACGGATTTGATATTTTTAAAATTTATTTTTTATTTGAGCCGTGCTGAAATTTTCAGTCCATAGTTCACACAAGAGACGGAAGCCTGTACACCATTTATGCATTACATGCAGAAATATTTGGTCTTAACATTTGGTGACATACTGTACATTCATCATTTTGCACTTACCCCTTGGAAAAGCATTTTTTCTTTACTCAACAAGATTAGTGTATTTGCTTTCTGTAGTGTATATGTTATAAATTAGCCTAAAAACTTAAAGTAATATTTGAGACAAAATATGGCACAGGTTGCAAATAAATAAATAAATGAATTTCGTATTTGACAAAACTCAGTTCAGTGTAGATGCATTCAGAATAGTTTTTTTTAATAAAAAATATTTAAGAAATTCTATACATAGTTAAAGACATGTTTATGATTTCCGCATGATTTTCAAATTATTATTAAATCGAATTTGAATGAACCGTGAAGACAAATGCTTGTTGTGTTCACAAAACAAATGAAAACATATGACGGCATGTTCACATGAAATGTACTTCACTTGTCATTTTTTACAGGCAAAAGTAAAATTGTACTTAACAGAAGAAAAAGTGGAATGACCTACAAAAGAAAATTGAAAGAATATTTTTGGAATGATAATGGTCAAAACTGTAAAAAAAAACTAAAAAAAACAAACAAATTGTGATAAAATCAAAACGCTACCCTGCTGAATCTAAACTTTTACTTAAATATTAAATAATAACTCTATGATACTATGAAAATAAGCCATGTACCTCTTTTCCTTTTCCAAAATACAACAACCAACATGTACATTGTACATTTATATGAGCATAATTTATAACTGAGCTGCTGTGTACAGTGTAAGAAAAAAATAAAGAAAATGGGATATATATATTACAGGTTTGAAGAAAACTCTCATTTTCCATAAGGAAGCCCAAATATTGAATTTACAGTGCACAGTATGATCTCAACTCCTACAAAACAAGAGTAAATCCTTCAAGCAAATCAACCAATTTTTTGGGGGAGATTTTGCGGGCGCTAGATTTGTAATAATTTATCCACTTGAGTACTCAAACTCAAAGATATGAATAGATTCCTTTTTTTTAATTAAAAAAAAAAAAAATGAGTCGCAAACGGACATGAAATCTTGATATCTCTTCAAATTGCAGCGTTGACTGTTGAGCTATAAAATAATGAATTTAAATGTTGATTTGTGAGAATCTGTTCAAATGTGCATGTGTCTCAGTTTTGTGGAGGAACTGCATACTGTATACATGTGTACATGTACATGTACATTTTCCCAAGAGCATCCAACAGAAGAGATTACATGTATGCGGAAGTTTGTTGGAGGAAGAAACAGTGTGCATACGGAAATCCAAATTATGTCGTACAGTCCAACATAAAACCACATTCTGTTTCATATTACTCTCCACACCAGATGCTTTGCACGGTGGCCTTTAAGCTATGGAGGTTTACAACACACTGCATCGATGCAGCATTACAAATCCTCGTATACCAGGCTGTGTGGAATGACTACACGTCCCGTTGTTAGTAACAGGAAGTCAAAGGAATCATGTATCAGTCATGAGAATACAAAAAAAGCCTCATGGCTGTCAAAGTCCAGACAGAGATGAATGCAGGATTATGCACGTATGATTTTGAGCCTTGGGTCCAAGGTTAGTTTTGAATTGTACGGAGAACTTAACGAGAAGTGCACAATTCCTCAGGGTTTATGAGCGCTGGCTGAAGTGGATTATTGATGGCATGATAACCTTGTGTTCAAAGCACAAGTCATGCATACTGTAGCTATCTTGTTTTTTTTTTTCTGAATGTAGGTCAGCATTATACGTTTATTAGATTTTTTAAAGGCACCCTGTCATTCCAACACTAGCGCCAGGGGATCACACAAAGTTTGCTCGGACAGAATTTTAACTGTCACACACAGATTTTCAAATTCTTTCACTATTGTGCCAAGTAGCATGCATTTACAGTACATGAAGTTTGACAGAGCCCGACCAGTTTTGTTCAGTAAATATGGTTTATAATGTCCCGATGTTCAACCATGATTTCACCCTCAGTAGTAAGGCATGAAACACTGGCCCAATGGAAACTGCCTTACATTGTGGATTCTTAAGTTCAAGGTTTAGACACTATGACTAATGAAGACATATTTTTTTCCTCTTTCGTGCTTTGCATCGGAAAACTACCAGTTCTTGCCAAATTGACCAAGCATACAGGTAGGCTGTAATGGGGACTACAGCACAGGCACATGTACTTGGCAACAGCAGCAAGAAAGATAACATTTACGAACTTTGAAACAGTAAGTGGGTTTGCCAAACCTTGGCCTTGTCTCCCACTTACATACATGTAGGCGTCAGTTCATAATTTTAGATCCCCAAATGAAAGACACACGATATCAGATTTAGATCTATTCTCTACCTCTTAACATTTAATCATGGGATTATGAGGCCAAATGTTACGAGTATATATTCCATAGATTTGAGCATTAAAGGCTACGAAATATTCTCTAGCTTGACATGAAGCTGTTGCTAGGACAAAGAGTCTAAGAGAAGATTTAGAAGCCCTTGTGCTACCAGAACTAACCAAGAATTCTCTAGATCTAATCAATGGTCAAGCAACCTCAACTTGAGCAGGAGCAGCAACTGTCCTTCTTCTGGCTTCCCGGGGATGTTGGTAGCCTAACCGTGGACCTACCCTCCTCTTTCTCCTTCTGATAGTGGGAGGGTAGAGGCAGGATAGGTCTGTAGTTCTTCAACTGAACAGCAAGTTCCATGAATATTCCTTCTACTTTCTCCGCGTCCTCATCCATCTTGGCTGACGTTTCGTACAGCGGCATGGAGTTTGCGTCGGCAAATTTCTGGGCGATGCTGGTAGCCACCACCTTCCTGTCCTCGATGTCGGACTTGTTGCCGATCATGATCCTGGGGATGTCCGGGGAGAGGGAGTGCCGGTCGCACTCGTCGATCCAGTTGGGCAGGCCCTCGAAGGTGGACATCTTGGTGATGTCATAGACGAAGACCACGGCATGGACGTTGCGGTAGTAGTGCTGGACCATGCTCTTGCGGAAGCGCTCCTGGCCGGCCGTGTCCCATAACTGGAGCTGAGAGGCGAGAAAAAGAAAACACAGATGCAAGGATTTTATTTCTAGTCTTCACAGTCCATAAATCCTGCCACAACACTGAATTACTACAAATGCAGAGGTAAATAAATCAAGGCTTTTCCAACAGATGGGTAAAATCACTAGTCAAGAACAATAGAAGTCAGAAAATGACTAGTTCACTAAATGTCTTAACCCTAACCTCCCCAAATCCATCAAAGTCCATCCCCCCATTTTGGGGATTTTGGTAGGCAAGCTATCTGTACCAAGTCCATTAAAATCTACCTATAGTAGTTTGTTCCATTCGTGTACTTCAAAATTGTTTCAAAATTTAATAACCCAAATTAAACATACTGTACAATTAAATTTCCCTCTTCATCTGTGGCAGTCTACAAATATTTAAACCGAAAACAAATTCCTTTCCTTGGTTGTGGCTGACTAAAAATACATGAAGGGTTGAAAAGCAAACACTGTATGTGTTAACTTGTTTGATCATTGTGCGACCTCTGGGGGAACGTGCGCAATAATAGTCATGACGCAAACAACAAAGTATATGTACACAATATTGAACCTTACAATTCGATTCAAATCAAGCCTAGGATTATTGGAATGCATTGGAAAATGCCCCATTTTTCCAGTGTCTAAACCCTTTGTGTTGTGCTACAAAGACTTGCATAATAACACCTGACGGGCACAGGCTGGCAATTGTACCAGTTGTCCCGTGACTCTAATGTGGATGTGCATGCTGTTAACAGATCTAGTTATGTTATGAGTAATTCAACCCCAACAGCCGCCATAATTGCCTGACCTCAGCTCAGGTCAATTCCTGTGTGTGCACCTTCACATTATTGGATTAAAGGAAATGCTGTAAGGTGCTTAATCCATTTATGGTGACTGAGTGTGATTATTAATTCAGGCTGACTTCTTCTGAGGACAAACCTCACTGAACACTGTGTACACAAGGTGTGTTTACACAGGAGGCTTCCTGCACACTTTCAAGCAATTTAATTTGGAAGGACAAAGAATTAAATCAAGTTTCTCTCCATCAGCAAGATGTGTTGCAGTTAAGTGTCTAGCATATTGCTCCAACTAGTACTAGAAGAAGATAAAGTTATTGCGTACACAACATGAAATGCGTGAATGTGACGTGAAAACCATAACCAAATCCGAGCAAACATGCATCTAACATGTAATTTGTATTCTATATTTTTAAGATACATGTACGTATAACGTCTAAAAAAGACTGTGACAGCTTTTCAATTTTGGTAGCACTGAAATGACCTTGCAAATAGTGCACATAAAAAAACATGTGTGTACATATGTGTACATGTAAAATTGTGTAAATTTGTTAATGCACAGACTTTAAAACTGAAAGGTCACAATGTATTTACTATTTTTAATATAGATCTGCAACGACAGCTTTGTCTGTACAGGTCAATATTTAATACAAATACTAGACAAACAACTTGATTATCCGCGATCAATACAAAAACTCATAATCCAGTCTAACTATCGGCAGACATAAATACATATGTCGCCACAAAAGGTCAGTTTACACAGAAACGTATACTATACCACCCACACATGGAATGATATTAAAGTGTATTGAATTTACGCTTAATGCTGTTGCACGAAAAAATATGCACTGAACATTGATTATTTGATTTGAAACACAGTCTGGTTCTTGTTTAGCCCCATAAATGTGGCCAATTTACTGGAATACCTCCGTAAATAAAGGCCACGCTTGGAACATGTACCCGAAAATGTAGAACTTTGTCAAGTTTTTTATTTTCACATTTTGACTTTGTTTGTAGTTTTTTTTAATGCTTTAGAAGCACACTCACCCTCTTTAAAGCGACAGAAAACTAATGCCCCCCTTTAAGACATCTATATTTCGTGTAATTTCCAGGTTCATTTTGCACAGGTTAGCGGACCTAAATTCCAACACGAAATTACATGAAAAGTAGACGTCTGAAAAAGGGGGGATTAATTTTCTATCGCTTTAAAGAGGGTGAGTGTGGTTCTAAGAGCATAAATAAACTACAAAGTCTAAATGTCAAAATAAAAACTTGACAAAGTTCTACATTTTCGGGTACAAGTTCCAAGTGTGGCCTTTATTTACAGAGGTAGTCCAGTAAATTGGACACATTTATGGGGCTAGCTCTAGTTAAACTCAGTTAAATGAGAGCTTGATTTTTATACTTTACGAACTGAACTGTACAATATCAATTTGTATCAATTTTTTGATACTCATTTTGTTTTAACTTTTTTTTGATTGACAAATATTAATTTAAAATTATATCGAACAAATACTCAAACTGAAACATTATCAAAGAAAGTATGTATTCCAGCAAGGAAGGAAGAGATGCATTTTCAGAAAACAAATTTCGGAAAAAATGTTGCAACCTGACGCCACTTTTTTCTTCTTATATCTTCTCAATGAAGGTCATTCATTGCAAAAAATAATGATAAGACATGAATCTGGTACTGAGATATATTTTCAATTTTGTTAGGAAATACATAGACTTTGTACACAGCTGCTGAAGTGACGTCAGGTCGCAACATTTTACCCAAATTACAGACGTGTGCAAGTAATTTTACAGGTGGTGCAGAGCACAAATGAGGAACTGTAATGTAAGCAAATTAAAACCAACACAATCAATACCCACTTTAATTTAGGAAAACCCATCACAAGCAACCCATCACAAAACAATTAACATACATGTTAATAACAGAGTTGTTAAATACAATTACAACATATAAAACACAGACATGACAAATGAGAGAATGGTACAATATTTTAACCTAAACCTTGGCTTTACAGTTTTGCAAGTATATTTTACCTTGATCGTTTCTCCTTCTACCGTCACATTTTTCTCCCTGAAATCCACCCCTATCGTCGCTTCAGTCTTCTCCGGGAATTTGCCCCCGCAAAACCGATACGTCAGGCATGTTTTACCGACATTAGAGTCCCCGATCACGATGATCTTGAAGATTCGGCGCTGCTTTTCAACCGCAACGAAACCGTCCATGTCGTCCGCTTCAGCGGGCTGCTTTTCGTTCTGATCCATATTTGTTCAAAAAAAGAAAGTTCATCCAAAGGTCCCGGGTCAGTAATCCCGATAATTAATCATCCACGAAGTCCGTCAGCAGTCAGCTTTTGCTCCGATTACTGACTGGATGGAAGTCATCACCTGACATCTGATGCAGTTAGTTTTTAAGCCTGGACATTTTCAGACAAAACAGTGAAAATGACGGCAGACCATACACAAATAAGTGCTGTATGTGCGTGTACGTAGAGTGAATGCGATACATAGCATTTCGACAGACTGCGAAACGTTGGATTAAAGGGGCGCTCACAAAGCCAGTTTCCTAAAAATTGATTTATTAAAGGCATTTATTAAATGGTTGTCTTTATTTTGGAGAGTGTCCTTTTTCCCCCTCAAAATCAATGCAGTGAGCAAGGGAATATTTCCCATGCACAACCATGTATCTTACATGTACAAGTCCATGTGCAAGAACCCTACATTATATTCAGTTATATTCAGCTCATACTAAGCTTATAGTATTTATTTCATTAAAATATGAAGAGACAAAAACCAAAGAAAATTCATGTCCTACTCATGGGGTCGCCAGCCAACACACATCAACTAACATAAACAACAATAACACATCATTATTATTATTATTTTATTATTATTATTTATTCATGCCAATTCTATTTCATCACATACAAGATGGGCATAGGAGATGGGCATCATCTATTCAAAGGGTCCCCAAACTCTAGCAATCAAGTTATGAAGCAGATAAAGCACACTGCAGGCGGGAGAACATTGGTGAGACCATGGAGCTATAAGGCCGGGATAAGAAGGGTGATTTGGGAGTTTAACCCTCACGGCAACCACTTCCCTGCCTATAATCCCCTCATAAGCTAATATAAAATGAATATGGCCCAGATAATGTTTTGTGGGGAGATGATGTCCTGCCACGCCCCCCTTGAGTTTTTCAGCCAGCTGGAAACGTTTTCAATGTTCTTGCAACTTTACACCCTAGTTTAAAAAGAAATTATCGCCATGGTAGTTCTCACAAGCAACCAAGCAAAAAACAAGCAGCCAGCCAGTAAAACTCCTGCTCAACCCCGGTGGCCCGAGAGACAAATATGCAGGCTACAATAAAACGGGACAGACAAGGTGCACCCCTTTAATGCAATTATGACAAAATTATGCACTCTTGAGGGCGTACTTCCGTTTACACGTGCATTTTTTTCTACATAATTTGATGCACAGCAGACTAGGCGTGCACGCCCGTCATCATCTAGTTTAACATACTGCTCTTGCAGTGTTCTCTGGAACTGAGATTTGACCACCAAATCTTTAGTCTACATCACTCAGAATGTCTGCAAAGCCAAGATGGGTTCCCCTGGAATCAAACCCAGAGGTATGACTCATGAGGTTTTATACAACTTTTATTTTTGTTGATCATGTTGCGCTTTGAAAAAAGATGTTTGATCATTGCCCCTACACCTGTACACTTTTTAGGTAGGCCTACAAAGGCTACATGTAGTCCGAAAATTTGGGACTCTTAATACTGTGTATGAGAGCCTACTGTAAGTGCGTTTTTTTGCACAGTACTATTTTGTTTTAACACGAAACAGCTGGTGGCAACACGCATTAAACCCAATTAATTTTGAAATTGAAATGAATTTCTAATTGTAAGATTCAAGTTTCAAAAAAGGTGTCAATCAATGTCAATGGTTGGTGGGAAAAATTGCAGAATTTTATCAACTGAAATCAAGTCAATGCATGTACATATTTACAATGTTGTGTACCATTTTATTAGTAGGCCTATTACATCTTCAGAAATATCAGAAATTATTTCACCTTTCAGAAATTATTTCTAACTCTTTCAATCCTTTTCTTTTCCCCATTCGTGTCCCAATGCAGGTTATGACCAAGGTGAGCCATAGTAGTATCTGCTTCTCCTCTGTGATGAAATGAAATGAACAAATGTGGCACAAAAAATCACTGTCACTCATTGTTTCCTAATTATGGCAGAAGCATTCTGCCAGCTATTGACCAAACAAACGGCATGAGCACTATAACTTACACAATCCTTCTGCCATTACTGGGGGCCTCTGTGAGTATACAGTGATTCTGTGCCTGGATTGGTCTATACACATCCTCATCAAGTACAGCTTGGCATGTAACTCTCAGTTACATGTGCTGTGGAAATGTATGACTTACGAGTAGATGTAATAACGTCTTCAGACAGTAACCATTTTGAAAAGAACATTATCTTGTATTACTTCAGAATTTGTAATCTACCAAAATTAAAAGCAGATTTAATAATATTTGAGGGAAAAAACTGTTTTTAAGTTGGTGTTAGTATATATACGTTAAACAAGGAAATAAACAGATTACACGAGGTTGAGAAACAATTTACATAAATGTTTTAAATGTAGTTGATCCGTCTTAAGAATTTAACTATAAAATTGTTTTACCTGAACAAACTTGATATGAAATAAACTCCTTTGTTTCTTTTAATGAAATGGGTGTTTTATTGTTGTTGCAGTACATCCACAAAATAGGAGTCCCTGAAATGTGGCGCTTTGTTGACGTGCTTGGTCTGGACGATGATCTACTTGGTATGATACCCAAGCCTGTGGCGGCCCTCATTGTGCTATTCCCAAAGGGTGACAAGGTGAAATAAATCTACTAAATCATTAACTCTAACTCCTACTTTTTTTCTGCTCAAAAGCCCCCTGAATTCTCCAAAATGGAGGAACCTTTTCGCAAAGTCTTTGCACTGAAAACAAAATCCCTTGACAAGTAATTTCATGGTCACTTTTGCAAGGAGTAAAAATGTGTCGACTGTCATAGATGTTTTTGTTTTGCCAAGCATTGAAAGATCTCTAAATATTCCTTTTCTTCTCCAAAACTTAATCTTGAACTTTTGCTGTCTAATAAGTAAAAAAAAGACTGTTTATTGTCCATGTAGATTAAAAGTGCAGAGGAGGAAATGTGTGCCAAAATCGAAAAGGAAGGCCAACAGGTCAGCGACGGTGTGTACTTCATGAAACAGACCATCGGCAATGCATGCGGGACAATTGGAGTACTCCACGCTGTGCTGAACAACCAGAATGAAGCTGATTTCAAACTGGGTGAGTACTAAGAAATTTGTTATGAATTTTTCTGTTTATTCATTTTACTGTCACATGTTGCACAGATTTATTTGAAATAAGTATGGGAATGTACAAATGTATGCTTGACATGACACCTCCGAGTTTAAAAAAACCACAGGCACCACTGGAATATTTGTAGTCTTGTGAAGGTAAGAGAGATTTGGGTGCTTAAAATGATATACATCCTGAGGTACTATTCCAGTTTGTAGAATGCCATGCAGTCACAGGTTCACCTGGAATTTTGACTGAATTCATCTGGAAAATACTGCCCAAGGTCTCCCAATTGCCTTCTGAAAGAGAGAGATGCCAAACTCAAACTCAGAGCTCAAGTTAAAGGCAATGTCATTCACGAACACAACATCTGAAATACATGTCCCCCAAACACTTGTCAGAGTCTGTATCATTGCTACAAGGGGTCAGCACCTTCTAATCTGTGTTTTTTTTTTTGTCTTAGCGGGAATCCTTTCAGAGTTTGCAGAGAAGACCAAAGGCATGGATGGAGCAGAGAGGGGTGCTCACCTGGAGGGTGATGTCGGGATCTGTGAGGCACACAGCACCAGTGCCCAGGAAGGACAGACCCAGGTATGGACAAAACAGATCAAGCTCCAGGAAGATCAGAGTCTCATTTTGTGGAGGTGCTTAACAGATAATATTGCTGAGCAAATTTATGCATTTAGCAAAAATCAGCTGAGAAACAGTCAACGAAAGATACATTGCATGACACTGTGGGTAGCAGCCTGTATTTGCACAGATTTTCCAAGATTAGCAACTTGAAAACAGTTAGCACTGTTAGAGTAAAGAAGAAGGCGCTGGTAATTTATACAGTTTTGAATGCTACATCTGTTGAAGTGATGGACTAGTCTGCCTATGACTGCGTGCTAAATTCTGTAACTCTGAGCAAAAGTGAAAAATCAAATCCTAGGGTTTTTGTCACATTCAATCATGCAATTGAAAATGTGATATCATTTTAGCTGCTGGTTCAAACTGTTGTACATGATGCAGCTCAGCCGTGAGACATTTGCCCTTTGAGAGTCATGTTTGCTCCCCTACAGCTCCGAGGCTAGGTTAGCAGTACTGCTACATACATGTTTGTGAATACTTTTGAGCGTGCTGATTCTCTGTCCATTCAGGCGCCACCAGCTGAAGAGTCTGTTAAGCCTCATTTCATTGCTCTGGTGCACAAGGATGGATCCCTGTACGAACTAGACGGCTGCAAGCCATTCCCTGTCAACCATGGCCAAACCAACATTGATTCCTTCCTCAAGGTAAGATCACACTGGCTCTGTCCTCTTAAGATCATTTCCCTTTGATTGATTGGCAGGCACCTGCGGCCGATGACAAGGTGTCGGCGCATTTCATAACCCTGGTCAGTGTTGAGGGGTCACTGTATGAGCTTGATGGCCGCAAACCCATGCCAATCAACCATGGTAAAACAAGCCCTGACAGCTTCTTGAAGGTAAGATTAGTGCTGAGGTTTCACCAGGGCCTATCTACTGTTAGCTTCTGTACAAACGCCTGGTGTGGCTATCGCATACAGCCTCATGGTGTATGTATGATGATAACTGCCAGAAACACCGGGGCGAACCCCTTCTCTTAGCGATAAGTGTTTGCTGGGTTCTTTTACATGCATTATACAATACACGGGACCTACAGCTTTACGTCCCATCCGAAGGACGAAGCAATAATGGTTAAGTGCCTTGCTCAAGGGCACAAGTGTCCGGGCCCGGGCTTGAACCCACACCACTGTTTCTTTGAAACACCAGAGCATGAGTCCAGTGTTCTTAACTTATCTTCACATCCACACATTTGCTCCAAGCTATTATCATCTAATCATCTAAAAAGAATGGAATTGAGAAAATAGAGTAACTCTTCTTTTGACACAGGTGCTTGAGACCAACTTCAAGTTTGATACTGTATGGGGGCTGTGTGTATATTTTACAATGTAGGTTTCTGACGAGCTTTGATGTGACATTATGAGCACAGTAGCTTCCTGAGTGTTGACATTGAATGCCTACACATGTACAAAAGTAGTGGTGTTCATTCAACCCTCAACACTTAAACAGTCAGAGGTCAAGTGAAGGCAGTTGGGTGTGCATTTCGCTTGCTTAAATGACATTGATCATTATCTCATTGACAAAGTTGGAGAACTTCAACATCAACCGCTGATATTAAAATGTCTAAAGTTATACTGCATTGTGGACAATTTATAGACTTGTATGAATTTTATTTTTAGGATGCCGCTGGAGTATGCAAGAAAATTATGGCCCTAGACCCCAGCGAGCTGAACTTCAACATAATGGCATTGACAGGCGGGGAACCCTTGTTCTGAAATGGATACATCACAGTGGCACACTGTACTCCAGGCAGCATATACGTAAATGGCCCCTAACAAGTAATTGAATATCAGTGCTTTCAGAAACAAAAAATTGCCCTTAAAAGTCTTTGTGCAATGTAGCGAATTTGGTTTTAATGACTTGGAAAGCCCAAGCTGTATTCTCTACAGGCTGATAATAAAGTGATATTAAAATAAGTGTTCGTCAGAAAATGTTCCTACAAGATGAGAGAATATTCCTGTAAGATGAGAATGTCTACAAATCAGCATACTGTTCATGCACAGTAAATACACGTAAGATGCAATTAAAACGAAGCAAACCTAACAAACAAAAATTCTGCCAAAAATGTGAGACTTAAATATAAGTGGATGTTTGAGCAGCCTATCTAAAGACAAAATGTATGTAAAAAATTGAAATACATAATTTTCTGCAATTAGGTGAGTAATGCACATGCAGACCATGTTACAATTATATGCTGTTGTGAAAATGTTAAAATTGCCAAATTGTATTTTGTCATGATAGTGTTTCCCATCTTCCTGAGCTATACCATAAGTATAAACCACATAAAAACCAGCATTATATTTCTGCTGTTTAAAACCCTCCCTCTCTCAGTGACAATCCGTAGAGAGTTACCCTTTACGTCAAATTTATCAGGTGACAGCTTTTAACGGCTCTGTAAACTGGCCTTATATTGGTACAATTGACAGGCTGTGGTAGTTTTGTTAGCTGAGGGTACCATGCCTTGACTGACATTGATAGATGTGGTGTGAGTGCCAACGATGAAGGCACAAAAGTTTCACTCGTGCATTCCAGCCAAACGAAGGCATCACCCTTTAAAACGACTGCTACACAAGCTGTACCAGTATTAATGGTCACCCTATCTATCAAAACACATCAACAGGCTTTGACAGTTATACGGTGTAATCCATAGGGGTTTCTGGTAGTTGGTGACCAGCCTGTACAAGATTTTGGGAGCGGTTAGGTTTTTTTTGACAGTTTGTGATAGTGTATAGGAGGGTTAATTAATGAACTCAAATTTTGACTCGACAGCAAAGTGTCATGTGAGAGAAAAACAACTTTTAATGTTTGGAAATGTGTCCAGTTTTCCTATAGAAGAGTAAGTCAAGTTACTCTGTAAAAGTAAAACACCAACTGTTTGGTCGTTTGATTTGTTTTCTAAAAAGCCAAAGGCTGCCTTGTTTAAAGTGTGCTAAATACATATAAGTTTAAAACTTTTTTAAATAGAAATATTTGCTAAAAGCATTTCCTCATTTTGAAATACATTTTCGTATTTTAAATTTATGTTAAAAACACAAATCTGCTGGTTAAGTTTTTGTAATGTATGCTTCTGGAATGTACAAGTCATCACATATTCATTCAAGAAGTATAATCTGACTAAAACATATTTTCTCATCTTTGCTACAGTTACTGCATGATAACAACTTGATTTCAAAAGCCTCTCTGTGTTTATGTGAAATGTACTCGGATTTTTGCTGTAAACACATGTTCAACAAGCAACACTTAACTTTACGGGAATCTTGTGAAGATGATGACAAATTGTGACAATTTTTCCAGACTTGCTCATTGTTGTTGGAAGAATATTGCCAAAGAAGATTGTTCAAGAATTGCATTCCCGATCCAGACTGAAGTTTTTCTTTAATTTTTTGCTTTTGTACTTAAATGATTTGTTTGAGAGCTCCGACGGGATACATTTTTGTGAAGAATAAAATGTGTAAAATTATGCAAATTACTGAGGCCAACAATGTGTAAGCGTTGCATTAAATGTGGAAAAAAAGAGAAAATATTGTGAAAAATAAAGTTGACAGTGCAGCTCAGCATAGCATGAAATTTTCTGTGTAAGTTCTTCATTTCTGAAGTTGTGTGTTTCTGTTGTATATTGCATTCAATATAGACCCCTGCTTTTATTTGAATGATTATAAGTTCACACAAAAGGGACCCAATTCTAGATGTCCCATTTGTTGCTTTGAGTTTCGTAAGTAAGAAAAACCTGTCCTAGGTGGTGAAAAGGACGGCAGTCAAATTCTGTCCTTTATACAAACTTAAATTACGCCTGCCCTGCATATTCCAAGAATTGTCGAACTTTAATTTGGCATACATTTATTAACTACTATAGTAACCAAATATTACTTACTTTGTCGATGTAGAGGCAAGACTTGCAATTGGAGATAATGTTTTCAAGTTTGGTGAAAGTTTCCTTGTGGCTTTACACTCAAATTATTGGTATATGAGATATCACTCAATATTTATACAGGGGTTTTTATATCTCCTCACCTGCAGCAGACGTAAATGCTGCAACTGAATTTTGTGTTAAGTTTCAGCCAATCAGGATCAAGATTGATTCAAATAATTTGCATGTGTAAGGGTCACTGCTTGGGGGCATTCATTCGAAATGAGGGGTTACTATAAATAAGAGGGTGGTCATGGATTCTCTTTTGCCTTCGTCAAGTTCGTCTCCGTGCACAGATATGATTTTGCCAAATTAACTGAAAACAATTTGCTTTGGAATTTGATGGGGATCAAGAAATGCAGAGAAATGAAATAGGCTTGGTTAAAAAAATTGTCACTTGTATTTTTGAAGTAAACTTCATTTTGACGCCGGGACCGGGAACTAATTTTGTGCTAAAAAAACTTTAGCCCTAGCCCTGCGGACAAATATTTTGTACCAGGTGTGTTGCTTTTTACAGTTTTAATTTATCCGAGACAGTATGATCATGTATGGTTTTGTCACATCTTTTGCACTTCTTTGCATAATCTAAGAATCAATATATTTTATTGATTGCAATAGCGGCTGAATACAAAAGCACGCACACATTATTGCACTGACGACTGTGTGGCAAGTCTATGTCAATTGCTTAGCAAACGTAAACAACATGGCGACCGGGCTACTCGGCAGCGCGATGAGCGACGGGCTGCGATCTCGAGCGGCAAATCCCTCGGATGAAACCCCGCTTCTTGAAGAAGAGGAGCAGACTGCTTTCACGGATGACGAGGATGTCGGGGAAGATCCTAGCTTGCCATTCGGTGGCAAGGTCTACTTAGCAAGGAGGAAGAAACCGGACACTTGGTTCGTCGTCTTTTTAGAGGTCGGAAAAAAATTCTCGCTCACCGTACCTACGTAGGCCTACGACGGGGTATTCACTAGCGTACACTCTTCGTAGATCGATATTTTTTTTGAGTGCCTGATGACATGTAGGCTCAATGTGTAATGCCGTTACAGCGTTCATACGTCGTACATTTTTTCACTTCTCAGGTACTAAATCAAGTAGACATGAACGTTATTTCATAAGTTTAATCAAATGTTTTTATTTGGTTTAAATTTTTGATAAACACTGATCATGCTGATAATTATTACTCATACTGATAAAAATGTAATATTGTAAATTAAACGAACTTACACTGACTTAAGCCCGAAGCCTAACCTCAGTATCCGAGGCTGAATTAAAAATAAAATAGAAAAAAGAAAGAGCTGAACAGTTGTTTTCCTCATAAACATGATTGTCCTGAATTGTGGCTCAAGTTGCAAAATTACGTTTTCTTCTTGTTCAAATTCGGTCTAAAGACAAAACGGCAACAAAACACCACTCATATGCTCAATAAGTAAACTTATTTTTGGGATTTGTGTGTACACCTTATGTGCATCAGCATGCAACTTTGCTTGAAACCGATTTGGCTTGCTACTGAATAGAAATAAATGTTGAATTGAATTTAAAAAACTGCAATGCATTGTTATGACTAACTTGCATTTAGTTTGTTTTGAGTAAAACATTTGAAATCATATTTTGATTTAGTATTTTTGGTTTTTATTTGACAGATCCTGGCTGTATGCTTTGTGTTCTGCTTCATCTACTACTCCTACTACCACTTTGACAACCTGCATTTCCATGTGACCCATTTCTACGCCCAGTTTGGCACCCCTCATGCCATGCACATGACCGGCCAGCGCTACTTGTTTGGCAAAGGAGTAGATCGCAACATGGACCAGGCCATGCGATGGTTCAAGTAAGTTCATGTTCCATCTGAACATACAGGACTTAATTTCAAGAAAAATCCTAGTGGAAAATTTTCCTCTTGACAATTATTTGCCAAGTTAAAATTGGTCGGGAATCAGTCTCACCAATTACCTGTTTTACTATTAGTGCCTGTATTTCTTTATACACCAATCAGATTTGGCCTTGTTATTGTTGCAGGTATGCTGCTGATAAGGGGCATCCTCATGCTGCACACAACCTGGCTGTGGGTCATCTCCAGGGTTACAAGACAGCACTCAGTGACAGAGAGTAAGTGCAATTTGCATTAGCCCCTCCCTATCAACTTATTAGCCACTCCCCTTTCTTCACATTAGCCTATCGCTTCATCAATACAGTATTCACTCCTCTACCCAGTCGACTAATTAAACCATCCCCTTTTCCATCCCACCATTAAAGAGCAGACAAGTTGCTGAAAGATGCAAAAATGGGCTTGGCTATTTTTGCTCGGAAGTTTTTAGCATCTTTCACCGTTTCAGTGTATACATGATATCTCCGTGTTGTATCACTACTTATCTAAGCAAATTGCTTAGCTTGCTTACTTCTGCTTAATACTGGCGGTTACTCCCATGAAATGAACAATAGTTCCAACATCAAAATATGATGTGCTCATTATAAAAAATTACGCCTGGGTGGTCCCAATTAGTTAGATAAGAAACAGTGATGACAACAGCGGTATTGCAGTAAAGTCATTAGTATGATTACTTTTCACATTTTCTTTGACAGGGAGGCTCGTGGATTGTTGAGGTATGCCGCAGAGAATGGAGTGGATGAGGCTATCAATGCATTGAGCAAGATGTGCCCCAATGGTGAATGCTAAGATGCTGACATAACACTCAGTTGGAGATATGTCTACATCTTATAAGAGGGTCCTATAAAAGGAATGGCTACAAGATAATGCAAATGGATATATGAGGCATTCAGGCAAAATGAGACGAAACTGGGCACAGGCCATATTGAGAAAAATGCAAAAAACTAAATGGTGATTTTCTTTCTTTGCTTTTCAGATTTATTACTGATATTGATAGTCTTTGATATGCCTTCTACACATATTTTAAAGAAACACTTTTAAAATCGTGGAATAAAAGTGTTTGTAAGGAAGAACAAGAACATTAAGCATCTTTCATATTCACGACTACAAAACAGTCAAAAGTTTGAAGGCCTTTTACTCAGTATTTTTACTTTTTTGACATGTCGATAAATGCAAATTTAGATAGCCACGACTTGTCAACGGAATGTCCGATTAAAGTGCAACAAACAGCATTCTAAGGTGAATATTAATCTCTTTCCCCACAAACTCTCATTTTGACCTCTGCCCAGTTGTGTTTTATTTTGCCAGAACACCCCACATATAACAAAAGCTGATGCTGCATTTGCTATATGATGTACAAGGAAAAGAGGTTTAGAAGTAAAATCGGATTGGTTTCTTTTCAGTTGTGCCTTATGTAGAAAACAGAACAATAATAACTGTATGTATTTATCAGATAAAAGTATTTCTTTTCATTCAGAGTTTAATATATTTTAAAGTCTTTTGAGCCCAGGAGCAATACAAAATTTACTATACTTGTGCCTTGAATGTTATTTGGATACATTCCATATCTGTAACTGCAGCAGGGTTATACTGCAAATCTTTGTACTGTGCCTTTTGCAAACAAACCTAAAAATGTGACAAAACAGTGCAAATGTACTAAAGTAAACTGCAGTGGTCTTAGAGGTTCATGGAAATTGTGCAGGTTTTGTCATTTTGTTTTTAAAACCCAAACTTTCTTTCGATGTGCATTTAATAGGAAACATTTGTGCAATACTTTGTGTGAGGTATATGGTATTCAACTTTAGACTGAATTTTGTGCCATTGTATCGTATTTTATCTTTGAAAAAGTGAGTAGTGCAAGACTTTTTAACTGAATATGACAGAATTATTTGTACCTAAGCACTGTATTAGAGTGTGGTTTTTGTTGCTGCTATATTTATTTGTTTACGAATCCATGAAGTTGTTTAAAAATGTCTTTGTGCTTTTAAGTTTCAAGTAAGTGAACTGAGAATAGTATTTGAGGAGTACAGAACAAAAATGTATACATGTGAAGTAAAACGCTGCTATAATAATCAGAGCTATAACGAACATTCGGCTATAACAGACGTCCTCTCAGGCTCCTGAAATAGTATACATGTATTGTACTATAATGCACAATCACTTTAACGTACAACCATTATAACGAACAATTTTTATGGACCCCATTGTGTTTGTTACAATGACGTTCTACTATACACCACATAGGAGTTTGTACAGTATTATTTTTTGGGTTTTGGTGCAACTTCATTCAAAAGCACTCAAGTAAGAGTGAGGAAGCGCTGGTTTATAACACTTGCACGTAGATGATTCTTGCGACAATGGAAATTTTCTCCTGCAATATCTTGCCAAATTTTCAGTTGAAAGTGTTTAAAGTACAAAGCCATGTTATAAATATGTCAAAGTAAAAAAGGTAGAAATTCTTGTGTGTGATATTTGAACTTAGCCACCCACGCACCAAGTCTGACAAGATATCTAATGCTTTCACCAGCACTCTTCACTGGAGGCATCACACAAGAATGAACACGTGAACAGGATTATAATAAAGACTCCAGCATTACGCTAATTACTGTAAAAGGTTGTAGTATTTGTCTCTGACGAAGGGGTCATTGCCATCAAAATTTGGATGATTTGCCAGTACATGCCCAGTGGACATCGAATAAATTGTAACTGAAGGTTTACGGATAATAGCAAGCCAAACATGGAGGATTATTATGCGTGCCTTGCATAGCCCCATCACATTTACATGTCGGAAATTAGTGGATTGATGCAATAACGTTTCATTGACTATTGTTTATCATTTTACACATGAACAAATCAAAATGCACATAACTTCAATAAATGAACAGAACTAGACTGAGTTTAAATCGTGTCTTTGTTTTGGCTTTATTTAAAACATTGCAACAAAGTTTCTGCTGCACAGTTTTACTAACAAAATTAATCCATGAGTTTATTTACAAGATGACTACATACAATATTCCTTAAAGTCCTTTAATAAGTTAAATATGATGAAGAGAAAACCTGGTTAACCAAATATTTTATTGTCAAGCAGTAAAAAGTTGACCCTCCTGTTTCTTCAGTTCACTGTTTGGCCTTCTTGCTTTTCCCATGCTGAGCATTCGGATCTAAGGATCAGTACATAAATACCAATTCCTATTGGTCGAGAGCCAGTCACATGGGTGGTTTTAAACAGCTGCTAAACCCCCGCTGCATTCTGCGCCACATCGCGCAGTACGTGCGAATTTCTTTGCGCGATTTTTTTTAGCACTACGCTCGTGAGTTACATACCGCAGACATGTAAAATAGGGGTGTTTCACAAAACATAGGGTAAAACTGTTGAACAAAATCATTGGAAAATTTGTGAATTTTGAACTCGTTCTGAGTTTTTGACCTCAAGGTATTTATGAATGGGAATAAATATGTACTTGGCAGGTATTAAACAAGTAGTTTAAAACTGGCTCCAGGCCCCTAGCCAAGCACATATTTATTCGCTGCTTATCACTGATAACACCTTGAAAAAACGACTAAATGTTTTCCCTAGTTTCAGGATATCAAACACAGACATCTTTTGTTCGGATTGTAGTGATCCCTCGCAAGTAGTTGGACTCCATAGGGACACAAGGGGGCGAGTACACCAAAGAGGAAGGATGACACAGTAGCTGGGAAAGGAATGAACCTTTACGTATCTTTCAGCTGCTGCCGTTCTTTGAACTGCTTGTCCACGGCATCTGAGAGGGCATTGAGATAGTCCTCCAGAGATACCGGGTTAGCCTGAAAAGAAAAGGAAATATGCATTCAAACTTACTACGTTCAAATGAACACACTTGGGTAAAATGTGAAACGATGACGATTGAAGGATGCAATTCTTCAGTGTTCAACATCTAATGGAAATTGTGTGTGTTTCTTTTGAGGAAATGTCTGACACTAGGTTTTCCCCTTGAAGTAAAATCAGTTAAAGGCAAAACCTTGTCTGAATTCCCAAGTGATCTACCAAACAGCCTGCTGTCATTTGTACTTTTTCAATATTTGGCATCAAGCTAGTCTTTGCAAACATTCTTTCAAGATAGCACACACAATACAAACAGAAATCCACACAGCACAAATTGGTAATGACTTCAATGTACCTTTACGTAGAGAGCGTGAGCAAGGAATGGCAGCTTCCTCAGTGTTCGTCCACTCAGCCCTTCACTCTTACTGCAAAAGGCGGGGGGGGGGGGGGGGGGGGGAAGAACATTTTCACTTTAAAAAAATCCGAATTCATTATTTCATTGTGACTTTGATCAATTACAATGGATTAAAGGTAGAGTAGATCATTTGCAGCTATCCAAAAAGTAACTGACACAATTTTTGTTGAAAAGCATACTTGGTTTAAAGATAGTAATGGCAATAAACTCCCTGTGAAACTATTCTCTCTGGCATGCTGTCATTTTGAAGAAATCCAAAGATGTGTCAAATTTCCCTTAGTAGTTGATTTGTAATTCGGCGATGCTGGGTTGTGTTTATATTTGGAACTTACCAGGCAATTTCCTTGAGTTTCAGACTGAGTTTAGTGGCATCGTTCTCTATAAACCTCATGACCTCCAGGGCCCTTAGGTCAAGAAGCTGCTGGGCGGGGCTGATGATACGGGCCTACAAATAATGAAAGGCAACTTATAAAGGCTGCGTCAACATATTTTTTTTGTAAACAGAAAATCCTTTCCAGCTAGGAAGCATTCCGCAAGGAGGGGGAGGAACTGATTTAGTGAACACTGTTTATATGCATGGACATTTGTAAGCAAGGGCATTTATACTCCATGAGTTTCTGAAGGTCAAAATGCTTGGGGAGCAAAATTCAGGATTCTCAAGAAATGCGGGAGCAATTACCCCTTACCACTCTGCACACCACTTCTACTGTCTATGGATTAACTACAGCCAGAAACAGAAACCCAAACACACACAGAATCCAAGTTGATCATTGACTTGCTTGAACCGATTGGTCAACTGGTGTCACGGAATCCCATGGAATCAGCTGGGGACTAAACAAAAAGCCAAACCAGTATTACATATGTTGGCCTGGGTAGGAATTGAACCCAGGTTACGGAAGCAGATGGTGGGAAAAATACCACTACGCCAACTGGACTGACCTAATACCATGCTGTGCAAGGTGCTGTTAGGAAAAGAAAAGGACTTACCCGCATGAGCTCATTGATGCAGGAGTGGTAGATCTTGAAGCAGGCCGACGCCGATGGCGGGCCGATGTACTGCTTGATGTCCGCTCGGTCAACAAAGGCCAAATCAATTGCTTCCGTCACGTTGGATGTGGTCAGGATCAGGACATTAGGATGTCTGAAAGGGAAATACGTTAAATACGTACATATTAGGTAAATACGTAATCTATAAAATAAGACATTGTTGGATTTTCATCAGTCTCTGGATCATCTTACCGTTTGATCTGATCAATCTGTGTCAGTAGGGCGTTGACTACACGGATTGCGTCAGAGGGCTCCGTGCCGTTCAGTGAACTCTTTCTGGCTGCTGTCAGGCTTTCAACCTAAAAACAAAGAAAAGAATTATTTTAATTGGGGCAGATCAGGCAGTTAGGAATAATCCAGTATACTGTATTACAGATGCTGAAATTACAGTCAGACGTTAGACATTTTGACCAAGTACATTTGCCTCGTAAATATTCATAAGGTGTAATAAATGATCTTATATGGAAGCATACTGACCTCATCAATGAGCACACAGACCAAGGCATCCGTGTCATCAATCAACTCCTGAATCTTCTGGAACATCTTCATGACTAACTTGCCGCTCTGTGAGGTCCAAAAAGGATAACATGAGTGTACAGCTTAAAGTCTACAAGACCAAGGACTGCACATGAGATATATTTTAGTGAGCACCTTATAAAAGGATGGAAAGACTGAATGACTCCAACCTCAACTCTTAAATAAATTGGTTTTAAGCAAGAAGTTGAATTGTTCTTTATTTTTTTCCTGCAAGTTTAACCAAACCAGGCAAATTGGAATCAGCTAGCAGTAGCTTGTAAAGAGTAAAGAAACACATGACAAAATGCACAAACTCCACACCTAGGCAACAAAGATAAATATTGAAAACAAAATATCCATGTGTCTCCTTAACAATCTTACCTCTGAGAACCATTTGGAGAAGAGACTGTGGCTGTTGATCTCAATCAACTGGCCATAGGTGTACCTGTGAAAGGAGATAACAATAGTGTATGCCATAGAAGGAATTAAGTTGCTGGTACATAGATCTTCTACGATCTTTTCTGACCATTAAATTGTAAATCGAATAAACCAAAATTGTGATCTTCAGTGATAAACTATTGTCATTAATTGAAATTTTTACGACATCTTGCTGAGGTTCACTTCAACAGTTCCTCACCTATCTGATAGTCGAATGCAGAGTTTCTGTGCTAAGGCCTTGCATAATGAGGTCTTGCCTGTACCAGGTGGACCTGTGAAAAAAGGGAAAATAAAGCAGAGAATTCTGCGGTTAGCAGAGTCAAGATATTGAGCCCTGGTTTTGGTGTATTTGGATGATTTCAGGACTGTATATGTGGGCCTTGAGGCCCAAATTTGATGAAGTCCAAAAAGTGCCACAGGATTTGATATAAAATTAAAGAACATGAGTTGAATTCAGATCCTTACAAGTCCATCACAATTCCTTCAGTCCCAAGTCAAGTCACAAACTATTCAAATGAACAATGACAAAGGTGTTCCTTTGTCATCGTTCATCGTGTGTTACTTGTGAAATTTTGACCTGACTATTTGAATTGTGATTGACTTGTGATTGACTTGATATGGAATATGATTGACTTGTGATTGACTTGTGATTGACTTGTGATTGGACTTGTGATTGACTTGTGATTGGACTTGTGATGGACTTGTGATGGACTTGTTATTGACTTGTGATTGACTTGTGATTGACTTGTGATTGACTTGAGATTGACTTGAGCTTGACTTGTGATTGACTTGTGATTGACTAGTGATTGACTTGTGATTGACTTGTGATTGACTTGTGATTGACTTGTGATTGACTTGAGATTGACTTGTGATGGACTTGTGATGGACTTGTGATTGACTTGTGTTGGGACTAGTATTAACTTCTGATGGGCTTGTGATTGATTTGTGATTTGACTTGTGACTGACTCGTAAATGATTAGGATGGAGTTATGAAGGAATTGTGATAAACTTATGACAGGCTTCTGAATGACTTGTGATTGACTTCCGATTGATTTCTAATGGACTTGATATAAGTCTGCAAAGGAGATAGGTATCATTTGATTGCAGAGATTCAGAGACAGAAGAAAGCAAATGGGTCTTTCTTACCATGCAACAGAACCACCCTGTTCCATGATATGATGTTGGGATCCACCTTGCAGTCAGAGAACAGCAGCGTTGTGGTGGCATAGTGCAGCAGGTGGGATTTGATGTGAGTGTCAAAGACGAGACTGTCCCAGATTCCCTCAAAGTCCGCTGAGAAGAAATAGGATGAAAAGATGAGGATACAAAACAACAAACCTCTTTAATGTGGAAAACTTGGTGACTCCGAAATGGACTCGACCTCAACACTGTGAACAAGTACATTCACAAAGTGTTTGGTAAAATGTCACCTGTATTAAGCAAGAGATGTGATTGGCTGACCTAGGAATTTACATGATTACCCACCTGCTGGAAGCAGCCAATGGGAGGCAGCTGCCATCTCCTCGCCTTCCAATTCCTCCATCCCTGGCTCCTCATTGGACAGTTGGAAAACATGCAGATGCAGCTCTGACTGACACAGATCAATGGCCTACCAATATTAAGAAAAAAAAAGTTGGAAAGTCCAGAAACATTTTTGGTGAAGCATTAGAACATCATGCTAGTTCTAAAGTGGAAAAACTATAGTTATATGATTTCAGTGTCGTAAGATCAGATAATGGCAGTCAGGTTGGTGTAGCAGTACTTTCCTCGCCTTCCACCGCTGTGACCCAGGTTTGATTCCTGCCTGGGTCAACATGTGGATTGGGTTTTCAGTCCCTACCTGATTCCTTAGCTTTTCCTCAGAATACTCTTTTGGGGTTTTCCTCCCACCTCTTAAACTGTCATTTCTTCACATTGTGAGACCGGTGGATTCCACTGAATGGGCTACCCAGTTAAATGAAGAAATAAATAAAAAATAAATTCAATAATTTACTATAAATTAGCAGCGAGGTTGGACTTACCTGTTTACCAGAGCCATCCAACTCTGTGTCGCATATTGCAATCCACTTGACGTGCTCCTTCAGATACGGATCGTCAAACTCCGTCAGGTTCATGTCCCCATACGACACCCGCTGTCTGTGAAGCAACTTGGTGACATGATCCTTGATAGATTCCCTGTGCACTGTGCTGTAGATGAAACGTAAAAATTCCCCTCAATATGTTGTTTTTTATGTGACTTCCAGCAAAGTTTTAGCTATATATGCAAGTTTACAATGTCTTTAAAAGCGTTAGTAAATGCTAGTTTGCTAGGGGCATCAACGACACCCTCCCAAATAAATGGTTCCCAAAATCCTAACTGTGAAATATCAGTGGTGCTGGTCTGAGTGGTTGATCAATTTTATGTTATAGGTTTTCAAGTTGCATTTTTTTACCTGCAGGGATTTTGACAGACTTCCACATGAACTGACTTGGCTGGCGTAACTGGCAAGGCGTCTTCCAGATCGGTTACTCTGTACATATCTTTCAGCTTGTGCAGGACAACGTGGCAGTTCATAGAGATGATCACTGCTATTTACTTCACCAACTTGAATTTGAAATAAAATGCAAGGAAATTTCTTACATTAGTCAATTGAGGGATGATCATTAAATTACTTTAAGTCTCACACAGCACTTCCGGAAAGATCACTTTAATAGAGCAAAAAACATGTCTGATTGAAAATGAACAGAACAGAAAGCAAAGTTGACATTTGATAGGCGCATGATCATGATGATGATTGACAATGATCGAGTCGTAACATTCATCGTGTTCATGATCATGAAGTAAATAATATTCGCAGTGGCTATCGTTACGGCAGCCGTAACGCATTTCCCATTTTCTATCGTTACGGTAGTACTGCAACTTTTATAAAAACATGAGAAGAAAATATAAAATTAGAAGGAAAAAAGTGAATTTGAAAGTTATGAAATTCGGACTTTATTTCCCCTTTTAAAAAAATCCTCCAAAGCCTCAGGTTAGAAAAGGAAAAAACTTCGAGTGCAAAACTGAGATGCGAACCCGCAACCTTGCGGTGCAAAATCCTACCCTCTATCGACTGAGCTGTCGCACTGCTCGCTAAAACGTGGGGAAACAAATATTTATACACCTGCGTGCGTATCAAAAAGTATCGTAGAGGGCGCTAAACAACGGCTGCCGTAACGATAGCCACTTCGAATAATACTAATATTTATAGGCCTTAAACATTTCTTCATGAGTTCATCGTCATTTTCTTTAAAAAGTTGCTCATGACTTCCAATAATTTAAAACGAGACACAATTAACAAAGCTGTAGAAGGATAATGCAGACCTTCACCGACAGGAAACGTGAAGTTTATCACATTACTTACGCAAATAGAAGTTTTGTACTGGATTTGTAACGACAAATTTGTGATCGTATTTCGCGCCGCACCGCCGTGTGTGTTGACAAGCGCCCCCAAGAGTTAAGAGATATTCTTTTAAAATTGACGGTAACTAAAGGGATCTCGTTTGAAGCATTAAAAAAAAAAGACGCCGATGACAATTATTGTCACACATTCCTTCCTCCGTGGTCAAACCCCGTATTGTAGTTTTGTTTTCTTCAAATGCTGAAAATTTACCGATTAATGAAAATACAAGTTTTATTTCATCGTAAAATGTATATCATTAAAACCTCCTATGTACCGTCTCAAAGAAATCATTGCCTGCATGCTGTACTGGTCACCGTCTATGTCATCTTAGAAAACGTATCCATACCTGTCAAAAAGTAAGTCTCCATAATTAATTATTTTAACAATATGATGAACAAAAAGAGTCATAGAAACTATAGGCGAGTTTTAGTAATACAATTTTATCTGCTTGTAATCACTTTGCAATGTTTAATTGTACAATTTTCGTGATGTCTCCTTGGAAGGCGGCAGGATATGTGAACTTTCTACTTGAGTAAATAGGCCCTCCATTATTTTTGGCGGAACTTTCAACGTTGACGTCGACGTTACTCGTTGTACATGTAGGCCTACAGGTTGGAAAAAATCCTACTTTTCCAGATTGTTTTGGCCGTTACGCAGGCAGGAAAGATGATTATGGGGATTGTTGACCGCAAAGCATCAGATAACTCGTTTGAGTAAGTTCAAATTCAAAGAGTATTTTAGCAGGTATATGTTTTTGTAACGTTATTATGTGGTTAAGTGTGAGCAGACGATAAGTTGTAAACTTATATTTTGTGTATCGTCAGGCCCCCTAAAGCTACGCGGTCCTTTTTCTACGCATTTACCTTCAATTGTGTGTGAAAACGCGCGCGCGTATGCAAGCGTTACCTGCGTAGATAATGGAGGGTCGAGGATATGCATGCAGTCCTAGCCTAAGTTGGACGACGTCTTCATTGCATTACGACTGACGTCCAGGGTATAAATTGTACCACCTTAAGTTAGGCTATAGCGAAAAAAATTATAACACATGTACACAACGGAGTCCAACCTGGGCTAGCATGCACCCGTACCCCTGTAAAGCGACGCTACACTTTAACAACTGCCCGGACTGATTCTGACCATGGCCTTTTTACTAGCGTTAAAAGCAACGCAAACCGAGAATGCAAGGCCTATTTCTGAATTTGGCTGTAACTTGTATTGCAGCGACTATAACGTAATTAACAGATAATATATTCAGACGCCTATTTCCGACACAATTGTTTATAGAAAAAAATAAGACAAAACAGTGCTCATGAATGTAGGCCCTAATGTGGAGTCACATTTTCGGACCTGTCCTTCACTTCAGGGTTGGGGTTGGATCCACATTTGTTACATGCTTTCAACATCACTGTTTCAACTGAGTATATTCTATCATCTAGGCCCTATTTGATTTTTTAAAATATTTTTTGTGTGTGTTAATCATGCCACATGCGTATTGCATTGCTTCTCAATTAGGCAAGCCCATTTAATGATTTTTTTGTAACAGTGGTGTAAAATAAAACAATTTAGACCAAACCATTAGTCCGTTTAAAATAAAACTTCTCACGGTCCCTTTTCAAATTTGTTCTCTACTGCCAAAAATCTTCTGTTTTTTTAAAGTGATGTGGGGGCCTACAGTACCTTCATTATTTCTTATGTGTAATTTTTGCCAGTATATTTTGAAACACTGACGCAAACAAAATGTTGCACATGTAAGCACATGTATTTTTTAAAAGATAATAAAGAAACTGTCCAATTATTTACGTGTGAAAGTGAGCAATATCTGTGGATGTACCTGGCCTTCTTTTATGAAGTTGATTGTCGTCAGTAAGTGAGACACTCCTGAAACTCGTGTTCGGTGACCTGTGAAATCTTATGTGAAATGTCTTCTCTACTGCCAGATATCTTTTTTAAAGTGATGTACAAGACCTACATGACTATGTGGGGTTTTTTTTCTGCTAGCGCAATTTGAAACACTGACACAAAAAAAATGTGCCCATGTTTGTAGGCCTACATGCATTCCAAGATTTTTTTTAATCCTGTCCAAATAATAGACTATGTATGAAAGTTAACAATATCTGTGATTAAACGTGGCCTTTTTTATGCAGTTGATTGTCGTCAGTATTTGAGCTACTCCTGACAGTCGTGTTCGGTGACCCGTGATCGCTCGTCTTATTTATAGAAGCTTTATGAATATGATTAAAAATTTCATACACCATCAGAACGGAGAGGGCCTCTTTATCGAGAGATGGCCTGTGGAACTAGAATAAGGACAAGCATGATTAAAATCCGCTGAATGTCTCGGCGATATTAATAAAATCGAACCAGTAAATCTGGAAAAATATCGGAGCTAACGCAGAACCACTGTGACTGTAGTGATGATGGCTATCATGACTCGATGCTGTTGCTTCAGCACAAGGAAAGGTGCAATTGCGGCTGGGATATTTTCTTTGGTAAGTCAATTGTAGACATTCTCGGAGGGGTTTGGGGCTTAAAACGTAGTGTAATACTAACTTACTCAAACATGTTTTAAGGTTAAATAGTTTCATACTAAAAACATGTAGGGCCTAAATAAACAAACATTGTTCGGATAATTCCGCTATAGGCCTACAGCGTTATATAATCTTTAAAAAATAAGTATAGACCCATAATTAAAAAGAAATGTACAGCCAAAGAAATATGCAGTTAAATTGTGTGTATTTTATTTTTGAGAAAAAAGGAAATGCACATTTTATTTAGGTTCTTTCCCTCAATCAAAACAGACGAAGGGGAAAAACACCTTATGTTAATTTACACTATGATGCTTGTGGTGTGTTTTTATGAATTTTAAATGCATGTGGCAGTGATACATAATGAGGGCAGGTAGATTTGTAATATACATTTGTTTTATCTTCAATTTTATTTAGATGAAATCAACAACATAAAAACAATACAAAGATTACTGATTCAGAAGCAAACAGTTAATTTCATCTGGGATTGCTCACAAAAGCCAATTGTGACACTTTTTAAATATTTAATGTTTATCTTATGTGGATATACATTTTATGCCTCAATTGTATCACTTGTTGCTTATGACATGAGCAATGTGCAAGATAGAAAGAAAAAAATAATGCAAAGAAACGATAGTATTTTGTTTAGTACCGATAGTTGGTCATACATATTATGCAAATCTTTTGATTGGTATTTTCCAGTGCATAGATTATACACTCTTTAGTACGTTCGACTTGAAGGATCGATTTGATCACATCGTATACGGTGTACGGAGGTCTATGAGCATTTGCCAGTGAATGAAGATGAGGTCAATTACCTAGGCAACGCGGCAGCCATTTCGCCGCCTTTCATTTTGTCCATCAGCCGTTAATATCCTACTCCTTGCGATATTATCATGCACAGTTGGTTTGAATACGCAGTCCGCATGGGGACCCACAGGGTGGCTTTTCACAGTGGCTGTGACATTGCAAAATACACCGGTGATTGCACTCTACAGATACAACCACAAAGAAACTGAAAGTGAAAATTACAATTTCCCAAATGGATAACGTTTGAATAAGAGTCTGTGCTTTTATGCAACCCCCCACTTCTGTTTGATGCTTATTTATAAGCAACGTGTTCTATAAATCAACGATTCATTTTTTTTTTATCAGACATTATTTTTCTCCACAGATATATTGTGCAATTTTGGGTGGTTGCAGTGTTTGGAGCTATGTCTGCATATCAGTTTACATTTTCTTATACAGTGAGTGATTTGTTTTAACATAAATCCCTCTCATTTATTGCACCATGACATTGGATAATTGGGCAATAAAAAAATTAATACTTTCATAATTATATTTTTTAAACATAAACAAATCATAAATATTCATGCGTCGTCTATGTTGAAAAAATATCCTATCCAAATTAAGATATATGGGGAGAATGATGACTCTTTCCTTCAGTCACGCCAGAAATTTTGAAGAAAGAAATCTATGAAATATACGTTCTCACATGTCAACAATAATTGTTCCCTTTTCCAGATATGGGCTTCATCTTGTACTTCTACTACGTACTGTTTGCATGTTATGTCATATTATCCATCGCATCAGTCTGGTTACTTGTCGGAATTTCTAAGGTAATTGCTTTATGCTCAAAGAAAATAAATTTGAAATCATCCATGACTTAAAAAATATCCACAGAATGATGACAGGTTATTTGTAAAACGACACACAAAATATGATTTTATTTATTAAAAAAAAATAAACTTGCGATAACTGCCTTCCCCTCCCCCCCAAAAAAAAATCATTACAAAATAAGACTTGTTTCAAAATTATTTCAGAATTTTTGCCATTAGTCTGAGATAAAGTCGGCGACTATGACGATGCTTGATTAGGAATAAAGACTGTGATTGGTTCATGTTACAATAGGATGATGATTAATTACCATTGACATCTCATTCAAGTAATTTCAGTTTATAACACTAGAAAGCAATTGAATAATTGTAATCCATCAAGACCTCACAATTCCTCTTTAAAATGCACTGAACGTGTTTACATCGACAATTAGCTGGCATCTTTAATTTCTTTTTTTACAGGATTTACCAATAACGCTCAAGCTGTACATCATATTTCTAATGACAATGATGTTGTCAGAGGTCATATTCTGGGTCGTTGCCTTGGCAACACTGGTAAGCATTTACGACGAATAGAGCGTAGCAAAGTCAAAGTCTTTACTTTAAAAATTTCACGACAATTTGTTTTCCTCCCAAAGATATGCCTTTTCTGGTAAGGATGTTTCAACTTCTGTTCAATCTTGTCAGATTTGTAATATAACAGAACAAGCTAAACAGACTCAGTGAAGCAAAATGTTTCAGACATTTCAAAATGTTCGAGTAATGTTTTCCAAAAGATCAGATTGCTTTCTTGCCTATCAACGGCAGCAATTTTGTCTCACACTTCTGCTGATTAAGTTCTGACATTTTTTTTCATTTTATTAAAAATGCTGACTTGATATCTCTCCCGAATTTCCACAGGGTTTTGCGGAAGCTTGTGTCATCCTTTCATTTGTAATCTACCTGACCTGTCTCCCTTTCCACGTGAGTGTAAGCTAGAATTGCCTCAAAAGCCTTTCCTTAAAGAATCAATTTCTCACTGAACAAACTTTGGTTTCTTTCCTTCTTTTTGTCGTTTAAAGTTTGAAGCAACTAATATATTTTAACAAAATAATGATTTAAAAAAAAATGACAATAGGTGAAAATCGCACAATCCTTGCTTTTAAGTGGCTTACAAATTGTGTAAGCTACTGGGAAATTACATAATGACTGTGATTAAAAAAAAACCAAAAGAGCTTATTATTTAGACAAAAAACATGAAAACAAGAGCAATATATAGCGTTAAAATTTATTAGAAATCTTGTTTATACTCGTAGATTGTCAACGTGTTATGTGTCATCTCTCAATACCAAGGGATGATACAACGGGCAGGCGTACAGGCAATCAACACTACTGGTCCTGCCACACAAATTCAAGAATTGAAGGTATTTCCTGGAGGGCGTCCTCATACCTTTTGCTTAGAATTTCAAAGTTCAGCTTGATAGTCCTAAAATTATTAACAACAGACAAATCAATAGATGCGTAAGAATGACTGCAATTTTGATCTCTTGATTTGATTACAAAGGCAGCTTACAAATTCGTATTATGAAATATAATATTTTACACAAAAAATATCGACATTAATAATGAGTGGGCGTAAGGATTTTGCAGAACATCTTAAGCTAAAAATACCCATTTCCCATCTCTGATCTTATGCTTGCTATCAACTAAATAAAAAGTCTAACTGTGTAAAAAATACGTATCATCATGGGGTAATCAACGAAGGCACGTAAAGTGTGATTTTTTTCTGATATTAATAAATTGTTCTCATTTGTTTCAGCAGCCACATTACCCCAACACCACGACCACCACTATCCACGGCTTAGTGCCTACCTCCCAGCCCGCACCCAGCGTCATCGTGCTGAAGTGTCACCAGCCGGACCGGAACCACGACTCAACACACCATCCCATCCACGGAAAGGGCTTCCGTCAACAAGGATATGTCTGATAATACCATTCACTATTAAAAATTAAATCACTCTAACAATAAATATGTTGAACTATAGAGACAAAACTACGTTTGTATGTGGCTACAATTTGCTAATTATTTAATATAAAACACCCTCATCCAAGTGATTAAAAATGAATTACGCAGCATATGAAATCATTCTCAATATTTTAATACTCAATAGGCACACAGAAACCACACTGTCTTGATATTTTCTTTTTACGTTTTTTGGAAACTGGAGAAAAAGAAGTCAGCGTATTTCTGATTGTAGAATTTTCTCACAGTTATTAGCCCTCAGCCTGTGGTCAGTCATTTGTGTCAAAGTTCTGGTCTTTCATAGGTGTTTAAAATTAGTTTGAGTGCATTTACTTAAATTTGTGTAAGAATGAGCATTTCAGCTCGTAGTGCATAAAATAAAATATGAAAACATTTATTGCGAATATAATTGCACCAACCCATTGGATCTTAATTGTGTGAAAATAAATTAGCTTAGGCCTACCTATTTTTGTTACAATGTGTGTTGGTTTTGTCGTTTAAAAAATAGGGTTCGAGTGTGTGCGAACAAACATCCATGGGCCCGGGCATCATGGTAACTTGTACAAACTAATATTTTGTTCCATCGTTCTTAAATTAATATACGCATTAATCTTGCAGATACTGAATTAAAGTACACTTTTCGAGTGAGCAAGAGATCACGAAAACTTCAATTCCAAACTTGAGTAAGCGTGCTTTGAAAAATCACCACGTCAATCACGACATTCACCTGTTATAGTCTTGGATCACATCGGCACGCGATCTAAATGTATGCTCTCGAATAAAAGTATACGAAATAAAGTCATCATTAATTTCTGATTACCTCCTTTAAATTAAGCACATTACACTGTAGACACTTTCAGGCCTTCCACATGGCTAAAGATTTCAGCATTTCAGTCATTGTGATTACAGATTATTCAAGAAAAAAATGCTCATCTATCTAGCTCTCACCAACAATCCAAAAAAGAAGGGTCTACTCACTTGAATTATGGGTACTATTATACAAGAAACTATGGCGTCATTCGACACTGACAAGAAGAAAACAGGCAGTAGGGGGTTATTCTATATTAGAGGTATAGGCCTACCTAAGGTAAACTTATCAGAGGAAGAAGTAAGCATGCAACTTCTTTTCCACCTCCTGATGACATTTCAGATGCTCATTCCCCGACCAGCTTTGAGCTCCTGGTACTGAGAGACCACACACAGCAAACACATTATCTGTTAAAAAAAGAAGAAACAAATTGACGTTATTTGTTAGTATTTACTGTACAAGCATTACATTCACTGTGTGGATGTCTGAACAAAAGATGTCCAAATAAGCCAGGTAGCAGCGACGTCGTGTGGACTTGCCCACGTCCACAATGTTGCCCCCTGTCTGGAAAACAGGTTTAAAGGCATTTTTGGGTTAGGTTTATCCGAGGCAAAATGAAGAGAAACACTCAAGGGAATCATAGATCAAAAATGGGTTGAAAGAGTTTTCACAGTGTGAGTAAAATGATGTTTTTTTCACGTTTTTTTTCTCAACTACACGAAAACAAAGGAATGTCCACACTATATAGTATGTAACGTAAACATGTCTGTGTTTATGAAAGTTTGGAATTTCTGTTACACTATAGACATGCCTTTAACAAGCTACAATCAAATAATTTTTTTTTTATATAATGTGACTTATTACGTTACCACTGCTTTTGATTTTTTTGTTAATCTACTGTCCGAAACATTCGATATATAGATATTGTAAAAGTCAAAATCTTTGTGAACTTACATTCACAGCGATGATTGCCATCACCACCAGTACAAACAAGAGAGTGAGCCAATAGAAGAATCTCTGAAAGAAATAAGAAGTTGAATACTATCTTCATTTATCATGCACTGCATTCAATATACATGTAAAAGTCTTCTCTCGATAATAAAATACAACACCTCGTTACCTGTAAAGATTGTGTCGGATCACACGGACGCTCTAAAAAAAAACATCCGGGTCTGCAGGTTGACCCGGAAAAGTGGCATTTTTGACCCGGAAAAGGTTACGCCAAATAATACCCGGATTCCAGGTCAATGTGACTTACTTTGGTCAAGGTGAAAATAAAACTCGAAAAAATCTAAGATTTTCTAATAATATACTTGTAGGCCATATATAAATTATGTATATATTTTTGGTTTTATTTTTTCATTTTACCAATTAAGTCTCGTCTGACTTCCAATGGTCTTGTTTTTTTTTTTTGGGGGGGTGTTATAAATTTAAGCTGGGTCATGATTTATGTTCCTGAAGTATGAGTACTTCAGGGACTCACCACAAGCTCAACGATGTATATGATCAGCATTGCGCACTGTAGCAGAATAATCAGCGTCTTGACAATGACGAACGGTATCAGCATCCCCTTCAGATCTTGATACACACCGATCATCATGAATATGGACGTAATGAAGGCCAGTCCCCAAAAGATCATACCAATTATGGACGTCACGAAATAAGTCGAAGCATCGTCTGAAAAGAACACAGAACAAAAGTCGTTTCGTAAAGTCGTAAGGCTTTATATAAAGTTCTGCAATTGAATAACAGGGAAAACTAGTATTCAAGGGTCCACTGTACTACCATTACTAATATAGTAGGCCAGTTTTGGGATTACCCTGGATTGGACATTTTGGGAGACATCCCCCATAGACCTGTGCTTATGATTTTTATTTCCTGCATGGGGTCGCCCTCAGAATTTTAAAACAGAACATCCTTTCAACCCTTATTATGCATTATTCAATTACTTTGCGCCCAGCTCTTCGGAGCAAATATTTTGTTTCAGTTGAAGTCATATAGGGGTGTGGCCCAGGGAATTTAGGGTGCTATAAGGCTTTGATCCATCACACCCCCCCTCAGATGTCAATTAAACACTTACTTGCGTTTGCGGTTTGAACAATGAGGACGGCAAAGTACACAAAGCCCACCAGAGCATAGACCTTCAAAATAAAAAAAAAAAACAGTTGTCGTATTACGATAGGGCAAATTAATTGCCCAAATTCTAAAAAACATAAATGGATACCAGCTTTCCCGAAACGGCTAGTATCATGGCTACGGTACACTATTCGTTTCATTAACAAGCTTAGAGATCATTCAACTCCTTTCTCCATGTCAACTTTTAATGGGTTCCTTGAAAAATACTTTCTAAACATAAAACATGGAACAGTCGCTGGATACCCCAAAGGCACACATACTTTCGCTTAGGCTCTTTCAGCGCCGCGTGAACTGCATGACGATCTGGTTAAAAATAATCATACCGTATAACATTTGAAGGGGCCTATATTATAAAAATACACTTAATTTTTCTCGCTACAATTTGATAATCGCAACCAATATTAACTTATGCGTTAAGTAAAGTCCGTACCAGTATCCCTATACGTGTACCATAAACCTCCAGAACTTTATTCCTCAAGGATTGAATTAATCTGACTTACATGTAGCAAGCAAGCAGGGATTGTGTACTACATTTACAATAATGCATTATCGGAAAATCATGGAATTTAAGTCAGGAAATACAGAAAACGCTTGTAATGTTTTGTCCCTTCTGCAATGACTTAGGAAAGTTAACAAAGGAAGTATAATTGCAACAAAATTTAATTTCATTGTTGGTATAGAGGTGAAGTTTTATAATATTGAGAATAAAATCATTTACACGTATTGAAGATCAGGGACATACAGGGTTCTACACTTTGTGAGCAATTTTTGCCGAGCTAAAATAACATAAAGTCATTGGTATACTATCTCCCATGCCTTCGGTATCTACATCGGAGGAGTGGTTAACAAAAACCATCAGATACCATCACAGTTCGCATTTCTTGCAGTGTGCTGCAATCCAAACACCAAGAGCATTGAAAACGCGCTAAAGACTGATATTGTAAAACAATTATTCCATGGCACACGTAGCAGATTTATATCGTAAATCTCTTGTGAGATGAAATCGATATCGGGCTCGCAAATCTGTAAAAGAAATTACTATGACATACATTACTGAATTGATGATAACTTTTTTACTGTACAGACTCCAATCCGTGCATGTTCACAAAATATTCGACAAGACTTACCAACGTGTAAACTCCACTCGCATAGGAGCCGGTGCGAACGTTGTCAAAGCAGCAACACCTCGTTATTATTGCCATATTATTGCCCCAGTCCTTTCCCCAGCGACCGTTAAAATGTAGAATTTTTAGTTATAAATTCCACAAAAGCGGCAGTACAAAATTGAAGACGCGTATAGGCCTATTACGGCATCGCACTGCATACGGGATGGCAGTACTGTTCACAGTCGGCGCACCGCGGACGAGCCATACTTGGAAGTGATCACAGGCCTGGCCGGTTAATATGTCCTAACCTTCGGCCTTTCCCCGTTGGCACTCATAAGATGGAATGCTATACCAATCTAAGCCGCGTCACATCTGCCACGATTTCTTCGGAAAGTCCAAATTCATTGGCCGGACCCGTCAACCGGTTTTTCTTAAAATGTTGTAAGATTTTGAGTATTTTACATAATACTTTCACATAATATCAACTGATAGCTAAAATTAGTAAAACAATCCAAAGTAGAGTATGACTTGTTACAGTACAAATGACACAAGTTTTAAGATTTTCCCTATGCGAAATCGATTTGACTGATCTAAAATTCCTATACAGACCCTGCTAATCAAAACAATAATTCATGTCACGCACAGATTAATTGTTTCCTTATATTTTTCTTCAGGTAACTGATCTTGTAATACATCTAGGGACCTAGATATTTTCTGGAGACCTTGGATTTCACTCGCAGGCATCCTAATGAGTCAGATCAGTTTGAACTTGAATCATTCCTCGGGTCTAGTCTGCGCGCCTGCTGTGCGTAGAGAGTTATTTTCATCGTAGAATCTGACGTCCTGACATTAATTTGCTCATATAGTTCGCGCAGTAATCTACGGCTATTTCCAGTGGTATACTCTAAACGTCGCAAGATATAGTTTATGCTTTTGTTTTAGCGGAAGCGAAGTCGGTATGTAATATCTGCGACGAAATTGTACAGGTTTTGTGACGAACTGTCAATTTTTCATTAGTTTTTTTTTTCAAATTGTGTGTGCGATGTACCGTATATAGGTTGTAAATGAAATTTATTTGCATTCACTATAGTCGTCAGATAAGGAATTGTGTTCAATGAACAGATAATTAGACGAAGTGTTAGAGAATATGCTTTGAATGAATTAACGACTACCGGTACTATTTGTCATATACAACGTATACCGTTCTATTCCAATAAGAGCATAATGGATATGAATAAGAACGGAGCCAAAGGCGTTAGGGAAGTAAATCTGTCGGTTGATCGGAAGTCCGTTTCCAGTACCGGTAGTTTGTATGCCGAGCTGTTACTAATTTTTTTGTAGGTCGGTTGAAACAGGACGGGGTAAATTTGAGTTTCGGGTCTGTTTAAATCTCACTTTTTCTATCTGTGTTGAACATGAAGACAATTCTTTTTTTACAATTCCAAAGAAGATCACTTCTCTATTTTCAGACAAAGCACTGAAAAACACAATGTCATATATATATAAACTTGGTACCAATCCTTACATTTGTGAGGACTCAACACGATTAGCCTTTCAAAGGCTGTTTATTATCATCAAATTTAGTGAAAATAAAAGCTTGAAACTACTTCAATCTCGTCCAGTTGTTGCCCTAATTTAAATAGCTGTGTTTATGGATGCCGTGGTTAAAGACCCAAATTCCATCCACAAACAAACTCAATTAATGTTATTATTAAAAATACAGAATTGACGCATTTACAAAGCAATGAGGTAATCATTTTTGATACAAAACCAACAATAGAGGTGAAGGCTACCAAAGTTAAAACTCACCTTTTGAAAATCGAGAAATTGTTTGCAGAGAGCAAACGACGGTGCCTCTAATGCCTGTAAAAACTGGAAGCCTAGATCCAATTAATAAAAGCATAATTAATTGCAACACACAGGCTAACATTCAAACTCAATATAGCTTACTTGAATTTTCAATTGAAAAGGGTGTCATAACATACGGACGCTACTAGATTTCATGCGTGAAATCTGTAAATTCCAAATTGGCATTTGTCTTTTTGACCTAGAAAAGTTTCATTTTTCTCCTGGAAAAGGACTGGGCATATATTCAGATTCTGGCTCAATCCGACCCAGGAGTATTTAGAGTGAAGTTGGACATTATACAACCCAATTCCATATGGGCCAAAACTAAGCTTAGCCGCCTTCGTGCTTAAGCCAAAAGAAACAAAAAACAACTGGTTAAATTTGTGAGCTAATAATCAAAGCAATTTGTTTTGTCTGTGCTTAGCAAAAATTCCATTAATAGTTATGGCAGCTCGATGAAATCGGCCCCTGCTGCATGAGAGCCGTGTGTGTAGTTCTTTAGGGCGCCGCTTTCTCAGAGTAAGCTGGTGGGTTTTCTAGCACTGGTCTAGGTGTGTAACCCTGTTGGGCTGGGTACCCCTGTTGGGCTGGGTACCCCTGCTGGGGTTGGTACCCCTGCGGGGGTGGGTAACTTTGCTGAGGAGGGTAGTTCGACTGGGGTGGGTAGCCTGGTTGAGGGTAGCCCCGTGTTGATGGCGAGACGATGACAGCACCCCCAAAGCCAGGGGCAGTGGAAGTAATAATGTTGATATGGCTCTGCAAAAAAAAGAGTAAAACCCAACATTTGATTGTAACAAAAATAAAAAATAAAAAATAAAGAAATAGTTGGCATTATCATTCCACCCAGCCACTGGTATGAAATTCCTTTAATTGTACTTTTTAAACTTCAAAACTAAAATTTCTATAAGCGTAGGCAATTTATAAATTTGTTTTACTAACGTTTGGCAAGACGTTGAGCCACAATGCGTATTTTTCCCTTTGTAAGGGTGAAGGAACAGTTAAAGAGGTGGAGATGAGGAACTGCCAATTTAACACATTTTGAATTTGGAGATGATCATGTTTGTCAAAACAATTTCCTAAACTTCCAGATGTCTAACTTCAACGGTCGAATTGCCTTAGCACCCCCCCCCCCGCAAGCCATCATTGGTTTCATTCGCAGTCAATCTAGAAGTCTTAATTGCTATGTCAAAGTGTTGTTTTTACCCTTGCAGCCATCACGTCCTCAATACGGCCACGCCCATCCCTCAGCTCCTGGTACTGAGACACCACACACAGGAAGCAAAGACCCTATGCCACACGAAAGAAAATCTAATTATTTCGACGAAAACGAAACTCGTTGACGCTTAGCAATAGCCTACTTCACTTTTGCCTGAAATGTTCCTATTTTTTCAATTTCCACTGAAGGCCTATACTGCAATGAGTGCAATCAATCAAAGTGAACTGTCGGTCATTCTTTGGCATAGCTTAAGTCATCCATTATGATGACCCGTTATATTGTTATTGTTTTCTTCTCCATAGGTCTTTGCAAAAGTACAAGTTAGTCTGCCGCTCAAGTCTGCCGGATCTGTGTGGACTAAGGTAAGGGCCGCCATTTTGATTTATTTTACGAGAAAGGGGCACTTGAAGACAGCCAGCTATCGTATTTCAATTACCTGAATTAATTGCTTGAACTATATATGTACTTACATCCATAAACGTGAATAACGCCGTAAAACCGATACCTATTCCGTATACCCAAGCGGCTACGTAGTAGTATTGCTATTTTGGAAGAGAACCACACAAACGCCATGTGTTAGACAAGATACATTCTGGAACTGATCTCCCAATGAGTATGATGTCTAAACTTATACAGGGTGACCCCACAAAAATGCAACCCTGAAACATTTGCCTTTAAAAAAAAATTGATCTGGGCATTTTATACTTTGGATATCAGATTAAAGCTGAGAGCTTTTTCTTTAAAATACTGAACAAAAAATCGTGAATACAGCACATTTGGTTGCTGAGAAAAAGCCAATTATGTAACAGAAGTGATTTTTTTTCATCTTTCCCAATCAACTACGGTGAAACATTATACTGTAAGCCCATTGTACAATTGCCTTTCATTTGTGCAATTTCTTTAATATTTTGACATATTCATGATACTGAAAAGGTTCAAAAAAGGGGACTAAAAAGGATAAGATGCCTGTTCAGGGGAAAATACGGTATTCCATCAAATTTAGTTGTACTCTATTATGCACTATATTAGTTGTTTGTAAGGATTAAGACACAATGCGCTACATGCATTTTATACACAAATAGGTACAGTGTAAATCCTTTAACTGTGGTAATGCCATTGGAATGGACCAAAAAGGAATTGTGTTACATAATTGGCGTTTTCTCTGCTGTTTTTATAATTTGTTTAGTATTTGAAAGAAAAAAATATCAGCTTTAATCTGATATCCAATACATAAAAATTCACAGATCAGGTTTTTGAAAAAAGGCAAATGTTGCATTTTTGGGGGGTCACCCTGTATATAAACAGTGACGCGTTGTTGTAATAAACAGTGATGTTTGTACTTTAGGTGGTTTTTTGGCTATGTGTTCATGTTTGACAATGTGCACAACCTTGTCCATAAAATGAGTTAAAGTTGGCCATACTGTCAGGTATGCATTTTTTAAGCAAGAGCTTATAAAGATACATAATCGGGCAAAACGTTTTCCATTAATTAAAGATGGTGAATTTGTCGACACACAAGAGAAAATAAAAGTTATAAGAAGGAAAACTCGAAACTAACGTAGCATACTTTATGTGAAATTAGTACGTACTTGGGCTAAGGTATAGATGGATAATATTAGGTATGCGCATTGCAGGAGTATCATAGCGGGCATCACAATCATATACGGCAGGAGATATCCACGCGAATCCTGTTGAGACACCCCAAGAAATACATAATTATATAATATTTATAATAATTATTATCATCATCAACATCGCTACAGGACAGGGTGGCAATCCTATATAACCAGAATATTTTGTAATGTGGCAATAGGTGTCTAAACATTAACCTGTCCTATACGGTTAATGGATTTCAGACATTTTTTTTCCATCGTTTTGTGTCTAGGCTGACAAAAAATTGTGCAGTTCCAAAAGAAACCTTGTAAACTATTCTGGCTGTTAGTGTTACTTTTTAGGTGTAGTATCTGGATCTGGGCCAAAAGGGCTACTCGCATCACATCAGGTGAACACACAAAATGTTGGCTATTAGTAAAATTTCAAAGTCAGCATGGCCGTAAGGGTAACTCACATGAAGCTCACCTTTGAAACACCCACAAGAAGCACAATGGAAGTGAGGAAAATCAGGCCCAGCAAAGCAATCTCAATGCAGACCGTAACGTAACTATCTGCAGACAAACCTTAGGTACAGAAAATCAAATTAAAACAGGAGTCATTGAATGTTGGGTTGCGGACGGTGAGATTATTACTTATACGCATTCACCCTATATTCATAAAATTAACGAGTTGGCTTATTGAAAAAGGTATTGCTATAAAGCTATATTTTCAGTTATTTAAATTGATTGAAATGCATGCCAGTACATTGGATGGTATTCAACTTCTGAAGTTATTTCCTGCTTAAACTAAACTTACATAACATCCATAATTTGTGGAGAAACTTGAAATCCAACACATCGCATAGAAATATGTTTTCAATGAAATTTAACTATACTTCTGATGGAAGCTATTTAACCAAGCTCATTAAAAAAATGTAATAATTGATAAAGAGAAAAGGCATGCTTTTCCGCCATTCCGTCAGGTTTATACATTCGGAGTTCGCAATTGGTAAACCCGAATTGATGCTCATATTGCCAGATCTCCCATCCTCCAAATCCCACGGCTGTCAAGGCATAGATCTTTAAAAAGAAAAAAGTTCATAGCTTGATGTACAACCAAGTTCAACTTTTGTAAGCTTGCTTGCAGTCTATATAGTATTTGCTTTGGGGTATTGGCTACGCTAGTGTGTCCTTATAAATGGTATTCAGAGCACTCGTTATTGCAGTGGATTCGTGCGAGACAGTAATTACACTTAAACCTTAAAGACAGATGAAACTTATCATAATCCGTTTGAATACATTCGCCAATCGCCTATAAACGTGGAATAAAATAGAAACATATTTGCACCTTGCGTGAGGTGGCGACGTCCTGATTTATAACTTGACATTACTAAGTCGACTTTCTGAGAAAAGGCCTTTTTAAACAATTTATCGAGACTGGTCTTCAACTTCCATGCATAGAGGCAGACACCCTACATGCAAGATGTCGACATCCTGCGGGATCTGAATGACGTTTCCGACAACGTCATTGTGCTTTACTTTTTGTCATGCGCGCTGTCAAGTAACGGCACTTGTGTCATCTCGACATATCACCATGAGAAAATCAGGGGCTACATACAGAATTCCCCGTAGAGATATGACCATTTCAAATCATTGCCGGGAAATTTTAAGGCAAGGGACTGTTTATAAGCATAAACATACATGTACATATTGTAGTGGTACTGTGGGTCTTCGTCATTTATGTGTTGAGATTCACCAAGTGCGTCGGTGTTTGCTAGGTTCACTTATGACGCCCTTGTGCCATGTTGTCACATGTCACGAGGTACAAAATTGTTACTTTGAGAATTCTGGTCTCCATGGCCGACTTTTTATGGCAAGGTTTTCTACTCACAATCGAGTATATTCCAGCCACAGTAGACCCACTCCTGACGTTGTCGGAACAGCAGCATTTCTGCATAATCGCCATGATGATGTTTTGAACTTCCTCATACGTCAAAAAGCCTTTAGGAAAAATACTGCGCGAAGTCCGTTCTTTCGCACATTTAATATTCAGTATTTACACACGAACTGAACCTTGTCCCTTGTGGGTGTGTGTGTTGATGACGTACTGATAGTAAATTACAAAAAAAAGCACTTGAACTTGGTAAACTAATACACAATTCGTGTATAAAATAGATTTAGATCCTGGATCGTCCTCAAAGGTTCGTTGAAATCGTGCATTTATACACGTATTGCACTGTTAGTTCCGGTAACAAAAGAGAGAAACATTGTGTGCTAGGACTGTTGTATTACGAAACTGGTACCAAGGTTTATTGAAAAGTAAAGCATCTATAGCGTTATGTCTGCAAGTGGGAAACTATTAACTAAGGTTGCGTCTTCCCATAAAAAGGCCCATTGAGACACCGTCAAATGCCCGAAAAGGCAACGTGGCCTACCGACAAATGATTATACAAATTGGCAAAACTTCCCTTAAAAAAAATAACCCCCCTAAAATACTAGCTTATTTCTGAATGGTCTTTTACGCAGAGCAACACTTCTCGAAACATTAACCGAGGGAAAGTATTTATTCTGAGGTTGCACATTCTCATAAAAAGGTCCGACAAGCAACTGTCAAATGGCCTCTCCGTTTCTAACACGAAGACACTTTGTTTTACAATTCCAAAGAAGATCACTTTTGTATTTTCAGACAAAGCATACAGTTACTGAAAAACACAACGTCATATCCTTAAACATGGACACTTATCCTGAAATTTGTGAGTGAGGACTCAATACGATTTGCCTTTCAAATGCTGTATTATCACCTTTATTGAAAACATATTATGTAAAAGCCTAAAACTGGTTAAATCTCGTCAAGCAGTCGCAATAATTTAAATAGCTGTGTAGGAATGCCCAGGTTAAAGATTTTTACTCCATCCACAAAAAATGCCATTAATTAATTTATAAAAAATATATATAGAATTGACCCATTTACAGAACAATGAACTAATAATTTGATACAAAACTAAACGATTGAGGTGAACATGCTACTAAAGTTACAACCCACCTTTTGAAAATCGAAAAAATAGTTTGCAAAAGTAAATGTAATTGGCTCTGCTGATGCCAGTAAAAACTGGAAGCCTAGTTCCAATTAAAAATAGTATTATTAATTACCAAACACAACCTATCACATTAAACTCAAAATAACTTACGTGAATTTTCAATTGAAAAGGGTGTCATAACATACTGATTACTAGGTTTCGTGCGTGAAATCTGTAAATTCCGAATTGCCAAGTTGGGTAGCTAGGCCTATAGCCCAGCTGCTGAGCAAAAACTATAGCTTATCCGCTATAAAATATCTGAGAACTGCATGTTTACAAGCAATATCATAATTTTGTGAGCTAATACAATTATTAACCAAAGCACTTTATTGTCTGTGCTTAGCAAATTTCTATTAATAGTTATGGCAGCTCGATGAAATCGGCCCCTGCTGAGAGCCGTGTGTACAGTTCTTTAGGGCGCCTCTTTCTCAGAGTAAGGTGGTGGGTTTTCGACCGCAAGTGTATACCCCGGAGGTTCGCCCGAGCACGCCTTCTGTTGAGGAGGGTAACCGGGTTGGGCTGTGTAACCCTGTTGGGCTGGGTACCCCTGTTGGGCTGGGTACCCCTGCTGGGGTTGGTACCCCTGCGGGGGTGGGTAACTTTGCTGAGGAGGGTAGTTAGACTGGGGTGGGTAGCCTGGTTGAGGGTAGCCCTGTGTTGATGGCGAGACGATGACAGCGCCTCCAAGGCCAGGGGTAGTGGTAGTGATAATGTTGATATGGCGCTGCGAAAAAAAGGAAAACCCAACATTTGATTTGGAAAAAAACCCCGAACAAATAAATAGAAATGCACTTAAAAAAAAAGGTTTAAAATGGTTGGCAGTATCATTCCACCGAACCACTGGTATGAAATTACATAAAATTATATATATTGAAAACTTAAAACTTAACTTAATAATTTACCAAATTTGGGTAATATTTTTCCCAATTAGCGTAGCAATTGATAATTAATTTGACCAACATTTTGACAAGACTTTGAGCAACAACGCTTAGTTATTTATTCCTGTTATAAGAGAGTGGGAACAGTACAAGCTTTAACAGGCGAGGACGAGGGACTGCCATCAAATAAATTGTAAAGTTTGATTCATATATCTGCAGAGTACTAGCAGTAAATCTACAAGTTTTGAATTACAATTACAAGCAATGTTTACCCTTGCAGCCATCACGTCCTCTAAACGGCCTCGTCCATCTCTCAGCTCCTGGTACTGGGACACCACACACAAAAAGCAAATAACCTACATGTATGTCACATGAAAACAAAAATGTATCTGATTATTTCGACGAAAACGTAACATCTTGACGCTTAGCAATACGCCCCCTCAGTGCCTGAAATGTCCGCCAAGTGTTTAAATTTCCACTGAAGGCCTACCCTCGGGCATGCTGATAAGGTTACATTATGTCGCAACCCGGAAACGTGCGGCATGCCCCACTTTTTTTTTTGGGGGGGGGGCATGAGTCTCATGCCTCTTTCTCTGTTCGTCTTTTCTTTGGCGTAGCTTAAGTCATGAATTATTACGAACGTTTATATTCTTCCTCTAACTTTCTTCTCCATAGATCTTTGCAATCTGTTCCTTGCTCTATGGTCTAACGGTCAACTGTGCCGGATCTTTCCGGACCAAGGTAAGAGCCACCAATTCGGTTTATTTGAGGAGAGAGGTGCGCTTGAACACAGCCAACCATTGTATCATGATATTTTCCTGTGTTGCAAATACTTGTGGTTCGACTTTCATTATTGCCAATATTATTGCTTGAAAATATGTATAGGCCTATCATACTTACATCCATCAACGTGAATAGCACCGTAAGACCGACGCTTACGCCATACGCCACAGCGTCTGCTACGTAGTAGTTGGGCTATTTTTGGAAGAGAGCAGCAAAAAGTTAATTTTAGATAAGCTAAAAGGTTGAATTGATCTTCGTATGATTATTTTATCTCTAAAGTGATATATTTTTAACAATGATACATCATCATGTAAAAGTACTAACGGTAATGTTTGGCTACGTGGTCACGAATGACACTATACACGACTAAATGGAGCTAATGTTGGCCATACTGGTATGGTCAGGTATACATGTGTGCTAGCATGTTTTCCAGCAGGAGATTGTAAAGATATATACACATCGTGAAATCGCCGTTAAGATGGCGAATGGGTCGATACAGTTGGAAATATAATGTAATGAGAAAAAGCTGATAAGTATTGTCATAAGTGAAGATAGTACGTACGTGGGCCAAGTAATAGATTGATAAAATGAGCAAGGCGCACTCGAGAAGTATCATCGCCGGCATCACAATCATGTACGGCAGGAGATATCCACGCTTGTCCTGTTGAAACACAATAAATAAATACAGATAATAATATAATAATTTTTATCATCGACATCGGCACAGGGCAGTGTGGCAATTCTAACTAGAATTAAACAATTTGAAAATAGGCGTCTAACTTTTTACCTGTCCTATAGTATACGGAAAATGGATTATCGTTTCAATATTATCGTTTCATGATTAGGCTGACCAAAAAAACCCAAAGTAGTTCCAACAGACACCCTGTAAACCAATCAGGCTGTTACATACAAACTCTTGAGTCATCAGTAAAAATGTCAAATGTCAAAAATGTAACAGTCAGCATGGCCGTAAGGGTAACTCGCAAGAAGCTCACCTTTGAAACCCCCACAAGAAGCGCAATGGAAGTGAGGAAAATCAGGCCCAGCAAAGCAGTCTCAATGCAGACCGTAATGTAACTATCGGCAGAAATACCTATTGCATAGTATAAAAAAAAAATGAAAACCAATTAAACAGTATAGAGTTGAGTCATTAAAAGTTTGGTAACGGATAATGATTTTTTTAATTGCGAATGTAAACATCTTCTTAAAAATTGACGGGTTGACTTTAAGTCAGTGTTATACAAAGCACATAATGACATTAAGGAGATGGTTCATTAAAAGTGTATTGCTATAAATGTATATATCATACAACTCAACTATTTGAAATAGTTGGAATGCATGCATTATCAGTGCATCGGGTGGTACTCAACATCTAATGTTATTTCCTTGTTAAACAAAAGCTTATACAAATGGTTCACGACAGCAAACCACTTGAACTTGGTAAACTAATACACAATTCGTGAATAAAAATATATTTAGATCCGGGATCGTCCCTTAAGGTTCGTTGAAATCATGCCTTTGTACAATTATTGCGCTGTTAGTTCCGGTAACAAAGAAAAGGAACACTGTGTGCTAGGACTGTCGTAAACAAAACCTGGGACCAAGCTGGATTGCAAAGTAAAGCACCGATAGCGTCATGTCTAAAAGTGGGAAAACTGTTTGATATGAGGTTACGCATTGCCATTTAAGGCCGGCAAGCCACTGTCAAATAGCCAAATGTATAATTTCAGAAATACTAAGAACTCCCTATTTTTTCCCGGTTTCCATAAGGTGGAAACCAAAAAAGGCATCGAGGTCGATAACCGGGGATCACGCAAATTGTCCAAACTTCTAAACAACCCCTACAACCTATTTTTGTATGGTCGTTTACGCGCAGAGCAACACTCCTCGAACTTTAATGAATTTGTCAAGTTGTTAAACAAAATTCAACATCCATAACTTGAAATCCAACATCGCAAAGAAAATGAATGATAACTGTAAAACCTATAGCCTAGCTCATGTTTAAAAATTTCAAAATATTTGATGACGAGAAAAGCCATGTTATACCGCCTATTCAAATGTTATACGTTCAGAGTTGTTGCGATATTGTTCTCGTGAATTGTTACCCTTGCTTTTGATTGGATGTAAATGTTATAAAATTAAATACCCGAAATGGCAAGTTTTCCTACCATACTGATGCTTGTATCTCCACATCGTCCATCCTGCAAATCCCACGGCTATAAAGGAATAGATCTGAAACACAAATAGCAAATGCAGCATGCATTCTTACAACCTTGTCATAAGATCACGTTCAACTTTTGTAAGCTTGTTCATTTGCAGTCTGGGGGTTTGGCTACGCCTGTTATTCTTTTAAAATGGTGAGCGGAACGTTTGTAAATGCAGTGCCTTCGTATTCGAGACGGAATATCTATGTGGAAGCTGTATGACAAATGAAACTGATTCATATATCATTCAGGATATAGACACTGAACAGTATGTGGCCCAAGATGGCCCAAGCCCCTACTCGTAAAAACTCATAATCATATGGTAAAACATGAAACACAGAGGGAAATTTCCTCATAAGACGTAAGAAGGTATAGTGCTGACATACTGATTTATTACTTATACCATCACGGGATGATGTCGAGATTCTGAGAATATCTTTTTAGCATGACGACAATAATTTCTTTTAGATGTCGACTTTTGTCAAAAGTCAGCTAACAAACATCAGAGGCGTCGACAAGATTATCTGTCGGGATTTCAATGTTTCCACTTAGTCATAGTGGTACACTTTTTATCAAGTGCTATCGTCAGTCGTGTCATCATGAAATACTGGTATTTACGATACGGCCTTGTCATTTCAAATGTGCAACAAAGCCGGGAACATGTTGTAAGTAATAGTCTTTTTTTTTTACTAGTATCAAAATGTATAGACCTAAGTAAGACTATGGGCCTTTGTTTTTTAGAATCACTAAGTGCACCGGTCGGGTGTGTGTGAGGTTCACATTCAAAGTTTTGGAGGTGCTTGTGCCATGCAGTGATTCAGCTGTCACGAGGAACGAAATTTCCACTTTTTGATAATTTTTGGTCGTCGTGGCCCAGATGCTTAATGGCATTGTTTTCTACTCACAATCGAGTATATTCCAGCCGCAGCAGACCCACTTCTGACGTTATCGAAACAGCAGCATCTCTGAATAATTGCCATGATGATGTTGTGAATGGTAGCTAAATAAACTTCCTCGTACGACACAGCCTTTAGGAAAAATGACTGCGCGAATTCAACTCCTTCACACTAACTATATGCAGTGAACCTTGGCCCTTGTAACGGGTGTGTGGTACTGGCTTGTACAAATGGTTCACGACAGCAAACCACTTGAACTTGGTAAACTAATACACAATTCGTGAATAAAATAGATTTAGGCTAGATCCGGGAGCGTCCCTAAAGGTTCATTGAAATCATGCCTTTGTACAATTATTGCGCTGTTAGTTCCGGTAACAAAGAAAAGAAAAGGAACATTGTGTGCTAGGACTGTCGTAAAAAAAACCTTGGACCAAGCTGGATTTCAAAGTAAAGCACCGATAGCGTCATGTCTAAAAGTGGGAAAACTGTTTGATACGAGGTTACGCATTGCCATTAAAGGCCGGCAAGCCACTGTCAAATAGCCAAATGTATTATTTCAGAAATACTAAGAACTCCCTGTTCAATAAGGTGGAAACCAAAAAAGGCATCGTGGTCGATAACCGGGGATCACGCAAATTGTCCAAACTTCTCTATAAACAACCCCCTGAAATTATACTAGCATATTTTTGTATGGTCGTTTACGCGCAGAGCAACACTCCTCGAACTTTAAATAAATAAATTTAATAAATGACCATCCTGGGGGAGGGAGGGAGGGGGGGGGGGGGTTGGCAACAAATCACGGACAACACTTGGCGTTCGAAATCTTACTATCTGTCAAGTTCACAGTCCTCAAATCACACTACTATTCGGGAATTAAAGGTAAATCGTTCACTGGTAATCAGCTCGGACAAAGGTTATTGGAAGTCACGCATCCATTAGTCACGCCGTTGGGAACAATGGAAATTTCCTTTGTAAGTTTCCTTTGACTGTCCGCGTTAGCGTTGCTAGCTCTTCACTTCAAAATCAATGCAAAGCAAGGCTAGGAAAGCTGGTCTCGAGACGCACAAAATTCTATTCAATCTATTCAGAATGGCTGTTTACTGGAAGTTTTTACATGCTTCTGGTCTACACAATGGGCCTGGTTTAGCCCCAACACGGGGTACATCTTTTTCCACGGCACTATCAGACTCAGTTCGCATGCCATCAACCAGGCCTCTTGGACCAGCCATTTGTGTTTTTCATTTAACATATGCTGGACATTTCAACTGACGGATTTTGTAGCGAACTCACAGGCAGTCTTTTGCATTAAAGCAAATAAACGTTGACCGTAATTGCGTTTGAATTTTGACTTGCACTCAGAAGCAGTGAAATTGACACTATTCGATATCTGGAAGTATATTCAGTTAAGAATTTCAGTAAACATTTATTGTTGTACATCTATCATATAGTATATGTAACCATGCATAGTTTTGATAATAAACAAGAACAGTACTTGTAAAAAACAAAAATTCAAAAAGCTGCACAAGCTTAGGTGGTATAAAGCACCAGTGAAAGTAGTTTTATAGTTGAGCATATTATTACTTCTGGGCCATATAGGAGAATAAAAACCCTGCGTTTGCATATCCATGCAATTTCGATTTGTAGCACATTTTAATTTGATTTCAATGGAAGTTCGTAATTAAATATTCTAAAAATACCTAAACACTTCCTACTAAATATAAGAAGTCTATTCACAACAAACGCCGTTTTTTGAGGATGACATTGTTGGTTGGTCTGCGAGTGGGCTGGGTGCTCTGCCTGATGCAGTTTGACTCATTTGCAGTGAAAATGCATGTTTTCCCCAATGACAGTATCAATATGAAAAACAGACCAACCAACCTTTGGAAATAATAGGCACGAATCCTCTACACGCCATGTAATGACAAGAGTAAAATGAGTTGATAATAAGGGCCATCAAACCGTTCAAAAACCGAACACTTTTCTTTTCTGTGACTTTTCTACAATTCATGCAAGTTCTACAAATCACTAGAAGTAGAAAAATGTTCATTAAACATGTTTGCTAAAATGATTAAAATAAATTGCTTCTTAAAATTCGCAGATTATATGGGTCATCAAACCGTTTATGAACTGAATGACTAATTCTAATGCTATGACTTTTCCCGCAATATTTTCATGCAAGTTCTACAAATCACTAGAAGTAATCAAAATGTACAAATTACCACAGTTGAAATAGGTTAAATATACACTAAAAAGCCAAGTTAAAGCACTTAGAGAGCGCAAACCTCCACCAAGGCTAAACAATTCCCCGCCATATTGTCAGTACACCCAAAAGAAATACTTGCATATATATGGTGAAGAATCCTTATAAAAAATTCCGGATCCAGACCCAGATCCGGATCACTTCCAAAATCTAATCGATTTGTACTTGTACCAAGGACCACCCCTAAAAAAAATGTCATGTAAATCCCTCCATAACTTTTTGAGTTATCTTGTTAATAGAAAAACCATCTAACCAAGTTGAACCAACAAAGTAACAAAATCCGATGAAAACATAACCTCCTTGGCGGAGGCATAAGAAGCACTGTTAATTCTAATTGCGCCGGGATATTACTGTTTTCGTTAAACTGCCGGCATTTAACAATAGTATATGTTGAAAAGGTGAAAACGAAACCTGAACTTCCATGTTTAGTTTCACAGTTTCATATTCAGTATTCCTTCGCGTATTTCCACACGCTTACACCTTCTCCGGATACCCAGGCGACCCTTCTTGTGGAGGGTATCCCTGCTGAGGCGGGTACCCTTGCTGGGGCGGGTACCCCTGTTGGGGCGGGTACCCTTGCTGGGGAGGGTACCCTTGCTGTGGTGGGTATCCCTGCGGTGGGGCGCCACCTGGAGACGCAACCACGACAGTTCCACCGCCTGCAGGGGTAGTGGTGATGAAGGTAGTTGTGCCTTGGCCCTGTGAAAAAAAAGATTTTGTTTTTAAAGTTTGATTCTCAACATAAATTAAGCATTCGAACGATACTTCCTTGCAGGAGTTCAAGAGGTGGAACTACGTGTATTAGAACGCCATGTATTACATTTAAAATTTCACTTGTAATAGTTTAGTCAACGATGTCCAACTTTGTCAAAAGACGAAACACATCATTTCGAAATTATTGATTGCAAAAAGCTCAAATATATTAGGGCAAATAACATCACTTTGCAAAAAGCGTGATACTTCGGTTCAAATATGTTAACATCGGACCTCGACTGAAATATACAGAGGTATACCACTTCTACCTTTAAACAATGAGAAACATTAATAGATTGGAGAATAATTTGGTTTTTTTTACCCTTGCGGCGACCACGTCCTGCAGACGGCCACGCCCAGCCCTCAGTTCCTGGTACTGAGACACCACGCACAGGAAGCAAAACACCTGCACCAAATAATGTCGAGAAAGTTATTAATAATTTATCCTTCACAACATTGTCAATCACTGATGTCACTATAACATTTCATTGTGTGACCTTCATATTTGATATAATTGATTTACTCTCGTATGTGATGAGCTTTAAAAACAACCTTATATATATGACGCACTTTATAAATATACATTACATTTTCAACTTTAAAAATCCCACACTAAAACTTGAGTTATGCGTAATGAACGCATGGTGACAATGTGTTCGATCACGCTAATGGTATCAAACGAAGACTTTCAAACAAGTTACATAACATATGAACATGCTCATTATGTTCTGTACTCACATCCAGTATGGTGAACAGCGCATAGATGATCAGCGCAACTACCAACCCAGCAACACTGCCGTAACTTCCGTTAATACTAGCCTATTCAGACATTGTGAGCAAAAGGACACAATCAACACTGTTAATCGACTATTATCGTCAACGCAAATGTTGCTTGGATGGTTGCTGCAGCGGCAATTAGAATGTTTTAAAACGGTCAGAAACCATCATGAAAAACAATATCAGGCCAGCCTGTAGTTTAGCTGGTCTGAACTCACACACAAAGTTTGTTCAATTGATTCAGAATTGCTATCGACTGCAGCTGGCCGTCACAATTAGCCAGATTTGGACCTTTCCTATTAGCGTGACGGCGTGACACTATACGAAAACACTGCCCCGACTAAGTAACAAGTTATAGCCAGAAAGGTACAAAGAAGACACTAGGCTGGGCCTCTGGGAACAGCACAAATGTCAATTAAGGAAAGTGTAGTAGGCCTATGTCATACTTGAATAAATGTGTGCTTGGCCGGTGTAACTGATGACGGTACTTCGTTATAGCGCCCTCAAGCGATCAGAAGTTTCACCACACATAAGTTCATCACGCGTTGTGTCTCAGAAATTACAGTCATTAAATTCAGTCAAATTTTAAGACTCAGAGGCATGGAGTTTTCACGGAGTGAGCTAAAACATTGAGTGAGTTATAACATGGAGTATTAAAGGAGTAAGGAGTGATTCATAGAAGGTGGCTATTACAAAGATTTTGGATCCAAGAATTTGGATTAAAGGAGCACGTCAAATAAATACTTGACACTTCAGTGAAATACATGTACTGTGAGTCTACAACTTGCGATCTGAGATACATCGACAGCCGGTATTAAACACTCTGTTTGAGACCGGTTGGAATCTGGGTGCTGATATTTACCCTCGCCTTCGGCTAGGGTAATTAACTCGCAGACGGCGATAGGTCAATTGCGTATGTCTACGTGAGGATTCTGAACGTTCAACCAATAAAACGGTAAAAGGCACTGGGTTTCACGGAGTCCAAATGTCATGTGATACTGGAAAAGTGTGTTAGACCAGCCACCCGGTCTTTGTCACCTGTTTAAAGCCGGCCACGTGACGGGCTCTCGACCAATAGGAAAGGGTAATCTGTCTTAAGTATTCATGAATGCAGTATATGATTGATTTGTCAACGCTGTCACTCCTCAACGGGCAGAGTCCGAACTTTGCTATATACGCACCCCGGCAATCGTGACGATGAGCAAGATGCATTCGACAACCTGGATCAGGATCAGTATTGGCATCACGATAATATACACCAGCAGAAATCCGGCCTGGTCCTGTCATTGAGACAATCAATTCCAATTAATACAAAGAATCACAGGTGTTAAAAAAAAAACTTATGGCAGAGTCTCCACGGTCACGGAATTTCCATCTTGTCCCTTCAGGTGCCCAATGGGTCAAAAATGTCTTTGAAAATTATAAAATGTGGTCTTCACAACCTTTCCAATAAAAAAAAGCGTGACAATTGCAAAATATCACCAAAACGCATTATACAGGCGTCCAAAATAAACGTCTCCAAGCATTTTAAAATAAAGACATTAACTTTTGAAACCCAAATCGAAATTAACGCAACATTTTTTTTTCAATACGCTGTAAACATAATCCAAGCAGAAATTGGTCACGGGTAAAATTGCTAAAGCGTATGTATATTCCTGGTTCCAGTAAAAACAAGCATGTCAATTGCACATTTTTTTAACACAAAAACGTATAACATTATAAAGGTGTCCAAAATAGAAGGCCTTTAGGCGTTTAAAAATTGACACACTATGGTTTGAAACCCAAATCGAAACAAATGCAACATTTTATTGTTTTCAAGGCACTGTAAACATTGCTGTTAAAGTAAAAATTGTTCGTTGCTAAAATTGCTATATATATATTATTTAATGCAAATCAGCCATCACACGGCCAAAGGCAACTCGAGGTGTGTTTTGGGCTTCAGAGGAAAGTGTGGAAGAACCAGCCCCTAACACTGAAACAAGACAATATCTAATCTAATCTCTTCACAGTATGAATAGGGTTGGGATAGGTATTAACTAGTACAGGAACAAATATTAACTGCAAGGAACTAATTTAGTGTATGTAAATTCCTCGTGGCAGGCTGTCCGCATATTTTTGATCAGCACATAGAAATATTTATTTTCATAGCAGCAGGTGCGCCAAATTGGGTTCCAATAATAAAATGCAACTCACCCGTGTGACGCCTATAATGGCAAGTATGGAGGCCACTACTATCAGGGCCAGGAAAGCCAGAAAGAAACAGTGCACGATGAAGTATGGAGAGGTTTCATAGTAATACGGCCCTGGTTAATTAAAAAACAAATATTTAAAACAATCATCACAATAATACCAGTTCTTATAGTACAATAACCTGATCATTGTCCATTCAAGCGTGGTTCCTGGTCGCGTAATTTTTATTCCTAGGAGGGTTAGGGGCAATGTCATGAATAATTCAGTAGTGTCGATGGGAAAATTATGTTTATCCATGAGAACGGACAATGACATCAACAGCATTGTTGTTAGTAATACTCAACTAGTTACAATACATTAGAGCATTTTAAAGAACGGTTGTCGTCGAGCTACCATGCACACAGTAGCCTAGTGGATAGCGAGATGAGCTTATGGATACAAAGATCCCTGGTTCGAATCCACGTCGTCGCTGCTCATTTTCATCAGCTATTTTTCTTCTCCAAATTTATCACTGAGATAATTTTAAATTAAGGGGAAAATAGAACGAGAACCTAGGTCTTGCAATGATTCAAAGGAAAAACTGAATTATTCATGACATTGCCCCTAACCCTCCTAGGAAAAAAATTACGCTTCCTGGTCCCATAAAATGAAGCTTTTGATTGGATACCATTTGCGCGTGCGTATAACATAGTTCTGTTCATATAGAGAAAATTACGTTTTCATGCATACATGGATGCCAGTAAAGCACATGACATGTATATAGAAGCCCTTAGCATGGAACAATTAATCGAGAGCGCAAGATCGTTAATGTAATCATGAAGACATGCAAATTTCAGGCTATACGTTTTCCCATAGACCAAGGATTGCTCTATGGTTTTCTGTATGCAAGAAACCGAGTATCAAAAGCTCGTTGAATTGTGGGAATATCGTTGCATTGTGGGAATATATATATTTCTAATTTCTAACTAGCATACAAAACTCAATTGGGCGGTACCGGTCTCTTCATTCGAAGTCAGAAAAACTCATAATCGATGATGGACTGGAAACCAGTGTAACATACCCCATCAGTACAGAAGAACATTTTGCGATTTGATATTTAACTTTTACTCCAATCAAACAGCTCCTGCTATTGTGTCTGTCATACCTCAAAATAGGCCTCGTGTGACCACGTGTCAGCCCAGACAATAATCATTGAATATTTCAACAATGATAGACCTTATTTGGTCGAAAAAACCCAACTAATGGTAATAAAATAATTAGGACTTCCCACAAATCATATACACATGTACATGTGTAAAGACTCCTATTGATTTTTTTAAGTATATTTCAAAGCAATTCCAGTAGCAAGAATTTGGTTGAGTATGAAGATATTTCTCAAATAGTTACTGCTGTAAAGCCTTTGATGCTTCAATGTTGGTTTCCAAAATAATAGAATATGTAGTACAACAGCAATACCACACAGCGGAACCTGTAGTGCTGTCACTTTAAAACATATTTTAAACATGAATGTAAATTGTAGTATAGACACGCACCACGGAGAAAGGAAAACATTTCCTCCATGCATGCTTGCACGTGTCATTTCCTCCCTCCATGCTTGATTGCACACCCAGAAAATAGGAAAGGGTGTTTTAAAATACCGCACATCGGAATTAACTGTAGTGCTGTCAATTTTAAATATGTTAATGTCGTTAATGTAAATTGTAGTAGACACGCACATGTGGAGGAAGGAAACATTTGCACATGCTCGCACACACAGACAAATTGGAAAGGGTATTTTACCAGCGATTTGTGCAATGTTGTATGCAGAATACGCCAAAACTATGGCGGCATAGATCTGCGGAGAAAGGAAACGTACGCGTATTAAAATATGAGACTCAGCCAGCAAGCGTAATAAAGTCACAAGGATGTGACCTGATGGCAAATTGTATCTTGGATGGAAGATTAACGGGTATTAGTATAACGCGCTTGTTTATAGGCCGCTAATGTCTCTGTATTTCTGTGACACCAAAATGCATATTATTATTATGATTGCACTAGTGAAAATGGCGACCCTAGAGTCTAGCAATAGCGTACGCTACAATGTTTCCATGCTGGGGCATGGTCACGGTTTAAAAAAATTCACGATGTGTCATCCACGCTACTTACCAGCGTGTATATTGCTGATGCAATGGAACCAGTTCGGACATTGTCAAAACAGCAGCATCTCTGCAAAATCGCCATGATGATGGAGCGCAAAGATGTCCTGCCGATTGAACACGATGATCTGCCACGGCTTGCGCAGCCTGTCTGTGTTCAAGTGCGTTGTGTATATCGGTGCGGCACTGTTCAAGATATTGGATCTGTATGCGATGGAACAATGTCAAGACGCTCAGTCTTCAGCATGGTGCGGGCTGGACACCAGGATTGCACCATGCCTTTTACTGTGCTCGAACTGGGTGTGTGCAGACCCAGGTGAATGACGTTGCTTAACGGTGTACTCCGATTGGTTGAATCTGAGGAATAAACATTTGCGAAATAGCAACTCATGATATCGGTTTCATGTGCCCAGGTAATAAGTCTTCAATAGTTACATATTCGCAATGGACGCATTGTTGTCGGTGATCCCCTATCCTGTTAGGCCAATAATAAATATAGGTGACTCCTTTACTTTGGAGGTTGTCCCTGCATGGGGAAACCCTGTGCTTGCTGAGCCAGTATCCCACCGAAGGGTTGGTGGTTAGTGTTCGTCGTCCTCTGAAAAAAAAACCCAGCAACCCAATGAACATAAAAACAGTTTTCTTTTTAATCTAGCATCGAGCCTCGAAATGCAATCAGCGTTTGACATAATCGTCTGCATAACAGTTTTCTTTGTAGGTATACTTGTTTGCCTTTTGAAAAAAAACCAAATATATATTTTTGTGTGTATCTTTGCTTTTCTTTTACCGTAAATATAGTTAACGCTGTGAGAAAATCGAACAAAGATATTGCAATTGAAACGTGAAACGGCAAATTTGGCTAGCAAAGAAAATCCACCGAAAACTGAGTTGTAGTAAAGGAGACTTTTGTAATGAAGTCTGCTCTAATGTTTGATTTGTGACATCATTGGCAAAACAATTGCAGTGCAAATGAAATTAGAAAAAAAAAATGAAAACGAAAAAATAAACAGGACGATGAAAACGAAAAAAAATTAACGAAAATGAAAACGAAAAAAGACAGAAAGACAAAAACCAAACACCAAAATTAAAAATCAATCCTTATAACAAAATCCTTACCCCTCTAACATCATCAATTGTTCCCCTGCCATCTCTCAGCTCCTGGTATTGGGACGTCACAGTCAGAAAACAGGACATCTTTACAACAACAGTAAGATTAAAGACAAACGTTATTCTTGTCGTGCACTTATCGGCTAATTTTAAAAATGAAAAGAACACCGCCAACAAAAACGTCCACCCAAAACAAAAACTTCTAGTTTTTTTTCTACAGGCCGTGGTAAATGTAAAGTGATTTTACTTTTGTTCACTACATAATAAGTAAATAAATAAGAACGTGCTCATTTAATCCTTTTGACACCATGGTGCGGAAAGATAATGTCAAACCCAATTAATAAATTGCCAAATAAATATAATAACATTTGAAAGAAAATAAAAATAAAAACAAAACAAAAGACAAAGAACATTTTGTGTCGCACAATTATTCTACTCACATTAAGCGCCACGAGAAGGGTCTGGACGCCTAAGACGACGTACACGTAGGCCGAGCCAAAATAGTAGACAGACTGTCAGAAAGGTAGAAGGGGAAAATAAATCGGCTATCGATGAAATAAATTCTGTTTTACCAATTTCAGTAACCGATCCCCCAATCGGCATATACCGTATGCGTTTATTAATTTGTTTATAGGCCTAAGGCCAAAAAAAAAAAAAATATTCGGTCTCTGGTCAGACCAAAGTTCCGGAATTGACGCGGCCACGCGGCTTTTTTTTTTTTTTTTTCAAGCTTGGATTGTACAGACAAGGTGGGGTACTATTTTGCTTTTTTGGTGTCCTCATGTAAATTGGTGTCCTCCATAATTTGCCTTGGTGCTTTCGATCATTTGCCTTGGTGCAATTTCTCATTCCTTGGTGCTCTTTGGTAAAAAAAAAAAATGAGGAGGTGCGGAAATAGAGGGCGCTGTTGGAGCTACCGCGGAACATTTTGGAAGAAAAAAAGATCGACGCGCATGATTAAAATCGACGCGCGCGCTGACCAGAGACCGACTTATTTTTTTTTTTTGGCCTAAGCCTTGTTAAAAAAAAAGTGAAACTCCAAAAGTTTCATGAAATACTGGTATTTACGATACGGCCTTGTCATTTCAAATGTGCAACAAAGCCGGGAACATGTTGTGAGGAATGGTCTTTTTTTTACCAGTATCAAAATGTATAGACCTAAGTAAGACTATGGGCCTTTTTTTTTTTAGAATCACGAAGTGCACCGGTAGGGTGTGTGTGAGGTTCACACTCAAAGTTTTGGCGGTGCTTGTGCCATGCAGTGATTCAGCTGTCACGAGGAACGAAATTTCCACTTTTTGATAATTTTTGGTCGTCGTGGCCCAGATGGTTAATGGCATTGTTTTCTACTCACAATCGAGTATATTCCAGCCGCAGCAGACCCACTTCTGACGTTATCGAAACAGCAGCATCTCTGAATAATCGCCATGATGATGTTGTGAATGGTAGCTAAATAAACGTCCTTGTACGACACAGCCTTTAGGAAAAATAACTGCGCGAATTCCACTCCTTCACACTAACTATATGCAGTGAACCTTGGCCCTTGTAATGGATGTGTGGTACTGGCTTGTACAAATGGTTCACGACAGCAAACCACTTGAACTTGGTAAACTAATACACAATTCGTGAATAAAATAGATTTAGATCCGGGAGCGTCCCTAAAGGTTCATTGAAATCATGCCTTTGTACAATTATTGCGCTGTTAGTTCTGGTAACAAAGAAAATGAACACTGTGTGCTAGGACTGTCGTAAACAAAACCTGGGACCAAGCTGGATTGCAAAGTAAAGCACCGATAGGGTCATGTCTAAAAGTGGGAAAACTGTTTGATATGAGGTTACGCATTGCCATTTAAGGCCGGCAAGCCACTGTCAAATAGCCAAATGTACAATTTCAGAAATACTAAGAACTCCCTATTTTTTCCCCGTTTCAATAAGGTGGAAACCAAAAAAGGTATCGTGGTCGATAACCGGGGATCACACAAATTGTCCAAACTTCTCAATAAACAACCCCCTAAAAATACTAGCCTACTTTTGTATGGTCGTTTACGCGCACAGCAACACTCCTCGAACTTTAATAAATGACCATCCTGCGGGGGGGGGGGGGGGCAACAAATCACGGACAACACTTGGCGTTCGAAATCTTACTATCTGTCAAGTTCACAGTCCTCAAATCACACTTCTATTCGGGAATTACAGGTAAATCGTTCACTGGTAATCAGCTCGGACAAAGGTTATGGGAAGTCATGCAGCCATTAGTCACGCCATTGGGAACAATGGAAATTTCCTTTGTAAGTTTCCTTTGACTGTCTATTAGTGTTGCTAGCTCTTCACTTCAAAATCAATGCAAAGCAAACCTAGGAAAGCTGGTCTCGAGACGCACAAAATTCTATTAAGTCGATTCAGTATGGCTTTTCACTGGAAGTCACATGCTTCTGGTCTACACAATGGGCCTGGTTTAGCCCCAACACGGGGTACATCTTTTTCCACGGCACTATCGGATTTAGTTCGCACACCATCAACCAGGCCTCTTCGACCAGCCATTTGTGTTTTTCATTTAACATATGCTGGACATTTCAACTGACGGATTTTGTAGCGAACTCACAGGCAGTCTTTTGCATTAAAGCAAATAAACGTTGACCGTAATTGCGTTTGCATATTTGACTTGCACTCAGAAGCAGTGAAAATGACACTATTCGATATCTGGAAGTATATTCAGTGAAGAATTTCAGTAAACATTTATTGTTGTACATCTATCATATAGTATATGTAACCATGCGTATTTTTGATAATAAACAAGAACAGTACTTGTAAAAAAACAAAAATTCAAAAAGCTGCGCAAGCTTATGTGGTATAAAGCACCAGTGAAAGTAGTTTTATAGTTGAGCACATTATTACTTCTTGGCCATATAGGAGAATAGAAAAAAACCTGCGTTTGCATATCCATGCAATTTCGATTTGTAGCACATTTCGTTGTGATTTCAACGGAAATTCGTAAGTAAATATTCTAAAAACACCTAAACATTTCCTACTAATACAAGAAGTCTATTCACAACAAACGCCGTTTTTCGAGGATGACATTGTTGGTTGGTTTGCGAGTGGGCTGGGTGCACTGCCTGATGCAATTTGACTCATTTGCGGTGAAAATGCATGTTTTCCCCAATGACAGTATCAATATATAAAAAAAAAACCCAACCAACCCTTGGAAATAATATGCACGAATCCTTTACACGCCACGGTAATGACACGAGTAAAATGAGTTGATAATAAGGGCCATCAAACCGTTCATAAACCGAAAACTATTCTTTTCTGTGACTTTTTTCTACAATTCATGCAAGTTGTACAAATCACTAGAAGTAGAAAAATGTTCGTTAAACATGTTTGCTACTTAAATAAAACGAGTAAAATGAATTGCTTCTTAATATTCGCAGATTATATGGGTCATCAAACCGTTTATAAACCGAATGACTAATTCTAATGCTATGACTTTTCCCGCAATATTTTCATGCAAGTTCTACAAATCACTAGAAGTAATTAAAATGTATAAAATACCACAATTGAAATAGGTTAAATATACACTAAAAAGCCAAGTTAAAGCACTTGGAGAGCGCAAACCTCCGCCAAGGCTAAACAATTCCCCGCCATATTGACAGTACACCGAAAAGAAATACTCGCCTATTATGGTGAAGAATTCTCACAAAAAAATTCCGGATCCAGACCCAGATCCGGATCACTTCCAAAATCTAATCGATTTGTACTTGTACCAAGGACCACCTCATGCAAATCCCTCCATAACTTTTTGAGTTATTTTGTTAATAGAAAATCCATCCAACCAAGTTGAACCAACAAAGTAAAAAAATCCGATGAAAACATAACCTCATTGGCGGAGGTATAAGAAGCCCTGTTAATTCTAACTGCGCCGGGATATTAAAGTTTTCGTTAAACTGCCGGCATTTAACAATAGTATATGTTGAAAAGGTGAAAACAAAACCTGAACTTCCATGTTTAGTTTCACAGTTTCATATTCAGTATTCCTTCGCGTATTCCCACGCGCTTACACCTTCTCCGGATACCCAGGCGGCCCTTCTTGTGGAGGGTATCCCTGCTAAGGCGGGTACCCTTGCTGGGGCGGGTACCCCTGTTGGGGCGGGTACCCTTGCTGAGGAGGGTACCCTTGCTGTGGTGGGTACCCTTGCTGTGGTGGGTACCCTTGCTGTGGTGGGTACCCTTGCTGTGGTGGGGCGCCACCTGGAGACGCAACCACGACAGTTCCACCGCCTGCAGGGGTAGTGGTGATGAAGGTAGTTGTGCCTTGGCCCTGTGAAAAAAAAGATTTTGTTTTAAAAGTTTGATTCTCAACATAAATTAAGCATTCGAATGATACTTCCTTGCAGGAGTTCAAGAGGTGGAACTACGTGTATTAGAACGCCATGTATTACAAGTAAAATTTCACTTGTAATAGTTTAGTCAATGATGTCCAACTTTGTCAAAAGACGAAACACATCATTTCGAAATTATTGATTGCAAAAAGCTCAAATATATTAGGGCAAATAACATCACTTTGCAAAAAGCGTGATACTTCGGTTCAAATATGTTAACATCGGACCTCGACTGAAATATACAGAGGTATACCACTTCTACCTTTAAACAATGAGAAACATTAATAGATTGGAGAATAATTTGTTGTTGTTTTTTTTACCCTTGCGGCGATCACGTCCTGCAGACGGCCACGCCCAGCCCTCAGTTCCTGGTACTGAGACACCACGCACAGGAAGCAAAACACCTGCACCAAATAATGTCGAGAAAGTTATGAATAATTTATCCTTCAGAACATTGTCCATCACTGATGTCACTATAATATTTCATTGTGTGACCTTCATATTTGATATAATTGATTTACTCTCGTATGTGATGAACTTTAAAAAACAACCTTAAATCTATGACGCACTTATATACATTACATTTTCAACTTTAAAATCCCACACTAAAACTTGAGTTATGCGTAATGAACGCATGGTGACAATCTGTTCGATCAGGCTAACGGTATCAAACGAAGAATTCCAAAAAGATACATAACATATGAACATGCTCATTATGTTCTGTACTCACATCCAGTATGGTGAACAGCGCATAGATGATCAGCGCAACTACCAACACAGCAACACCGCTGTAACCTCCGTAAGCACCAGCCTATTCAGACATTGTGAGCAAAAGGACCCAATCAACAGTTAATCGACTATTATCGTCAACGCAAATGTTGCTTGGATGGTTGCTGCAGCGGCAATTAGAATGTGTTAAAACGGTCAGAAACCATCCTGAAAAAACAATATCAGGCCAGCCTGTAGTTTAGCTGGTCTGAACTCACACACAAAGTTTGTTCAATTGATTCAGAATGGCTATCGACTGCAACTGGCCGTCACAATTAGCCAGATTTGGACCTTTCCTATTAGCGTGACGGCGTGACACTATACGAAAACACTGCCCCGACTAAGTAACAAGTTATAGCCAGAAAGGTACAAAGAAGACATTAGGCTGGTCCTCTGGGAACAGCACAAAATAATGTGAATTAAGGAAGGTGTAGTATGTCATGTACAAACTTGGCATACTCGCCACTATTCCCTAGTGTCACGTAATAGATATAATTAAGGGGATAAATGTGTGCTTGGCCGGTATTAAATACTCTGTTTAAGACCGGTTGGAATCTGGATGCTGATATTCACCCTCGCCTTCGGCTAGGGTAATTAACTCGCAAACGGCGATAGGTCAATTGCACATGTGTACGTGAGTATTCTGAACGTTCAACCATTAAAACGGTAAAAGGCACCGGGTTTCACAGAGTCCAAATGTCATGTGACACTGGAAAAGTGTTTAATACCAGCGAACCGGTCTTTGTCAACTGTTTAAAGCCGGCCACGTGACGGGCTCTCGACCAATAGGAATGGGTAATATGTCTTAGGTATTAATGAATGCAGTTTAATGATTGATTTGTCAACGTGGTCACTCCTCAACGGGCAGAGTCCGAACTATATACGCACCCTGGCAATCTGCACGATGAGCAAGATGCATTCAACAACCTGGATCAGGATCACTATTGGCATCACGATCATATACACCAGCAGAAATCCAGCCTGGTCCTGTCATCGAGACAATCAATTCCAATTAATACAAAGAATCACAGGTGTTAAAAAAAATTATGGCAGAGTCTCCTCTTCTCAGCATTTCTAAGCTTCTCCGCGGTCACGGAATTTCCATCTTGTCCCTTCAGGTGCCCAATAGGTCAAAATGTCTTTGAAAATTATAAAATGTGTTCTTCACAACCGTTCCAATTAAAAAAACTGACAATTGCAAATTAACACTTAAACGCATTATACAGGCGTCCAAAATAAACGTCTCCAAGCATTTTAAAATAAAGACATTAACTTTTGAAACCCAAATCGAAATTAACGCAACATTTTTTTTTCAAGACGCTGTAAACATAATCCAAGCAGAAATTGATCACGGGTAAAATTGCTAAAGCGTATGTATATATTCCTGGTTCCAGTTAAAACAAGTATGACAATTGCACATTTTTTTAACACAAAAACGTATTACATGTATATATAGGCGTCCAAAATAAACGCCTTTAAGCGTTTAAAAATTAACACACTATGGTTTGAAACCCAAATCGAAATAAATGCAACATTTTACTTTTTCAAGGCGCTGTAAACATTGCTGTTAAAGTAAAAATTGTTCGTTGCTAAAATTGCTATATATATATTTGTAATTTAATGCAAATCAGCCATCACAAGGCCAAAGGCCACTCGAGGTGTGTTTTGGGCTTCAGAATAAAAGTGTGGAAGAACCAGCCCCTAACACTGAAACAAGACAAGATCTAATCTAATCTCTTCACAGTATGAATAGGGTTGGGATAGGTATTAACTAGTACAGGAACTAATATTAACTGCAAGGAACTAATATAGCGTATGTAAATTCCTCGTGGCAGGCTGTCCGCATATTTTTGGTCAGCACATAGAAATATTTATTTTCATAGCAGCAGGTGCGCCAAATTGGGTTCCAATAATAATATGCAACTCACCCGTGTGACGCCTATAATGGCAAGTATGGAGGCCACTACTATCAGGGCCAGGAAAGCCAGACTGAAACAGTCCACGATGTAGTATAGAGAGGTTTGATAGTCATAATACCATCCTGGGTAATTAAAAAAATATATATAAAACAATTATCACAATAATACCAGACCTTATAGCACAATAACCTGATCATTGCGCTTTAAAACTGTCCATTCAAGCGTGGTTCCTGATGATCCCATAAAATAAGGTTTTGATTGGATACCATTTGCGCGTGCGTACAAACATAGTTCTGTTCATATAGAGAAAATAACGTTTTCATGCATACATCAATGCCAGTAGAGCACATGACATGTATATAGAAGCCCTTTGCATGTAAACATGGAGACATCCAAATTTCAGGCTACGTTTTCCCATAGACCAAGGATTGTTCTGTGGTTTTCTGTACGCAAAAAAAACGAGTATCAAAAGCTCGTTGAATTGTGGGAATATTGTTGCATTGTGGGAATATATATATTTCTAATTTCTAACTAGCATACAAAACTCAATTGGGCGGTACCGGTCTCTTCATTCGAAGTAAGAAAAACTCAGAATCGACGATGGACTGGAAACCGGTGTAACATACCCCATCAGTATACAGAAGAACATTTTGCGATTTGATATTTAACTTTTACTCCAATCAAACAGCTCCTGCTATTGTGTCTGCCATACCTCAAAATAGGCCTCGTGTGACCATGTGTCAGCCCAGACAATTATCATTGAATATTTCAACAATGATTGACCCAACTAATGGTAATAAAATAATTAGGACTTCCCACAAATCATATACACATGTACATGTGTAAGAACTCCTATTGATTTTTTTAAAGAATATTTCAAAGCAATTCCAGTAGCAAGAATTTAGTTGAGTATGAAGATATTTCTCAAATTGTTACTGCTGCAAAGCCTTTGATGCTTCAATTGTTGGTTTCCAAAATAATAGAATATGTAGTACAACAGCAATACCACACAGCGGAACCTGTAGTGCTGTCAGTTTAAACATGAATGTAAATTGTAGTATAGACACGCACCACGGAGAAAGGAAAATCCTCCATGCATGCTTGCACGTGTCTTTTCCTCCCTCCATGCTTGATTGCACACCCATAAAATTGGAAAGGGTGTTTTAAAATGCCGCACATCGGAATTAACTGTAGTGCTGTCAGTTTTAAATATGTTAATGTCGTTAACGTAAATTGTAGTAGACACGCACATGTGGAGGAAGGAAACATTTGTACATGCTCGCACACACAGAAAAACAGAAAAGGGTATTTTACCAGCCAACTGTGCAATGCTGTATGCAGAATACGCCAAAACTATGGCGGCATAGATCTGCGGAGAAAGGAAACGTACGCGTATTAAAATATGAGACTCAGTCAGCAAGCGTAATAAAGTCACAAGGATGTGACCTGATGGCAAATTGTATCTTGGATGGAAGAATAACGGGTATTAGTATAACGCGCTTGTTTATAGGCCGCTAATGTCTCTGTATTTCTGTGACACCAAAATGCATATTTTTATTATGATTGCACTAGTGAAAATGGCGACCCTAGAGTCTAGCAATAGCGTACGCTACAATGTTTCCATGCTGGGGCATGGTCACGATTTGAAAACATTCACGATGTGTCATCCACACTACTTACCAGCGTGTATATTGCTGATGCGATGGAACCAGTTCGGACATTGTCAAAACAGCAGCATCTCTGCAAAATCGCCATGATGATGGAGGGCAAAGATGTCCTGCCGATTGAACTTGCGCAGCCTGTCTGTGTTCAAGTGCGTTGTGTATATCGGGTGCGGCACTGTTCAAGATATTAAACTGGATCTGTAGGCGACGGGACAAGGTCAAGACGCTCAGTCTTCAGCACTGTGCGGGCTGGTATACACCAGGATTGCACCATGCCTTTTATTGTGCTCGATCTGGGTGTGTGCGACCCAGGTGAATGACGGTGCCCAACGGTGTACTCCGATTGGTTGCATCTGAGGAATAAACACTGCTGACCTCTTGTTGTAAAACGATCACGAGCCATGATCAGTGCATGTATGATGTGTCAGCCCGTCCAGTGGAAAGCGTGACTAAATTGAGCAGTCCTTTCTATATCCATGGTAATACACGCCAGTAACTTACTTATTCTTTATTTTCCAATTTGGTTTCCAAAAGAGCCATATTGTTGCATTCCGTCCTTCCAACGCATTGTGGAAGGAATCTGTAATTTATTCTAACGAAGGAGGTCGAATTCCATACCAGGACGAAGTCGACCTGAATTAGGTTTCTTATGGTGGAAATGGAATGAGATCTAGTCGGGCATACCTTATCCTCCCTGGTTATTTCAATCATTGCGTTTGACTTTTGGTTTTATTATCATTCACTTACTGGGTATTAATGTTCGGTGGTAAAATGAAGCAAGGAGACTACATCAGTGAACAATCTTTAAATAATTATGAACGAGCTATTCCTTTACATGAATATTCTATTTTATTCAAAACACTCTATAAAACACCTCAGTTGAAACTGATAGTACGTAGTGATGTCGGAGCTAGTATATGTCATTATTGTATGTGGGTTCAATACATTAATTGATGACAGAATATTTTGCTTGTATGGTGACGCTTTCAATTTTGTGGGACATTTCATAAGTCTCTCGACCTTAACAAGTGTTAAGGTTTTTATTTGAATGTATCATCTCTTTTCGTAGTAAAGTCTGAAATTAGGAATCCTCGTTTCAGCATTTTTTTGTGTGGACTGTGTATATCTTCTTCTTTTTTTAATTTTTTTTTTACTATCGACCTTTTCGAAATTGTATGGCGAAGTTGCGCACCTTTTTATTTGTTCTGAGAAACAAGTTCAATATAAGTTTAATTATTGATTTAATCGCCACATAATGACCATTTTACCCAATATACATCAACATTGATTCAGGCTACATAAAGATACATACAAAATATTAAATGTTATTTTGCGTATACAAATTATATTTAGATAAATTTAATTTAATTGCTTAAAAGAAATAAAGAATAAGTTCGCAATTCGAAAGCCCAGTTTTATGGAATCATGTGTTCCTCAGATATTCCCAAATTAAAATACAATAATTTCAGGTAGTTGAGAAAAAATGTTATTCACAAATTGAACTGAATATAAACATCTTCGCATGTGCAGCATACCACAAAATGTCTGCTGTACGCATTAAGTCTTTAAAGACATTATGGGAACATGATAACAGATGTATTTGCGAAATAGCAACTTATGGTATCGGTCTCATGTGCTCAGGTAATCTTCAATAGTTACATATTCGCAATGGACACATTTTTGTAGGTGATCCCCTATCCTGTCAGGCCAATAATAAATATAGGTGACTCCTTTACTTCAGAGGTTGTCCCTGCATGGGGAAACCCTGTGCTTGCTGAGCCAGTATGCCACCGAAGGGTTGGTGGTTAGTGTTCGTCGTCCTCTGAAAAAAACAACAACCACCCAATCAACATAAAATAGATTTCTTTTCAATCAACATCGAGCCTCGAAATGCAATAATTGTTTGACATAATCGTCTGCATAACAGTTTTCTTTGTAGGTATACTTGTTTGCCTTTTGAAAAAAAACCAAATATTTATATTTTTTTGTTTATCTTTGCTTTTCTTTTACCGTACAGATGTCAAGTTAACGACATGAGAAATCGAACAAAGATATTGCAATTGAAACAAACCGGCAAACTTGGCTAGCAAAGAAAATCCACCGAAAATGAAATTAGAAGAAAAAAAAAATGAAAACGAAAAAATAAACAGGACAATGAAAACGAAAAAAAATTAACGAAAATGAAAACGAAAACGAAAAAAAGAAAGAAAGACAAAAACAAAACACGAAAATTAAAAATCAATCCTTATAACAAAATCCTTACCCCTCTAACATCATCAATTGTTCCCCTGCCATCTCTCAGCTCCTGGTATTGGGACGTCACAGTCAGAAAACAGGACACCTATACAACAGTAACATTAAAGACAAATGTTATGCTTGTCGTGCACTTCTCGGCTAATTTTAAAAATTAAAAGAACACCGCCAACAAAAACGTCCACCCAAAACAAAAACTTCTAGTTTTTTCTATAGGCCATGGTAAATGTAAAGTGATTTTACTTTTGTTCACTACATGTATATAGAACACACGAGGAGAGATACATAAAATAAATAAATAAGAACGTGCTCATTTAATCCTTTTACACCATGGTGCGGAAAGACAATATCAAACCCAATAAATAAATTGCCAAATAAATTCAATATCATTTGAAAAAAAATATAAAGAAAAGAAAAACAAAAGACAAAGAACATTTATGTCGCACAGGCAAAACCACACCCTACTTGCTTTATTCTACTCACATTAAGCGCCATGAGAAGGGTCTGGACGCCTAAGACGACGTACACGTAGGCCGAGCCAAAATAGTAGACAGACTGTCAGAAAGTCAGAAGGGGAAAATAAATCGGCTATTAATGAAATAAATTTTGTTTTACCAATTTCAGTAACCGATCCCCCAATCGGCATATACCGTATGCGTTTATTAATTTGTTTATTAGCCTTGTTTTAAAAAGAAAGTGAACGTCAAAACTTTACTCAACAATTAATGCATGATCATAATTGCAAATGGCAGCTTTCATTTAGTATAGCAAGAAAATACTTCCTCAATTGAATACGCCGGAATAAGCGTAATCCTAATGGTATCGGCATGCACCAAGGGGGTTCAATGAACTCTGTGACCATGAACTTACCCCGCCGAGTACAACTACAATGATGAAGATGATGGAAGCTAACTGCACCAGAATCAAGACCGGCATCGTGATCATGTAGGGCAACAGAAACCAACGGTTATCCTATCGAACGGGAAAATAAATGAATGTATACATTCCATGGACACATTTCTAATGAGCATTGAACATGGGGGCCAAAGTGCTCTCTCCTGTGGTGATAATTAAAACAAAAAGTTCCGTACTGATAATGGCTTAGTATTGAAAGCTTAAGCTTGGCTGCTACATGGATTTGCATAATTCGTGTTATGAAATATTGTTTCGTGTTATGCACCAGCTTTGATGCGCCACTGATTGTAAAAAGAGCGTACGTCCCATAGAGTCAAATAAAGCCCCCCCCCCCCCCCGACCAAATATGGTTCCAGATCCGCCCGGGCCGTGTATCCATTCAAATATATCCAAGTACAATAAAAAAGAAGAAGAGTACAGTCCACACAAACAAAATCTATATTCCCTGTCCTGTCTTTCACCTTTGCAGTGCCCCAAAGGACAAGTACGGAGCACACTATAATCCAGCTCAACAAAGCCACGTACGAACTGGAAGCCATGAAGAGTAAATCCGCTTCTGTGTTTGAAGCTAAATTGAACAAAACGAAAGATGGTTAGTTGAAAGTTCTCTTGCTTGTTGAAAGATTATTTTCGGCAGTGTAGAATTCATACGCAACTTGCCCACCCAAAATAAAAACGAGAATAAGGAGAAACCAATAACACATTTACGATGAAGGGCATGTGATTTGTCGAAGAAAATAAATGTGAAATAAGAGGTGGGTTTTTATTACCAACGTAGGATTTAAGTTGGGCTGCTGCAAATCCTAAGAACACAGTACAGGAAATCTGTCAAAAAAGAAAAGAAAATGCACACATGAAATTCACGTTTAAAAATAATTATTTATAAGCTTTATGTTTATCGAACTCCAAATTATTTTCATTTTTTCCTAAATAACTTATAGTACGGTATAGTATTTATATTTTGCTATTTGCCGGATTTGGAATTTTTACAGTTGTTTAGCATATTCTTGTAAATTGAATTAGCTGTTACAAAGCTGTTATTTTCTCCAATTAATATGCCAAATTAGCTCTCTTCGTTTGAATTGTAAATTGAAAGTAATTGTTCAGTCGACTGTTTTGTTGATAGATATCACCTTGCCTCTGACGTCACATTTAGGGCAGATATTTGGTCCTCTGTGATAAGCATGTGTAGATACATATTTTCATTGGCACTGACTTTACAAAACAGCCACTGCCATCAGTGAGGGCGGACCGCGCAAGGTGTCTATTGAGCCGTGACTCACGGTGACTGCAGTTTCTTGTACCAAAACCATTCTTTGAACTTACCACCGTGTAAAAGGCTGATAATGCAGACCCGGCTCGGACATTGTCCGCACAGCAGCATCTGTTGACGATGGCCATTTTATACAAAAACTAACAATTTCCTGATATACGAAACAACTAATGTGGTTCTTGAACGGTCGTACTGAAGTCTCTAGCTAAGGCGTGTATAATTATGTTCCGGACAATCAAATCCAGGTTAATATATAGGCTTGACTGCACGCTCGCAATCGGAACTTGAGGATGCATCACAGTGACGTCACACGCCGATCTCGCCCTGTCATTAGTCGAGAAATACAACTTCCGTCCGACAGGTTGAATGATGGGTGGATAATGCGCAGGCTAGGCGTTGAAGGCCATGTTCTCGGTAACGCTGTGATTTACTTTGGTCTGTGGGTTTGCACTGCACTGATCACTCTTTCTCCCCGAATTCCAGAAATCGAAGTTTGGAGTAATGACCCTCAGGACAAATACCATTGTGTAAATGTCAGCCCATTATGTACCATGTTTGTACCACGTGTTCCGTGTGTATGATTCTGTAAACAAAGGCTTGTTCTTCAACTTCAGTTAAATTTACCAAATGTTGTTAATCCAAATTCACGAGTAAGCAGTAATTTACATTGTATATTACAAGGTTTTTTTATTCTTGCGATTTACAACTCAAACCGGAAATATTTTTGCATTTTTCGTATGTTTCCAGTTCAACATTCAAAATCTAAAATAGCATGGTCTAAAACATTGACCGTAAGCAGAATTGTTCATTTACATTTTGGACATGGGCTTCTCTCTGATATGCATATTAGTTACACTGTGTTACAGGAATAATAACTGTCTTCAATCTGAGGCAATACTCATAATCATTCGCTTCAAAGTTCGATTCGGCTTTGTCGCTGGGTTAGGAATTCATTTGAGAAGCATTTAGATATATTTATAAAAAAAATCTAAGCTTTGGCCTGATATTATTGAATTCGATATTCTGTAACACAGCAAAGTATATGGACCTATATTGAGTCGGAGTCCACCGTATAAGGCTCAAAATCTCCTAAGCTTAATCGGGGTTGACGCCCCGAGCTCATGAAACCCAGATATTAAGTTTTGATCATATTGCTGAAATATTCGGATAAATCGTAAATCGATCATGTAGGCCTGTATGTCTTGATCGACATGCTGAAGAAAAGGCGGCAATATTGTTTGGTGGCAGAAATATGATGCTGTCAATGTAGGTGTGAAATAATGTCAAACGCAGTGCACAGTCGGAACCGGTTAGGCCTATTCCGTGTCATGCATTTCCAGAAATGATCACGTTCTTCTTTCCGGGATCCGGCAGTTGCGGGGTAGGCCTTCGTTCAAGGGCATTGTTTTATCCGCGTTTGCAGGGACTTTCCCGAATCCCTAGCCTGAAGGTCGGCCACACAAGTTTGTGAAGCCTCGTGAACCCCCCCCCCCCCCACCCCAAAAAGGCATATAAATTAACAACCACTTTGAAATAAACAAACAATATAAGTAATAACAGAAATATCTTTCTACCCATTGTTTCGTTAGACCAATCGCCACAGCGCATCATATACCACCAAAGGAAAGGCTCGTTATAATTGTTAGAAATAAACTTTACACTGACAGCAAAACGGGAGATTCAAGTTCCAAGCATTTTATTATTATTATTACGGTTGGTGTCCTGCAAACACTAATACAGGGTGTTAAAATTACACAAAAGGTGTTCATTACAAAAAATTGAAAAGTTGGCGAAGATTTAACAGTACAGTATTTGCAGGGTCAAATATAGGACAACACTTTATACGCCATAAAATTTAAGAAGCCAGTGTAAAAAATACAAGTAAGATTCGTATAGGACCAGTAGAACAAGCTCGATCGGATCTCGGAAGCTGCGGGTCAACAAATGCTTGTTCACCTTATTTTGGCCTTTGACCCCATAGCTGTAGTTCAGATAAAGAGGTCGCCATGAACATTTATTAAGGATTGATGAAGGCCAACATGTTGACAGCGCTACTTTTGTCATTTGAGCTTATTTGAGCTTATTCGGGCTAATTTGAAATTAACTAACTAACTAACTATATCTATAACTAGTAACTAACTAACTAACCTATGGACAAACGGAGAGACATGAGCACTTATTAGAGCTGCTATCTGCAGCTAAAAATAGATGTCACAGTTTGGACGAATAATGTAAAACTTCTATAAAAGTAATGCGCATAATTTGGAACCGATATATTTAAAGGGCCCTTGCAATGTAATGTTTAAATTGTAAATCTTGAAAATGCACCTTTGTGTCCCATTTCACGCTATTTTCAATTTTCGATTTGCCATTTTCAAGGGTATTTTGGTACCTTTTTGGTTTTCACGCTAATGCAAATTTCCGTATTCATGAAAAACCTCAATGTTACAGTCATTTCAGCACAACAAGTTGCCAGAATTTTTGATATTTTGCTGTTCAAATGTAAATATTCTTTTCCTTCTGATTCGTTTTTGTGTCAATTACATGGCAGTATAGTATTGCCAATGAGCAAACGTTTCTCACAAATGCTAATTGTTGTGTTCACAATTTGAAAACGAACCCCTAAATTGAAAATGATCCTCCTGAAATGACATTACAGTAACAACGCCCTTATGTGTCCAAAAGATGCATGGACAATTTTGCATGTTTAAAGAAGTCATTTTTCAATAAAATTAACCAAAAAGGGATGTCGTATAATTTTCATACATTTACGAGGAGGAGAAAGTTATACAGAATATGTTCCTAAGAAAACTCATTGCATGTACCCTTTAAACGGTGCCCTATTAAAGCCATTAGAAACCCTTATTTACCCTACTAAATGGGTCTCGCTCAATTTCATCTAAGCTATAGTGCTTAATTTTACTACTGAGAAATATGACATAATCCTTAGCTCTCGGACCCTCTTTTCTGTACTCTTTTCATAGGTCCATACCTTATCAGTACTCCTTCATATAATATAAGTCTAATTTCTAATGCACAATGGGGTAGCTTATTTGAAAACCAAGTGGTTATTAATGGCTACTCACTCGTCATTTAATCTTGGAGACATCGAAGTGTCTTATTAACCCAAGCAACGTAGAACCGACCCAACATAATCGCTTGTTGTCTTCTTCCTTCCTTATACAGTGGATTTCAGTTTAACTGTGTTCCTAACAGATAACCTGTGTTACTTTTTGTCTGTCGTCCATGATATTGTACGAAAACCAAGATAAAGAGCTTCAAAATAAAAATATATATATCGACATCAAGCATTATGAACGAATAGCAAACGATAAACCGGCTATTAAATCATAAGAATATATTAAGATAATAAGAGAGCATTTTATATCTGTGTAAATAAGCCATCTTGAATTGAACTCTTATCTTTGTTGCTCCCAAGGTTCATGTGTGTAATCCCCAGCTATTGAAGACTGAGTGGTCACTCTGCTAACTTCCATGAGATGACCATCAAAGATCAAGGTAAGGACAAAACGAACTTTTTCTGGAACAGTCTTAATTGATACCAAAGAAATAATGACGATAATTAATATGGCTTGTATATAATGTTAACTTCATCAGTCGAACGCCGATTTAAAATTCCCACATGACAAACTACTACAATCTGGGTAGTTTGAGGGGGAAAAATAGTTGGAACTAATTGTTGATGTACATGTACTTCCAGAACTTCCCGTTATAGGCCTACACTGAATATAATATTGGGGTTACGTTAATAATATCCTTTGCTTGGATGCCGTTTTGGGAAATCGACCACAGTGGCATGTTCACATGATACTCATGTGACAGATCGTTATTATGGAGGTTTTATGCTTGTAACTTCAGTATTTCTTTTTATCATTTCGCGCCAACAAATTCAATATTTTAGTTAATATAAATGATCACAAAGTGTTTTATATTTCGTAAAAATAACATATCTGTAAGAATATTAATGTTGGTTTCACACTCTTGTCAAAGTTTTGTCAAGAGATCAATTTTCGAGGAACTATCAATTTGCCTATAAATCTCAAAAGCTTCATGTAGTGTTTGTAAACATTTCTAAGAAATCAAAAGCTGATGAAAATCGGTACAAAGTATAAATACACAAGTCAACTGCAATAGGCCTCAACTCTTTAAAATGCAATATCATTCTTAATAACCAAGACATAGTAAAGTATAGTTTAACAAAGTCAAAAAAGGGGGATTGGCAATGATCGATCAGCATTTGCAGCAAACGCCTACATCTTCTGAGGGTATTGCGCTTGAGTACACTCTAAAAAATAGTTGCTCAATATTGGGTACAATTACTACCTTTTCGAGAGTAAAAAGGGAACATGGTCGTCAACTTGTGTACTTTTTTTTACACAACAGCTAAAGTGTAGAAAAGTACCCATTTCAGTGTAACTTTTACCCATAATTGTGTTACGTGTTTGCACAACAAGATTGGGTAAGAAAGTTTACCCATGTGGCGACCATGTTCCCTTTTTACTCAATTATTGGGTAAACTTTACCCAACCCTCCTTTTACCAAGTGTTGTGTCAGTTTCTTACCCAGATATTGGGTTCTAATTTTTACCCTACACTGTTGGGTCCTAAATTTACCCATCACTTGGGTTGTTTTTTTGTAGTTGTTGTGTACCTTTGTTATTGATCCTTGTGGTTTTATTCAACTTTGAACTCTACAATGTGAATTGCATGCTACAGACAGCAATCGCGAGGGATTTCAATCACTGAGTCCAGGGTTGGAAAGTCAGTCAAATGAATAAGATGATATTTCCCCAAAAATGGTGCTGATGCATGAGGACTATTACGAGGAACGTGGGCTAAATGATGGGCAGGGGTGTTAGAATTTCCCTCAATCAACTCATTCAAAAACAATTTCCAAAATGTCGGTCACTTTCCTCAGTGTTTCTAGATCTGAGAACTCACTATACGGTACATGAAACGCATGCATCATGTGCATGGAATCGTGGTTGGCAGAGCCGTAACGTCCAAGCAGCAAATAAATGTCTAAATAATAAGCATTTCACTTCTCCAATCTCCCCGGATATTAATCCTCATACATCAGCATCCCATTTGGAGGAAACAACACTGAAATTCATTTCACTGACTTACCTGGAACAAAGAAATCACGTCTTAAAAATCCCCAAATTGTTGAAGGTCTCACATGCGGCGGCCATCTTGTACATGAGTGATACGCGTGCACAATATTGGGTAAACGCTGTCACGTGCGTCAGTTTACCCCACACAGTGGTAACATTTTACTAATGTCGTGGTAAATTCTACTCTTCGACGTGTACAATGAAAGAATTGTTACACAGTGTTGGGGTAAATCCAGTTTCTTTAACCCATCACTTGGGTAATAATACCATGATTTTAACTTTTTGCCTGTGCTGCTGGGACTTGTAGTCAATGTTGGGTACTATTTTACCCTTTTCATGTGTAACACATTTGACACAAGTAGGAGGTACAAGCGAAATTTTCATTTTGCTCAATATTAGGCAGAAATAACACAATTTTTTTACACAACAGTTTTACACAACATAAATTTACACTTCTTTTTTAGAGTGTAGGGTATCCCTGGGCGGGAGCGTAGTCTTCCTGCAGGGGTGTGTAGCCGAAGCCTTTCTGGGGTGCGTCGCCCTGCTGGGTTGCGTCGCCCTGCTGGGGTGCGTAGCCCAGCTGGGGTGCGTAGCCCTGCTGGGGTGCGTAGCCCTGCTGGGGTGCGTAGCCCTGCTGCATTAAGTTCTGCGGTGGGACGCCACCTTGCTGGGTCACGACGACAGCGCCACCAAAGCCAGGGGAAGTAGTGGTGATCACGGTAGTCTGGGAAAAATTTAAATGTTTTGGAAATAAGTTCTTTCTTGGTATTGCAACTGACAGAATTATTTTGTAACTACTGTAGTTTGAAGTTGTTTTGTACCGAATTGTAGTACACAACTCGCTTATCAACACCGTTTAATGCACAGTTGCAGAAAGAACGGAGATTGTTTTTGCTTTTAGCACGGATGAAATTCGCCCCCCGCCCCCCCCCCCCCCCCCCCCACTGTAACATCCAGCCCCCCACTCGCCCCCCCCCCCTATATGAGAACCCTGGCTACGCTGTTGTCAATAGGGGACGTTCAACAATGGGTCCACAATTCTCGAAGGTCCACAATTGACTATCGTGTGCAAAACATAATGGGAGGTCTTCCTAAAAGGTTAAGGCACAAACAAAAGGGGACAATGTAGGGGGTCCACGATTGAAGGTGTTTACGCACTTGTTTGTGTTATAGAGAGCTTGCACAGAGCAGAGCGCTCTCACTGCACTCGGAAATCTCCCGGATTATGATCCGGAATCGAGGTTCTATTGGGTCTGACACTTTTCTGGGTACAAAATGACACTTTAGTACTGACTCATTTGCTGGGTCATTTTGACCTGGAAAAGTGTCATTTGACCGGGTAAAGTGTCAGGCAATAGAACCCGGATTCCATGTCAAACCTTACCCGGGAGATTTAAGCGTGTGTGAACACGACTTTGATAGGTATGGATCTACATTCTGTACTTTCATAATCACTGAATTTACATAACAAAACCTGACCACATTGCGAGCGATGCGTGCTAACTCTATTAGTAAAAAAAAAAGTTCTAGTGGTTAAAAAAATTATTTCGTCGCATCGGCAGAAATAATTTTGCTCAAAATTTAATGTGACCAGTCAAGCGTCAAAGAGAATTCCCGAATTAAGTTTGCTCAAAATTTTCTTGCGAAATATACATATTTTGAAGGAAAATTTTTAAGCAAACTTGGATTTTTTGGGGGTCAAAAATAGGTTTTCCTACCCTGGCTACCATCACGTCCTGCAGACGGCCACGCCCATCTCTCAACTCCTGGTACTGAGACACCACGCACAGGAAGCAAACCACCTGCCAACGATATCACACAAGTTGGGTACAAAAATAATTTCCTAAGGCAGAAAATAAAACTTTCAGACTTTCAAGGACATGATGGACACACGGAAAAGAGATGTCGTCTCTGAAGTCCGAGGCAAAATTTGAGGCTATTAAGTCATAAAGTGGAATAGATGTTTTTGTCACATTACTCTAAATTGGCGTGAAAACCGCTTATAAGGGGGAAATTTTAAAAAGCACTGTTGGTAATGCCATGCAATTGCGTAGGAACGGGTGGACTAATAGGCGCTATCAAGCCACCTGCCGTGCTTTTGGTTACACCCCTACCAATGCAATGGCACCAACTAGATTAAGCAATGACATCAAATATATCTATATAGGTTATACTTGGTGTGTAATGTACTCACATCCAGCACAGTAAAAAGTACAACGACGGCGAGTTGAAACATCAACAGAACAATACTACCACTCGTCACGGAGCTGTAGGACCCATAGGAGCCAATCTGTGCAGTGCAAAGAAGGATAACCTAATGATTCTTACTTCGTATAGTTTTACTTAAACTCGGTAGTGACGTGGCTTTTAAAATATCACCAGAGTCTTGCTTTGTTGATGTTATGATTTCGTATACCGATTTAATTTGACTACTGTTTGGGAGGGCTAACTGCAATGATGGACATCTTTGCGGCAGCAAATCATTATAAATTAAATAGATAGCTTGGTTGACATCAAATCAAAACTTGAAAAAGAAGATTCGAGTGTAAAAAAGAAACATACCATTTGGGTTTTTTTTTCAGTCTTTAAATTTTATTGCCATTTGTCTACAACGGTTGTATATTAAGCAAGAGCTCAGCTGTTGCATCTGCTTTAACACGTTTCTTACAAATATATACCAAAAGCATAGATATTCTTTCTTTTTTTTAAAATGTGCTTCGGACTGAAATTCATACTTTTGTCCTACCCTGCAAGTTGTAGAACAGTTAGTTTATATTGATATTGATGGAGTACACTTACCGCGGCCGCTGCAACGATGATAATGATGCAGTAAGCTATGTGAAGCAGAATGAGTATCGGCATAACAATCATGTATGGAAGCAGATATCCACGCTGGTCCTTCAAAAGAAAAGACATATGTTCATCATTATTCTCACAGAATTAAAACACAGCGGCAGATGACATTGTAGACACATAATTATTTTGCAGCGTCAAGATGTATTGGACACTTCGCCATTGTTACCGAGTTGAAGAAATGTTTAATCAAACAACACTTCTGAGATCCTTAGTTTCGTTAAAATAACTCAAACTTTGTTAAAGTCCCAAATAAAGATCGGGCGATCATGGTGGCACATTGATAGTTTCCTCGCCTTCCACACGACAGGTGCCCGGATTCATATCTCACCTGTTGCATGCTCAGTTGGGTATGTTTGTTCATGGTTTGATTGTCCCCTTGATTGTGTTGGTATTTTTCACACAAAAAACTATGAGTATTTTCTCCCACGCCTTGCACTGAGAGTTTCTTCGTTATTTACAATGGCTATAATATACATTTGTTGATAGAACAGTGAGTTTACAGTTGAGGCTTCTTGGCTAATATGGCGATAAACAAATGACATTTGTGTGTCATTTACGATGGACTGAAATCTTTATTATTATTATTTAGAAATAAAAGGGTTGTATTAAAACTGATGGCATGTTCTTACCTTTGAAACGCCAACAAGGAGCAGTATGGAGGAAATCAGTATCAGTACAAACAGCATCACCGCCAAGATACTTCCAATGAAGAAGCCATCCACCACTTGCACGCCGTAATAGGAAACTAAATCAAAGTAAAATGCGAAAGGTGTGATCACGCCAATCGAGAAGCTTATCTTTATCGTCATTAATGTCAACAACTGATTCTATAACAGGCTGTTGGTTGATGGTCAGTGTTTTTTAGTTATTTTGAGAAAAGCTATTAAGTTGTTGTCCAGTTTATTCAGTCTTGGTTGTACTAAAGGATAGGCTTTGCTTTACTTTATTCAGTAAAGATAAGATTTCATCTTGATTTTAGATTTTCTCATTTTCCTTTTTTTGCATATTTTTAAGAAATTCATAAGTGATCTGGACCATGTGCTTAAGCTTTTCATTGAATTTTCTTTGTTCCTATCCTGATTCACATGGCCTGTGCTAATTTACAAGTTAGGGAATTAGTGTCTACTACTTCCTTTTGTACTAGAACTTGTTTATTGCTAGTGAATATTCATCATGTTTTCTCTTTTTGTATTTTCTTATTTACAGATTTCTGCCAAAGTGTACTTTAAAGTCCACTATTACTCACTGTGTTGGGTTTTGGTTTTAAGTCTCTGTTTCTTGATTTTAGGTTTTTAGGTCGATTTTAGTCTTTACTTTTAGTCTTGATTTTCGTGGTTTTAGTTTTATAATTATTTGGTCAGTTTTTTTGTGTGTGAATTTCTTGTAAATACATTCTTTTTGTCTTTTTTTTTTTTAATCTAAAATTTATCTTTGGTCCCTATTAATTCAATTTCCCCGCGACTTTTCCCTTCAAAGATCCTGAGTTTAGTTTAGTTTGGTTAGTTAATCCACATAGAGTCTGTTTAGTGCGAGTTCTCCATAGTGTGTCATTTTCCAGGTTACACATGCAAGTAGGTTGGTTGGTCGGTTTGTGGGTTTGTCTCATGGGCGACGTTGTTTTTTGACGTAACACATTAAAACATCAAGAGGAACTTCCGTCCAGTCATTTGGACAACGGTTGGTGCAATAATGGACAAAGTCATCGTGGTAATTTTCTCGATAGTAATTATTAACATACTATGAAAAAAAAGAAAGTGTTGCTTACCAACTTGCGTGTAAAGTGAGAGCACATATGCTGAATAGGCCAACGCCAGAGCCGAATAGATCTGTACGTAATAAAAATACGAATGAGAAATAAATTAATTCCATCAATAATGATACTGGTTCAGATTGTTTTGAAGCCGGACCGTGCAGGGGCGGATCCAGGAATTTTTGGAGGGGGGGGGGTTATCAGCAAATAAATGTTGAAATGCTGTGAAATGTTTTCTCCGGACAATTGGCCTCCGTAAAATCAATATTTGGTGGTGGTGGTGGTGGTGGTGGTGGTGGTGGTGGTGGTGGTGGTGGTGGGGGGGGGGGGGGGGCTCGTACCATACTTTCAATGGGGGCGTTGTTCAAATCCGACGATCATCAACACTATATTTACAGAAAAGTGTAGAAATACCCCCGTAACCCAGTTGGCTCTGATAAAATTCTGTGCGAGGGCGGATATTATTAACAGTATAATTTTCATATTTCACATTATTTTTAATGTATTTCTATGAACACCCCCCCCCCCCGCCCCTCTGGATCCGCGCATGGGACGTCCTCTGGATCCGCGCCTGGGACATTCTGTTGAGAAGTGGTGCAAAATAACAATTGTTTTGGCAAAAAAAATGTTGCCAGACTCAGACTCACTGACCTAAACGACATTTTGTTTCCATCGGTTCGTCAAAGTAATCATCAAGGACTGATCCCGTTAGATATTTGTTTGTTTGTTGGGTTGGGGTGTTTGTTTGTTTGTTGTTCTTAATGAACACAAAAAGTGTGGTTTGGCCGCTCTAGTAAGGAAAAAGTCGTCAACAGTAAGGGTGTCGTGGGCCATTGCAAGCCGGTAACAATTGTCTTGTTGTTTCGCACATGTAAAACTTTCCCTAATGGTTGAAATTCTTTATAGAATTAAACAATCCCGTGACACCAATAGAAAAAAATCCTTTTGGATAAAAAAGAATCCCTCTGAAGTGAAAAAAAAAATTAAATCCCTCCGAGAGTTTGGGAGTATTTAGAGTGTGCTACAGAATCCTCAGCTCCAGAATTTAATGGAGTACACTGCATGCATAACGCATGACGCGTGCACGTCAACCTCGTCCTCGGGGCTTACTTTATTTTCAACCTGGTTTCCAATAGCGGGTAGTGGTGGGAGCGTACTTCTTGACACTTTGGAAACGAGGTTGGCGTGCACGTGTACTGTGGAGCAGTCACATGGCTTGCGTATTTCTCATCATGAAATTCCTTTGACATGAGCACCTGCGTGCTAAATGACCATACTCCAACACGTGAGGGATATTTCTCATCTTGGGAATTCCCTTCTACATTGCACATTAAATCATTTGATTGCAATCGCAGCTGCCACAATGATGTAAACATATTCCGAGACTGGTGGATCGGCAAAAGATATCGGGAAAATTATATAAAATATTCCTGTAAATATCGTGTAGGTAATGGATTCATTGTCAATGTTCAAACTTCTGGCATCGTGGGGCTTTCAGAAAGCATTCACATGCAAATTAACCATCCCTTATAAGGCCTGGCGATTCTATAGTTTCAATATTTATGAATGGTGACGACGATTCCCCCCCCCATTGGTTTATGCCAGCGTAATGATATCTATGAGCTCACACTCATGAGCCCATAATGTTGTCGCAAAGTGGTGTCATGTTTTTTTTACATGAATAAAAGGACGTTTAGTGTTGGAAAGTTGAATATTAATGACTAAAATAATGACACAAGACACAGTTTTGGAAAATTATTGACCATCCATGATATTTTAAAGTAAAATTTCAGGTTGAAAATCGTACAGCTGGTGCGTAAATACCTTTGCACGCCAATGACGTACACATTTGTATATTGCCGTATCGACGCACAGATCTGTGCGGACCTTCGAAACAGCAACGTCCGAGATTTGAATTTTGGGGTACGGCTTATTTAAAGGGAATGTACAACATTTACTTTTGCTGTAATTTTTAGAAATAAATGGATTTGGAGGATTAGTTTGTCATAGCAAATATTGTTAAACTGACTTGTTTCACGTTTAGGGCTTGCAGATGCTGGAAAAACCAAGAAAACCAACCATGTTCTTGTAGTCTGGTTCCCTGACCCCACTTAAGATGAAATGGAGCTATTTATAGACTTTGGGAAAATGTAAGGTAGAGAATCAGTCTAGCTGACCTGTACCCCTTCACAGGCGTGTAATCAATTGCAAAGAAAATGAGGAATAACTTAATACGAAAAATGAGAAGCACTTTTTAAAAAAAAGCCAGTTTTCTCCAACGCTGGTCAGCCGACCAGCGTTGGCAAAATGCATGTTTTCTTGAAAATGTCAGCACACCAGGAGCCACGATTTCACAGGATGCTTCAGTCTGTCACTCTCTAACAATCCAGTAAGGTATTTCGTGATAACTTGATCATTTCGTGTTTTGATGTTAGCAAATGTTGTATCTTCCCTTTAACGGGTACCTGGGTACACGCGTGTTTTTTTAATCGGGTTCCCGGTTCCCGTACTACACGTAAAAGCACACCCCTAGTTTCTAAAACAAACACCCGGAAAGCTTTTGAAACTTACACCCGGAAAGCTTTTGAAACTTCCACCCGGAAAGCATTTGAAACTTCCATCATCAGTTCCCTTTTATCGACACAGTAGATCTTCATATTCAGAATTCAGCAATTGCACAGTTCATGTATATCCTCATATCCTCGACGCCATTTTATATAATGATCATAATGGTGACTAATCGAAAAGTGTTAGTCTAAAACGAAAAAGATGCAGGGCAAGCTGTTACTATAGTGGGAAAATATTTCCATCAGCGGCATTTCCTTAATATGTCTAAAAGAAACTACTAGCTTTTGTGTAACGATGCTGTGCGCAATACTTTCGATTGAAAGAGTTTGCCGGGGAAAAAGAGAGAAAAAGAGCGAGATTCGTGCACTAAGTTGTGTAACCATAAATGACAGAATGTGGCGCTCTCGGTTCTAAAACCGTCGGGCGCGTAGGATTATGCCTACTTACCAGGGTGTATATTCCTGATGCCGTGGACCCAGAGCGGACATTGTCAAAACAGCAGCATCTCTGCATGATAGCCATGTTTACAGAAGTTGATTCCTAGCTGAGGAGCAAAAAATGGCTTTAATCCTTGTCGATCTGGTCGAGTTGTAGATGGAAAACACTAGCTTCGGTCATGGAGGTGTTATGTATGTGAAGAGAGATATGTGACGCGCCACGCTAAAAGTCAAGTCTCGTTCTATACGTACATGCAAACCGCACAGGAAAAACGGGGCGTTGCCACAGGACAACGCGTGACGTGAAGCGTTTTCATTGGTTGTTTATGTGAGAAAGACACGAACCAACTGCTATATGCATGGCAACGGTGATCGAGTATCCGACCTTGGTGTGGCAGTGACTTTCCACTTGAGACCAGGGAACATGTTCTTCCATATGCCTATGCGGATAGGCCTATTGTTTTTTTTGCTGTTTTTTGGAAGCACACATCGTATTTTAACCAATCACATCACGCACCCTTACATGAATATATCGCACCACGAACCGGCGGATCTCGATTTTTTGCCAAATTGAGTTTTTGTTTTTAACGTTATTATTTCATTAAAGTGCTCATTCTCAGAAAGTTTTATTCCAATCGGAGTTCTAATTACCTAAGAACGCTTATTAGACTGTGTGGCGTATCTCTAAAAATACGCCACTTTACACGCTAATTCCCATAGTGCTATGACGTCACAAAGGAGCGTCGACATGAAAAATTGGAATTCAGCGTTTCACGAACCGACGTATCTCCGTATCTGGCACACGGCCACTATACGCGCGTTGTATGACATATACGATAAACATGATAAAAATCTGTTTCACGAAGTGACGAATAACTTTGGAGCTGAATTTCTCAAAAACTAAGCAACTCTGATGCATACGGATTGCATACAATAAAGTTCAATCTATAATTTAATAGCAAAAACGAAACAACTTGAATTCTTACACAGGGAGTATATGGAATGAGCCCGCAAAATAATGGCCAACCTTAAATCGGTTTTTCTCGAAACACAATTTTTTTAATCCAAACATATCGTCATGCAACCGACGACATGTTTGGATTAAATTTCCTCCCAAAAGTTATCGGATAATTGAACAGAAAATGAAAGATTATGAAGTAAGCATTAATTTGATGGGTGTTTCAAACAGTTGGAGAGTTGTGAGTATTTCAAATATTTTTGGAAGTACGCGTAATTATCACTGAGGTCTATGGCAGTCGATTTTACAGGTCTGCACCCATGGCCACACACATTCTCCCTTTTAAGATAGAAAAATCTCCGTCCTCTCATGGTCCTCTCAAACTATCTCTTGTGATCCCTTCTCTTCACATCGCGGCAGAAATGGGTCCCCTCTGGGTTCCGGCAGTTGTGGCACGTAGGCATTCGCTCAAGGGCATAATTCTATCCGCATTCGTACCGTCGGGACTTTCCCTAATTCCTGAAGGTCACACAAACCATGTCAGTTTGTGGAGCATCGTGTAAAAAAAACAAAAAAAACAAATCGAATGGACGAAACAAAACAAACCATAAAGTAACAACCAAATTGAAATACCAAAAATACAAATTATAATATTTGTTATTAATACAATGACTTTACACTGACAGCAAAAAAGGGAGATTCAAGTTCCAAGCATTTATTATTATTAAACGCTTACAGTTGGTGTCCTGCAAACACTGCCACCAGGGTGCTAAAATTACACAAAAGGTGTTAACTTGAACAAGTTGATAAGTTGGCGAAGATTTAACAGCACAGCAATTGCAGGGTCCAATGCATAGGACAAAACTTTATGCTATAAAATTTAAGAAGCCAATGTCAAAAATATAAATGAGATTCGTATAGGAACAGTGGAAAAATAGATGTCATAGTTTGGACGAATAATATACACTTTTTATAAAAGTATTGTGCACAATTTGAAACCGATATACATGTATTTAAAGGGCTCTTGCAGGGTAATCTCGCAAATGCACCTTTGTGTCCTATTTAACGCTATGTTCGATTCGCCTGTGCCATTTTCAAGGGTATTTTGGTGCCTTTTTGGTTTTCATGCTAATTCAAATGTCCGTATTCGTGAAAAACCCTCAATGTTACAGTAATTTCAGCAGCACAAGTTGCCACACTTTTTGATATTTTGCTGTTCAAGTGTAAATTTTCTTTTCCTTTCTTTCTGATTCGTATTTGTGTCACGTACATGGCAGCATTGTATTGCCAATGAGCAAAGTTTCTCACAAATGCAAAATTTTGGGTTCACAATTTGAACACAAAACCCCTAAACTGAACATTGTACTCCTGAAATAAGGTCACATCAACAGCGCCCTCGGTAAATGCATGGACAATTATGAATGTTTAGAGAAGTGCACTTTTCAATAAAATCTACCAAAACAGGATGTCATATAATTTTACAGTATGAGGAGGAGAAAGAAAAAAATCATTGCATGGACTATTTAAACGGTTCCCTGTTTAAACCATTAAAAGTCCTTATATTTCCTCAACCAAATGGGTCTCGTTCAATTTCATCTTAGCTGTAGTGCTTAATTTTACCACCGAGAAATAAAACATAATCCTAAACTCTCGGGCCCTCTTTTCAGTACCGGTACTCTTTTCATAGGTCCATACCTTTTCAGTAATCCTTCATAACATAAGTCCAATTTCTAATGCAAAATGGGGTATTTGAAAACAAAGTGGTTATAAATGGCTGCTCCCTCGTCATTAAATCTTGGTTGACATCGAATACTTGTGTCTTAAATTAACCCAACCAACGTAGAACCGACCCAACATAATCGCTTTTTTGTATCCTTCCTTTAATACTAAGTAGATTTCAGTTTAACTGTGTTCCTAACAGATGGGGATAGTTTTTGTCGGTTGTTCATGACGTTGTACGAAAATCAAGATAAAGAGCTTCAAAATAAAATATATACATCTTTGCATCAAGCGTAATTAGCGAATAGCAAACGATAAGCCAGCTATTAATAAGAAATATATAAAGATCATAAGAGAGCATTTTATGTGTCTGTGTAAATAAGCCATCGTGAATTGAACTCTTATCTTTGTTGCTTCCAAGGTTCATGTGTGTGATCCCCAGCTATTGAAGACTGAGTGGTCACTCTGCTAACTTCCATGAGATTACCATCAAAGATCAAGGTAAGGAAAAACGAACTTCTTCTGGAAATGTCTTAAATGATACCAAAGAAATTCATTAATATTACAATAATTAATATGGCTTGTATATTATGTTAAACTCTAATTCATCGGTTGAACGGGGATTAGAAATTCCCACATGAGAAACGACTACAATCTGGGTAATGTCTTTAAAAAAAAACACCTTAAAATCTACATGTAGTTCAATAGGAAACAAGCGTTGGATCTTGATACGATGTACACTGAGTGTACAGGGTGAATACAAAAAATAAACCCAAATGTCGGAGCCCTTGTTTAAGTGAACTTCTGCGTGTAGCACCTTCAAAATCTACGATATAAAAGCCTAATTCATCAGCTTTCTTTTGGTACAAAATCATTTAAATTACTCATGTAGTTTTTAAGTTACGGAATTCTAAACACAATGACCGTTTTAAAGTTCTGTCCGCGGATCACAAAAAGGTAAGTGTTCTTTCAGCAAAACGAAAACAATTCACGTATGGGATGTGTCTGAATTGTTTTCGTTTTGCTGAAAGAACGCACACCTTTTCTGTGATCGGTGGACAGAACTTTACAACGGTTGTTGTGTTTAAACTTCCGTAACTTGAAAGGTACATGAGTGATTTGAATGATTCTTATACTAACAGAAAGCTTATGAATTGGGCTTTCATATCCTAGATTTTGAAAGTGCTACATGCAGAACGTCACTAAAACAATGGTCCCGACATTTGGGTTTCGTTATTTTTGACTCACCCTGTATATTGGGGTTACGTTAATAATATGCTTCGCTTGGATGCCGTTTTGGAAAATTGACCACATTGACATGTTTACATGATACTCATGTGACAGACCGTTACATTATGGAGGTTATGCCTATTGCTACAGTACTATTATCGTTTCGCGCAAACAAATCCAACATTTTTGTTTATGTAAATGATCACAAGTTGTTTAATAGTTCGTAAAGCTAACATATCTGTGAGAATATTAATGTCAGTTTCACACTCTTGTCAAAGTTGGGGAGTTATTGATGGCAATCGATCAATTTTCAAAACTATCAATTTGCCTTTAAATCTCGAAAGCTTCATTACATTTTAGGGGTTGTAAACCTTTATAAGAAATCAAAAGCTGATAAAAACCGCAACAAAGTATATACACACAAGTCAACTGCATTAGGCCTAAACTCTTTAAAATGCAAGACATAGTAAATATCGTTTAACAAAGCCGAAAATATCGTTTAACAAAGCCGAAAAAACCTTGTTTGGTTTGAATAGGATGCAGGAAAACCTGGCGATTGACCGTGACCGATCAGCATGTGCAGCAAAAGCCTAAATCGCCTGCGGGTACTGCTGTTGGGCGGGGTAACCCTGTGCGGGCCCGAAGTCTTCCTGCATGGGTGCGTAGCCGAAGCCTTGCTGGGGTGCGTCGCGCTGCTGGGGTGCGTAGCCCTGCTGCATGGCATAATTCTGCGGTGGGACGCCACCTTGCTGGGTCACGACCACAGCGCCCCCAAAGCCAGGGGCAGTAGTGGTGATCAGGGTGGCCTGTGGGAAAATTGAAATTGAAAATTAGAGCTCTTTCTTGGTGTTACAACTGACATGATATTGTAACTACTGTAGTTTGAACTTGTTTGGTACCAAACTGTAGATAACAACAGACTCGCTTATCAATACCGTCATCCACAGTTGTTGCAGAGAGAACGGTGTACATGTACAAGAGAGCTTGAACAAAGCGATCTCACTGCACTCTGAAATCTCCCAAGTTATATTTGACTCGGAATCGAGGTTCTATTGGGCTGACACTTTCTTGGTCAAAATGTCACTTTTCCGGGTTAAAATGACAATTTTCCGGGTCAATAACACTTTTCCATGTCAAAATGACACATTATCGGTTCAAAATGAACAGTTCTCGCACTCATTTGCTGGGTCATTAATTTTTTGACCTGGAAAAGTGTCAGGCGATAGAACCCGGATTCCATGCCAACGCGTCTTTGATAGTCATGGATGCACACTCTGTAAATCAATATTGGGTTTTGCCCTTCACCGACGTATAAACACCGTATACTCAGTGTGTTAGGGTTATACACTGTTTTAGGGTTAGGGTTAAGGTTTGACACTGGATAGACATTTTGTACTTTCATTATCACGGAATTTAAATAACAAAAACCCTGTCCACAGTGAGAGCGAATCGTGCAAACTCTTTTAGTAACAAACATGTTGTAATGTTTAAACAAAATCGGCGGAAATACCTTTGCTCAAAAATTAACGTGGCAAGTCAAACGTCAAAGAGAATTACCGTATTAAGTTTGCTCAAAAATGTTTCCTGAGAAATAAGTAATTAGATTTTTTGGGTCGAAAATTGAAAGGTTTTCTTACCCTGACTACAATGTCCTGTTGACGGCCACGCCCATCTCTCAGCTCCTGGTACTGAGACACCACGCACAGGAAGCAAACCACCTGCCAACGATATCACACAAGTCGGGCGCAAAAATCATGTCATAAGGCAGAAAACAAAACTTTCAGACTTTCAAGGACATGACGGACTCACGGAAAAGAGATATCGTCTCTGAAGTCCGAGGCATAATTTGAGGCTATTGAGTCTTAAGTTTTGGGGTGTCATATACTCACATCCATCACAGTGAACAGGACACAAATGGCGAGTTGAATCATCAAGAAAGCAATACTACCGTCCACCGCGCTCCTTTGGTATGGCGAGTATCCCTGGCCCTCCGAACCAATCTGTGTGGTACAAAGAGGAAAGGCCAAACATTCTTATCTCGTATGGTAACTCAATCTTTGGTAAATACGTGGCTTTTCAGTTTTGCTTTTTCCATGTTATGATTTCGTATACCACTGTTTGTGAGGCCAGGGCTAACTTCAATGATAAAACCGACATGTTTGCGGCAGCAAATCGTTAAAAATTTAACAGGCAGTTTTGGTTGACATCAATCCAAACTTGAAAAAGAAAAATTGAGTGGGAAAAAAGGAAAACATTTACCATTATTTAAATTGTATTGCCATCTGTCTACAACAGTTGTATTAACAGGCAAGAGCTCAGCTGTTACATCTGCTTGAACACGAAAAGTTGACAGAATTGTGATTGTTTGTGCGTGGCAAATCCTCTTCTTTCTTTCTTTCTTTCTTTTTTTTCTTTGGGGGGGGGCCCAAATTCTCCCTCTTTTGTTTGGGGGGGGGGGGACTGTTATAGTAAATGATAGCCAGTTAACGAGTCAACTTATAAAGCGCGGACGTTAACGAAAATTCACAGGTCTATTGTAAAGAAATTCCCAAGCACAGCAACATCACTCTCGGTGTCAAGAAGAATCGTGAAGCGAAAAAAAAAAGAACTGTCATTTAAAAAAAAATATTTCTTGCATATACCAAAGGCACAGAATATTCTTTTTCAAAAAACTGCTACAGACTGAAATTCACACCCTGTAATTTGTAGAACAGTTAATTAGATTGATGGACAAACTTACCTCGGCCGCCCCAATGATGCACAGTATGCAGTAAGCTACGTGAAGCAGAATGAGTATCGGCATAACAATCATGTATGGAAACAGATATCCACGCTGGTCCTTCGAAAGAAAAGCCATTATGTTCCTCATTAACTATTAACAGTATTTGGACACAACAGCAGATGACATTGTATACACATTATATTGCAGATTCAGGAAGTATTGGACACTTCGTCATCGTTACTGGTCGAAAAATGTTTTTAATGAACTAACATTATAGGATATTATGCGATGCTTAGTTTCGTCCAAAATAAAGATCTGGCGATCATGGTGGCACATGGATAGTTTCCTGACTTCCACGTGCACGACGGGTGCCCGGGTTCACATCTCAAATGTTGCACTCTTTGAATATGTTTGTTCATGGTTTGTTTGTCCCCTTGTATTGATTGTGTAGGTATTTTTTTAAGAAGTCTATGAGGATTTTCTCCCACACCTTGCACTGAGAGTTTCTTGGTTATTTACAATGGCTATAATGTACACTTCGTTGCTGGTTATACTGTAGATTATTTACTTTATAATCAAAGCTTCTTGGCTCATAATTATGGCGATAAACAAATGTCATTTGTGTGTCATTTACGATGGACTGGAATCTTTATTTCAATCGACCACAAGAAACAAATGTGTATATAAACATATACAAACAATACATTATTTACAAATAAAAGGGTTTTAAAACGATGGCATGTTCTTACCTTTGAAACGCCAACAAGGAGCAGTATGGAAGAAATCAGTATCAGTACACACAGCAACACCACCAAGATGAGTATAATGAAGACGCTGCTCACCTCTTGCACGCCGGAGACAACTAAAATATAAGTACAACACGAAATGTGAAATTGGAAGCTTGTTATTAATGTCTAACTGATGCTAACGGGCTAGCTGGTTGATGGTCTGTTGTCGGTAGGTTGACAGTCGGTTGTTGGTTGATGATCGCTTGATGGTCAGTGTTGTCGGTGATTCGGTGTTCGGTTGAAATGCAATTGTCTGTGGGTCGGCGGTTGGTTGTCAGTCGGTCTGCGGTCGGTTGTCCATGCATTGGCGGTCGGTTGTCGATGGGATAGTGGTCGGTTATCGATGGAATAGTGCTCGGTTGTCGATGGGTTGACCTTCAATTGCAACGGTTAGTTGCTGGTTCAGTTGTCGGTTGGTCTGTGACCAGTTGGCGATTGATTGCTGATCAGTTCTTCGGTTTATTCGTTCGGTTTGTTTTTTTGTCCATTGGTCAGTGAAATCGGAAGTCAGTTGTCAGTTAATTAGCGTTGGTTAGTCGGTGGCATGAAGGTAGGTTGGTTGGTCGGTTTGTGGGTTTTTTGACGCAACACATTAAAACACACAAGGAGCTAACTTTTGTCCAGTCATTTGGACTACAGTTAGTGGAATAATGCAGTACTTTGCGAGCAAAAGTCATCGTAGTAAATTTCTTGATAGTAATTATTAATGCACTTGAAAAGAAAGCGTTGCTTACCTAAGCTCCAGGAAAGTGACAGCAAAATAGCTGCAAGGGCCAATGTCACAGCCGCATAGATCTGTAGGTAATAAGAAATATGAATGATAAATCAATTAATACATGTACCATCCATAATGATACTGGTTAAGACTAATTTTTTGAAGCCGAACGTCCTGTAGAGAAGTGGTACAAATAACAGCTAGCAGACATTTAAAAAAAACCTTCCAGAGTCAGACTTACTGTATGCCGTAAATGACATTAAAAAAAAAATCATCAAAGTAATCATCAAGGACTGATTCCGTTACATATTTTGTTGTGTTTGTTTGTTTGTTATTCTTAACGAACACAAAAAGTGTGGTTTGGCCGCTCTAGTAAGGAAAAGGTCGTCAACAGTAAGGGTGTCGTGGGCCAGTGCAACCGGTCACAATTGTCTTGTTGTTTTGCACAGCATGTAAAACTTTCCCTAATTGTTGAAGTTTCTTATAGAATTGAACAATCCCGTGACACCGATAGAAAAATTCCTTCTCGATAAAAAGAATCCTTCTGAATTTAAAAAAATCCTTCCGAGAGTTTGGGAGTATTCCAGGTGCCCCTCAGAATCCTCAACTCCAGAATTGGTTTTTTTTTTTTTTTTGGGGGGGGGGGAGATATGTGAGTAACTGTGACTTAAGGAGAGCACTGAAATCACTCAAAAAATAAATTTTAAGACAGCAGTGCAAACCGCCGAGAGCGGAGCTTAAAGCGCGAATACATACCTGCAAATTACGGCTCTAGCGGTATGTCGTGAATAGCGCCACCTTGCATCGCATGCTGTCCAGCCCGACCTATATCCCCTTTTAATTGGATACCTTAACATTATAACACCCCGAAGGCTTTTGGAAATTTCCATCGTGGTGTCCCTTTCATCGACACAGATATAATTCGCCCTTTGTGTACTTTTGCTGGGGGGGGGGGGGTAATACAAAAGCAGTGCCAGTCAGCAGTGCGGCTTTCTCTGAAGAGCGGAGGTCATATTTTGCTCAGTTGTCCTTTTTAGCTGTTTCGGTGTACACACCGAAACAGCTCTTGTTGGCTTTTCCGCAAAGTTGCGGAAAAGCCTTTGTTTTTGTTCTCATTTTTTTTTTTTTTTTGGCTTCTTCTTTTTGTCGCCTAAATCCCATAGACTTTGTGCACGTTTTTTCTCAACGCCACTTTTGGCATTAATCTTTGTCATACATCATTCAAAGTTAGCATAAGCATAGTCCCTATATCAAAGATGTGTCCCGAAGATTGACGTCATGGTGACGTCATCGACTAATTTATTATAGATTTTGGAATATTTAATTTTTCCCATAGACTTTGTACACCGAAATTTAAAAAAAATTGTCGATTTGCAAAGGGCATTTTTGACTCTTTGCCAGTAATTCATTTACACCAATCTTTGTCTAAGCAAAGACCCTAATTTAAACAACATTGTGTAATGATGACGTCATGATGACGTCATCAGGTGTGTATTTATAGGCAATTAAATTGTGACACTTTTAATATTCAAAAATGCATAAGAAATCAACCGTACGCGTCCGCAGCATTTTGTTGCCGGCAATTGGTAGAATAGGTTGAGGTCTTTATTTCATTCAGTGTGCGTGAAATCACGTGACCCTTGCTTCCGGTCGAAAAAGGCCCAAACCGGAAGTGGCTTATCATTTGAAAGTGGTAATAGATATAAACTTGCTTTTAACGGTGTTAGTCTCTTGGCCAATAGTATTCTTCAAATCATCTACCGATGACGTCATGCAATCTTCGAGCGCCCTCTAGCGACAGGTTGAAAATTAGCAAAAATGTATTTTGAATAGATGTCTGTGTTTGTCATAATCGCCTAAATATTGGTGTATATGATGACCTTGACCCACTTAAGACGTGTGCTAAATTTTAGGCAAATGACGTCATCAGACCGGAAGTTACAATAAAAAGACCCTTTTTCATTTAAAAAATTCCTGAAAAATCAACCATGGCAGTTTTTATATTTGTTTTTACTTTAATTGTCGATTGAAGGGTAGGTCTAAAACATTTCAAAGTTTCGAGGCGATAAGCAAACTCGAACATACCCTGCGCACGCTTAAAACTTCACGTTGACAATACCTCTGCTTCAAAACATGCACAGGACAGGACGTCCACAATGTACATGTACATGTACATGCACGTACGTTGTACATAGTTACGTACATCGTATGTCAGTCAGCCTGCAGCGCACGTGTTGCTGAGGTCAAATCCTGTCCACAGTGACCGTTTTAGCCGATTTTCGGCTAACTTTGACATATTTTATGTTCATGCATGCGCATAGACAGGGACGTATTAGAGCACTCTTGGCATTAATCTTTTTCAGATATCATTGAAAGTTGCCATAAGCATAGTCCCTATAGCCAAGACGTGTCCCGAAGAGTGACGTCATGGTGACGTCATCAAGTGGATTTATGAATAATTAATTTTTCTCATAGACTTTGTACACAGCTTTCTCCACAAGTCTTTCCCTATACAACACTGATATATCTTACTGAGTAGTTCTGAACTTCGGCTGAGAATTACTATGAGAAGGAAAAAGAAATCGTATTTTTTTACGCCTTTCATTTGATTGAAAATATTCCCAAGAGTTAGAATAGCAAGTAATATTTTATAAAAATGTTTCAGTTTAAAGGAAAATCACGCATTTAAAGGTGCAGTTTTTCTGCTGTGGGATTTTTAACCTATTGACTTTGTACACGTTTTCAAGCCACCATTTTCGTATTTTGGCGATCTGGAATCGTCATCAAAGTTACAGCCAAGAAAGACCCTCATACAAAAACTATGCCAAGACTATGACTCACGATGACGTCATCACCTAATTCTTTATTGATTTTTGAAAATTTACGTACATATTGTGAAGTCTTATATCTACAGAAATGTAAGTCCGATTGGGTTGAAACTTGGTATGTGGCTATACCAGGATGTGTTATAGATTAAAAATGAGGTGACGTCATGATGACGTCATCCTGAGATTTTATATGAATATTTATTTGTTTGGACCTTTTAGCCATATCTCCCGAACGCAACATGCAAAATGCAAAATTCTTTTTTGCATTTGGTCTGTTATGTAATAGCTATTTGCACAAAACTTGAAAAAAAATGTGTGACGTCATCATGACGTCATCAAAATGCGATTTTGCAAAACTCATATAAGGAAAGGTCCAATTGTCATGAAACTTGGTGGGTAGGTAGTTAATCATACTAGTATGCAAAGTTCGAAGTGACGTCACGATGACGTCATCAACAAATTTTAAAATATTTGTCGATTTTCAAAGTGCGTTTTCGACTCTTTGCCAGTAATTTATTTAGATCACTCTTTGTCCAAGCAAAGACCTTGTGCACACGCACATACATCGTATTGCCGAGGTCAAATCCTGTCCACAGTGACCGTTTTAGCCGATTTTCGGCTAACTTTGACAAATTTTATGTTCATGCATATTCAGGGAATATTATTGATTAAAAAAAATCATAATGCGGAAAAGCCCTATGTTCTGTTGCAAACAGACATAGACCTCTAGTTTCTGTTATTTTTTTTTTTCTCTTTTATTTTTCAGACTTTTTTCTCATAGGATAACACGTGTTTTCGTTCTACAAGTCACTTTTGGCTTTTTTTCAAATCCGATCGACTTCAAACCTGGCACACACTTAGACCACCATCTGAAGATGTGTCCCGAAACTTTTCGTCATGCTGACGTCATCACGTGATTTATTATAGAATTTTGAATATTTAATTTTTCCCATAGACTTTGTACACAGAAATTAAAAAAAAAATGTCAATTTTCAGAGGGCATTTTCGACACTTTGCCAGTAATTCATTTACACCAATCTTTGTCCAAGCAAAGACTCTAATTCAAACAGCATTGTGTAATGATGACGTCATGATGACGTCATCCGGTGTTTATTTATAGGCAATTAAATTGTGACAATTTTAATATTTAAAAATGCATAAGAAATCAACCGTACGCGTCCGCAGCATTCTGTTGCCGGCAAGTGGTAGAGTAGGTTGAGGTCTTTATTTCATTCAGTGTGCGTAAAATCACGTGACCCTTGCTTCCGGTCGAAAAAGGCCAAAACCGGAAGTGGCTTATTATTTAAAAGTGGTAATAGATATGAACTTGCTTTTAACTGTGTTAGTCTCTTGGCTGATAGTATTCTTCAAATCATCTACCGATGACGTCATGCAATCTTCGAGCGCCCTCTAGCGACAGGTTGAAAATTTTCAAAAATGTATTTTGAATAGATGTCTGTGGCGAAGTTTGTCGGAATCGCCTAAATATTGGTGTATATGATGACCTTGACCCACTTAAGACGTGTGCGAAGTTTAAGGTGTATGACGTCATCAGACCGGAAGTTATAATGAAAAGACCCTTTTTCCTTAAAAAATTCCTGAAAAATCAACCATGGCAGTTTTTATATTAGTTTTTACTTTAATTGTCTATTTAAGGGTAGGTCTAAAATATTTCAAAGCTTCGGGGCAATAAGCAAACTCGGACATGCCCTGCGCACGCTTAAAACTTCAGGTTGACAATAACTCTGCTTTAAAACATGCACAGTCCACAATGTACATGTACATGCACGTACGTTGTACATATCGTATGTCAGTCAGCCCGCGCCAGCGCACGTGTTGCTGAGGTCAAATCCTGTCCACAGTGACCGTTTTAGCCGATTTCCGGCTAACTTTGACAGATTTTATGTTCATGCATAGTAAGGGACGTAGGATAGACACTTTTTGTATAGAATACGCATGTACATGTTCATTCGATCTGGATGAAACTCCTTTACGGCAGTCATTAATAAAACGGTCGAAACAGCTCAGTGTTTGTCCACAAACACATTTCTAGTTTTTTTTTGCAGCAGTGATCAAATTCGACACCAACCCGAAATGCCCATAGTTTCCGTGTATAAACGCGACAAAATCCAGCCAAGTAGAAAAGTAAAAAAAAAACTACGATCTTGACCTTCCACCAACACGAACAAACATACCACAAAAAGTATGAGTAATTATGCATAGGGGCCTAAAGCCTAAAGTTGAATTACGGAGAGCACTCAAATCGTTCGAAAATTCAATTATAAGCCGTGACACTGCAAATCGCCGGGGGCGATCGTAAACCGCGAATACATGCGGGCAAATTATAGTTCTGTGTCACGACTGCTGTCCAGCCCAACCCTATCCCCATTCAGTAATTCGAAACCGAAAGATAAATACTATGTGAAGGGGATAAATTGGTTGGAAATTCAAAAACACCTGTGGAAATGCAAGAGGTACAAAAAGAAGAAACTATAGTGTAAGCCCAATGGGCTAACAGAAAATGGTAAATTATCCTGTAACAGTGAAATTCAAAGTTGGAAGTGTCATCTCTGGAGAAACCTGGTGTTGGAATGGGTAACTGCATTAAACATAACATCTGAAGAAGTGAACCAACTCAACAAAAGTCCCAGAAAGTCCCTTTGGGGTTTGTTAGAAAGTTAAAGCTGTTAATTCCCTCCTCTCCCGAAAAATGGTAATAATAATCATGATTTAAAACACCAAAAATACATTATATAGGGGCCTATATAACTGGAATCACGGGGAGGAAATATGGACCATGTAGCTCTCTGATTATATTCTGAGTCTTAACAGTTAAATTGACATTCTGTTAGGAAGTGCCATATAAACATTTAGTTGACAGTAGTTTGCTAGAAAACCGGAGGAAATTTTCCATCATCAGTTCCCCTTTCGTCGACACAGATATAATCTGTGCCCGGTACCCTTTTTTTTGGGGGGGGGGGGGAGTTCAAAAGCTGTACCAGCGCATATCTTCCATCATTAATAATGCAAACCGGTAAAGAGTATAACGAAAGTGCTCTGATCACACGCAATAGTAGCATTTGCACTTTTCTCTGAAATGTGCCAAGGTCATATATTGCTGAGTATAGACCTGTATTTGCAGCACTGCCAGCGCATATCTTCCATCATTAACGATGCATGGAAACCGGTAAAGAACCTGCTTTCCTCACACACAATAGTAGCGCTAGCCTTGCACTTGTCTCTGAAGTGATAATGTGGCATGGTCATATTTTACTGAGTTGACCTGTATTTGCAGCAGTCGCACAGTATATAATCAAATACGACGCCATTAAGCTATACACATGAACGCAACAACATAGACCGCGACAAAATTCCTGCATATGCGGAACTGTACGTGACTTTAGTACGGCAGATAGGTGATGGAATCGTGCCTGTAACGACACAAGCATGGCATTTGACACACAGGCAGAGTATGTCATGAAGAGAGGGCCATCGCATTTTGTCCTTTGAAAAAAATATAGGTAGATTTTCAAGCAGCCTTTTTGAAATTTTGAAAAATGATTGTTATTCCATACATATTTGTTTTCAAAGGACAAATCTGCGATGGCCCTATAGCCAAATATCATTCTTAAGGCATGCTCTGACTGCGTGCCAGATACCATGCTCAGTTGTATCATCAAATGCACATTCCCGAAATATTTCCCCTATCTGCCCCACTAGGCCCCCTATATCAAGCCTTTTTTTGTGGGGGGGGGGGGGGGGGTTCTATCTTTTCACTTTACGATCCCAGCAGTGTATGCCCTATATTATGAATTTTGTATTTGAGGTTTACGATCTGAACTTCCCGAGCAATAATTATGGTTAAAATAATTTCGTTTCTTGTGAGGCCTAATGATTTATGATGATTGAATTGTGGCAAAACGAACAAGATGCAGGGCATTTCCTTGATATGTCTGAAAGAAAATACTAGCTTTTCTAAAAAAATTTCCGATTTTTTTTTTAGAGAAACAGAGAGGAAGATCCATTTGTGTAACGGAAATGACAGAATTTGGCTCTCTGGGTTCTAAAACCGTCGGGCGCGTAGGATTATGCCTACATGTACTTACCAGGGTGTATATTCCTGATGCAATGGACCCAGAGCGGACATTGTCAAAACAGCAGCATCTCTGCATGATAGCCATGTTGACAACAGTTGATTCCTAGCTGAGGAGCAAAGATATTGCTTTAATCCTTGTTGATCTGGTCAAGTCGGTCTTACTAGAGAACACTTGATTCGGTAACGGAGGTGTTGTATGTGCAGAGATACGTGATGAACCACGATAAAAGTCAAGTCTCGTTTTGCCGCACAGGAAAAACTGGGCGTTGCCACATCGCGTGACGTTTGCTTTGATGAAGCGTTTTCATTGGTCGTTTATTCGTCACCGTTTTGACGAAGTGACGCATCCGTCCAAAACAGGGATTTTCTGAAATCTTAGATTTTTGGATATTCTAACATTTTATGATGTCCTCTACATAATTACCAAATTTCGAGACACAACATTCCATCGTTTGTTAATTACGCTAATTGGACAAAGTATTGTTAGTACTACACACTAAGTTTTTCGTTTTGACGAAGTGACAAATCTAAATGTCACTTAATAGTGCGCGTAATTTTATATACGCGCATGCGCTGTGTACAAACAGAATATGCCTCATTTTTGTTAAGAAGGAGTTTTTTTCGTTTTGACGAAGTGACGGATATATTTAGTAATTAATATCTTCTAATTAAACATGATTTTATGACTAGAGAGAATTGTTTTTGGCTATTTAACTCCTGGGCTATTGTCTCAGTTATATTTTTTCAATTCTGGGGGAGAAATGTACACAAAAATGCCAATTGAAAAATCCCCCAACTTCAAACGCAATTTTCTCAAAACTCGGTATTGCATCTGTGTGCACAGATGTGTCACTTCGTGACAACGGTGAATATGATTGTGAGAGAGACACAAACCACCCGCTATTATGCATGCAAACGGTGATGTCAAAGAACCTCAGTGTGGCAGTGACTTTCCATACGGATAGGCTATATCTAAAATGAAAGTACACTGTATAGAGAAAATCTAAGGAATGTCAAATATTATTTCTCCATGTTCAAATCCTCGATTACTCGTTTTTACGTTTACATTTTAGGTCGGAAAGAACTGTGAAAAGTGTAACGCCATTACTAAAAACTCGCGAAAACGTTAAGCAGTTACAACACGCCCATGACCCAAGCAATGTAGAAGTGAACGGAAAACCACACTATACCATGTAAAAACGGTGCTTAGCTTTTAAACAATTTTCTTGTGCTCACATTTTTTTTTACATTGTCTAAGACTTTTCTCAGATTTTGCGCAGTATGAAAATCTGATAGAGCTATATCAAATATATATTTCAATGTTCGTTTTTTCGTCTAGACAGATGATAATGAGAGTGTGATTATTTGACTTCAACCCTATAAGTTATTTTTATTTACTTTAACAATTTATATTTGATGGTATACTAATCGGCTTTCGTACCGTACGTGCCTAAATATGTCACAGACAAAGATTTAAACGTCGTTGATTTTAACACGTGGGTGCAAAAATGTGTTTAGAAATGTGTTCAAAATCTAAACACTGTTTTAATACAGTGTAGTGGTAGCGAAATTGCATTTTCCGAAGCCTTGTAGAGTATTAACTGAAAAGTCAGCAAAACCTTTTACAGCACAGCACAGCACAGCGTTTATAACCTTACGATATGGACATTATTTCATTATGAGTTCAATGCATTTAAAATGAGGGAAATTAAGATTATTTGCAAACGAATAATAACCCCCAGATGTTTCATGATATAATAAATTACTTTGCGGCTATATTGCACTTTGTAAGAGTACTATCGCCATAGTTCAGAAAAAAGATCATACAAAATATACACTATTGTGATTAATATCAATCTCATCCGCAGGAAATGTAACATGATCATTACAATGTCGTTAAAAAGAGAATTAAACAAATAGACGCATTGGGAGAATGCAATTCCAGAGTTGAAATTCGAAATTGGATAGAAAAAAAATACTGTCAAAATATAGGGGGGAAAAAAGCTCAACGCTTGCAAGAAATGGCATTTGCTATATTACTTCGGGAAAGTTGGGATTTCACATGGACAAACAAGGTATAAAATCATGAAAGACCACTTTTGTGCATGTGAATTCATTCAATTCATGTGTCCGATTAGGAGCCGTCAGCGGAAGAAAAAAAAACGCACGATGCCCTCTTCACCCCGGTGCATTCACAGGAAGGTACCAAAGCCTGCTGTTTTGAATGACCCTTTCTGAATGAACAAAAATCAATTCACACAAGGTTTATAAAATATCATGAAGCTAATTCCGTCATCCCATGGTATATTCCCGGAACTGGGCGGGAATATGTATGCAGGTGACTTAGATCAAAACTATTGTCCATAATGCGTGGAATACCGACACACAGGCGATGGTGGTAATTTGGAATTTCACAATAGTTAACAGGAAATATTTATTTATTTAGTTTTGAATTTCGAGGTCATTTCTTTTGCATAAAATGAAACCCAACTTTAAGCTGGCTCAAAGCTGTCGTAGTGCCCATTTTGTGTGGGATACTGACCGGCGAATGGTAATACATGTAAATATGATAAGTTTGAACTTCACAGTAATCATAGGATGTTTGTTTTGAATTTGAAAATCAATCCTTGTAGCAGAAAACAAACATCGAGCGCAGTAAAATCCCCGAGAGGGAGAGGGTTACGAGGTTGAACACGTCATACACGTAACCACCCTCAAACACCTGAGAAATAACCAGCATGATATCAATAAGCATTGACTTTTTAAGCTTTAATTAAAAATAATTGTAGTGGGGCACCAATGAGGAGCCTCATTTTGGAAGGGGCAGTAGGGGCTCTCAATGGGTATTTAAAGTTGGACTAATATGGCACAGGCCTAAATTCTGAGAGACAAATGCGACCAAGGAAATTTAAGCCCCCCCCAAAACCCCCCCCCCCCAAAAAAAATCTCCGGTTTCTGGTATGGAGCTTGCCCCTAAAGTTGTACGGCGACGCGGCTTTTTTTTCACTTCCCCCCCCCCCCCCCCCAAATGTCGGCTGATGACTGCAAATATTGTGCCCGACTAAATTTAAAGCAAAATGTATTGGAGTCCAGAGAGGCCATATGAAGCTTATACTTGATCGTAACCCTATCTAAAACACCTTATTGTGCAGCAACAGGATTCCAGTCTAACCAGTGAGTTTGGCGGTTTTGAGACATCATCTTACATTAAAAAAAAATATTTAATTTTGCCGACGCGCATGGCTACGGCGACGCGCGCGCATACCAGAAACCGGAGACATTTTTTGGCCTAAAGATTGGATGCATCATTCCTGCAGTCATGTTTTCAAATAAAAAATTGTTAACATCGGTAAATTAAGGTGTTCATGGAGACGCATACACAATCTCATTGCCATTGTGTGGACATTGTTTTGCGGGGGTAGGGATTTGTAGAATGAACAAAATTCTTTCTTTTTTATACAACTAGTTTTTTCCCTAATATTGTATTGCTCAAGCCTTGTTTGCCACCTGGCACATGAACCGTGTGTATGATTTTACTATTATCATAAATTATAATAATAGTCCATTATTATCTGCCGCACAGTTCAGCTTGGTTGTCAAAAACATGCTTAGAATATCGCTACATATTGTGGATAATATTTACAAGCAGTGTATTCACAACGAATTGCGTTGTGCTCTATAATGAGAATGATTGAATGCGTTGTCATTTTTACAGCCTAGTGGCAAAAAACTGTGGTTTAGCCTTTGGCACTCGCCATGATCATGATATACATATAGAGGGCGCACAGAGCGCAATGAACCAGGATAGAGAGCACTCCTGTAATCAGCAATCCACGACGAACCTTATGATTATAATTTTTGGCTGTGATGAACACCAGACTAGAATTGTAGACTGAATTTCAGCCTACGTTGGAAATGTGACACAGTGGATACATTTGTATGTTGCGGTTAAGAAATTCATAAACCAAACCTGTACCAACTGAACAACCGGTCAATTAATAGACCAACCAACAAATCGGTAAATTATTGAGGTCAATGATGTCTATACGGTCTGGCTTCAAAAGCATACAATGCTCTTTTGTCGGAAAATATATAGGCCGAGGTCGCGGTTGCACCAACTAACAAAACGCAGCAGAGGCAGAGGCAATTTTAACGCGGTTGACAATGTGTCAACTTATTTGACGAACGTGCACCTAAAATACTGAATCGCCACAGAACAAAATATACACTTAGTATTTAAACAACATTGGAAGGACTGGGAACCAGTCTACCACGTCGTGCTGCCGTTGAAAAAAAAATATGTGAGGGCGCTGTCTCTGTTTAAAGAGATTGGGAATCCCGTCATTTCATATCCCATGCAGTTCTGCGTTGAAATTGGTTGTCAATTTTAGCAGCAAGGGGCAGGAACCGCAGTTTTATAAACACTTCGTCACATGAGTTGCCAGTAGAACGTTGAAGGCGACGTCAAGCTGCCTTAGAGACTCCAGCTCTGAATTTGGTCTTTGAAGGTTTACTCCAGCCTTTCCCATGGGTTGTTAGGCCTATACTATACAGCCGCATGACAGCAGAGGTTTGAAATTAAGGTTTTCATTCTCCGAGATGATCTACCTACCAAGATTAAGGAGCCTGATCTGCCCGATGCAACTTGTTTAAAGGTGCTAGTGGACCGCCTTTTGCCCCTTCTCTAGAAATGGTTTCACCGGGGCTTAATAGCTAAGCCGCACGCTGTTTGACACGCGTGCCAAAGGGAACATCTTTGGTTTTTAGGAATCGGGGGCTTGTCACCACTACCATCCCCGGTTGTGCCAACCTTTGGTGGTTGGATAACAAATTAGTAGAAAGAGCGATTAACATTTAAGTATAATTTAACCATTCTGAATTAAGATCTCTAACGCAGTTGTATCTTTCTTACCTCCAAGGTACTTTGTGTGAACCAGCATCTTCAGATTAAAGATGGAGGCTTTAGACTGTTTCATTCTCAAAAGAAAAGCTCCCAAATTCAAGGTAAGAGAACAATCGTACAATATTGATCATAATGACGGAAATACCCCCAAATATATGTGTTGTTCTGTAGGATAATTATAGAAACATGCAACAGGATTAATTTGACTTTAATACATAAACAGCTATCTTGTCATGGTACTATGACTTTTCACCTCCTTTGTAGCAGTAAAAGAAATTTCATCATTTTAGTTTTGATGCTAAATGAAAATTTCCATATTCATGAGCCAAAGCGTGATGTCATTCAAGGCAGAACAGTAGTGTCTCCATTGCTTTGTGTGCACATTTTTATCAAACTGTTTTCCTCCACTTTTTACTTGTTTATCATGTTATTAAAAACAGCTGGTATGGACATAGTAGTGGCCACTATTCAGTTTCTTTAAAACTTTTTTGAGGGTAATTTTGACGGAGTAATTTTTGTGCTGTCCACATATGCACTTTTGACAAGGAGCACCGTGCGTGACAAAAGCAAAATAGCTCCCTCTTATGATGAAAAGATTTGCTGATAATTAAAAAAACTGCCACTGTCTTGTCGCTTCCAGTGAAAACAAGTTACATCTATTAAGATCGTGTATGTATTGTGGCAACACATAGTAAAGTGCATGAAAGTAAGATGAGCTGAAGTTCCACCGCATGTGCTTTTAAAAGCTCAACAAAGAAATAGAATGGATTAGGGCTTAAACCTGCGACCTCCGGATAGTCCTATTGTGTCCACCATACTGAAAACTGGCTAATTGCAACATTGACAAATATTTTCCAAGGGATTGCAAACATTTCCTAATAAGGGTATTGCTCTTAGGCGGAATTTTCGCGGTGGAGGTGGGTATCACTGGGCGGCCGCGTATCCCTGGGGTGCGCCTTGCTGAGGTGGTACATAGCCCCCTCCCCCTCCCCCACCCAATCCCCTGCATTGCATAATGATGGGTGGGACGCCTCCTTGCTGTGTCACGATGTCAGCGCCAACCATGACAGGGTCAGGGGTAGTTGTAACCACTGTATAGGTCTGGGGCAACGACAACATCAACTTTGAAATTTAAAAAAGTCTTGCCGTTTCGTAACCGATGTTTTCCTTCACATAATGTCGTAAGTAAATGTTGTGGAACCCTATTTTCGTGTCTCCCCTTTTTGCTGTTGGTTCAGGTGACATTGTCACTACATTACCAAAATAACCTCCTTCAAAAAAACAACAACAAATAAACAAGAGGAACACAACAAAACATTAAAAACCATATTGAAATAAACCAAAAATTTAAAAAAAATTTAAAAAAAATCCTACCCATTGTTTCGTTAGCCCAATCGCCACATGCACAGCGCATACTATACCACCAAAAGAAAGGACAGTAATTGTTATAGATACAAAGAGTTAACACTGACAGCTAAAAATGAGTTTCAGGTTCCAAGCATTTATTATTTTTTAACGCTTACAGTTGGTGTCCTGCAAACTCTGCTGCTAGGTCGTTAATGTAGGTTTCCTGGCTATTTTGAAAACATTTATCATTCGAATTCACCGTTTTTGAAATTGTGCAATACAATTTGACTACATCGCTTTGGTAAAAGCGTGTGAATTTTATTTCTCAGACGAAATTGAATGTTATAGAATTGGTGAATTTGAATGAAAAATGTTTAAAAATAGCCGGGAAAACCTATATTACACAAAAGGTGTTAATTTGAAAAACTTGAAAAGTTGGCGGATATTTTACAGCACAGCGTTTGCGGGGTCCAATATAAAGGACAAACCTTTACGCTATAAAAGTTAAGCCAATGTAAAAATATAAGTAAGATTTATATAGGACCAGTATAAAAATAGATGTCATAGTTTGAAGAAAAGTATAGAACTTTTATAAAAGTAAGGTGCAACATTTGAAACCGATATATTTACAGGGCCCATGCAATGTATTTTTTAATGCAAATTTAGGAAATGCCCCTTTGTGTCCCATTTAATCCTATTTTCAATTTTTGTTGTGCCGTTTTCAGGGATATTTTGGTGCCTTTTGTAGTTTCACACTTATGCAGATGCCCATATTCATGAGCTACAGTGTTCGTTCAGTCACAAACCTCAATGCTACAGTAAGTTGCCAGAATTTTGGATATTTTGCTTGTGTAAATGTTCCCATTTTTGGTGATTCGATGTTTTGTCAGTGGATGGCAGTAAGCCAATGAGAAAACATTTGGGTTCACGATTTGAACACAAAACCCCTAAACTGAACAAAGTCTTCCTGTAATAACATCACAGCAACAGCGCCCTGATCGTCCAGAAGTGAACTTTTCAATAAAAAACATAACCAAAAAAGGGATGTCATATAATTTTCATACAGTTAAGGGAAGTATAGAGAGTTGCACAAAATATATTCCGGAGAAAAAGTCATTGCATGAACCCTAATTCAGTCTCGTTATAAAGTTCTATCTAGGCTATAGCCCTTAATTTTACAACTGAGAAATAAAAAATCCTTAGCCCCGGACCTTCTTTTCAGTACTCTTTTTAAAGGTCCATACCTTTTCAGTACTCCTTCATAATATAAGTTCAATTTCCAATGCAAAATGTGATACAGTATTGGAAAACGAAGCAGTCATTATTATACAAATATTGAATGCTTCGAGTGGTGTAGTAAAACTAGCCTCCCAAGGTGATCCATGGACATTCTATTTTCCCGAGGCGAAGCCGAGGGAAAATAGAATGGTCCATGGATCACCGAGGGAGGCTAGTTTTACTTCACCACGAGATAAAGCATTCAATATTTGTTTTATAACACTTCACCCACAGATTCTGCTTGATTTTAATATTTTAAATTATTTAAATCTGAACACAGTTGAAATAAACTTCAATTTCAATACAAAATTGGTGGAAAATGTATTTCTCTCTTAAAAACTACCCCTTCACGAAATGTTTGAACCCAAGTCTGCGGCGCGCTCTCTTTGGAATAATACGCGCTACGCACAACGCGCAACGCGCACACCAGCATGCATTTGCACACAAATATAGCGCCGTGGAAATAGTACTTTGGTTGCTAATGGTATAGTACTTTGGTTGCTATGCGCATAGTACTTTTGGCCGTGCACAGAAAGATAGCAAAATTAGAAAGTAACATGTGACTCGCTCTCGGCCAATCAAGACACAAAATCTGTGGGTGAGGTGTTATAAAAATGACTACTCACTCGTCATTGAATCTTGGTTGACATTGAAGTGTCTTAACCCAAGCAACGTAGAACCGACCCAACATAATCGCTTGTTGTCTTCTTCCTAATGCTTACTAAGTGGATTTCAGTTTACATGCAAACTGTTTTCCTAACAGATAGTATTTTGTCTGTCGTGCATGATATTGTATGAACCCGTTCAAAAACCAAGAAAAAGAGCTTAGAAAACTGTATATTTACATCAAACATCATTAAGGAAAAGCAAACGAAATTACTCACTTTGTGTTTTCTGTGTACATGTAGTATACAAATATTGACTGCTTCGAGTGGTGAAGTAAATCTAGCCTCCCGAGGTGATAAGGGAAAATAGAATGCTCCATGGATCACCGAGGGAGGCTAGTTTGACCTCACTTTTGACCTAATTTTGACCTAAATTAATTAAATATGAATGATAAGATAAACTTCAATTTCAATAAAAAATTGGTAGGAAAAGTATTTTCTGTTTTCTAAACTACGCTTTCAGTCTTTATGAATGGTTGTTTCGGGGATAGTACTTTTGGCCGGGCACAGAAATATAGCAAAATATAGGAAGTACAATGTGACTCGCTCTCGGTTAATCAAGACACAGAATCTGTAGGTGAGGTGTTATAATCTTAAATGGTCCCTGGACAAGTTTTAAATGATACATTAATAACACGATAATTAATATGGCTGGTATAATGTTAACACCTATTTCATTAGCCAAACGCCGATTTAAAATTCCCACATTAGGCATATTTTTGTGACAAAAAACCTACAATCTAGAAGCATATAAAGTGACACATATTTCAACAAGAAACAAGCGTTGGAACGAATTGTTGGTGCATGCACTTTCAGAACATATAAACATTGGGTTCACATTAATAATATCATTTCTTTGGATGCCGTTTTGGGAAATCGATCACAGTGGCTTATTCACTTGATACTCATGTGACAGATATTTATTATGGAGGTTGTGCCTGTTACTACAGTATTCCAAATCGTTTCGTGCAAACACATTCACCGTATTGCTTTGAAATATGAATGATCCCAATATGTTGTGTTATATTTCGTATAAAGATAACATATCATTGAACAAATTAATGTCGGTTTCTCTTGTCAAAGTTTGGAAGCTCCTAATGTCAAGTGATCAGTTTTCGAGGAACTATCTATTTTTCTTTGAATCTCGAAAGCTTCATAGAGAGTTTGTAATTGTAAACCTTTCTATTAAGAGATCAAAAGCTGCAAAATCTTTGATACAAACAAAGTATATAAATCAACTGCAATAGGCCTTAACTCTTAAAATGCAAGACGTAGTAAAGTATCGTTTAACAAAAAAAAGTATCCTTTAGCTTTATAGGAAAACTTGGTGAATGATCGTGATCGATCAGCATTTGCAGCAAACGCCTACATCTTCTGAGGGTATTGCTCTTGAGCGGGGTATCCCTGGGCGGGTGGGTAGCCCTGCTGGGGTGCGTAGCCCTGCTGGGGTGCGTAGCCCTGCTGCATTGCATAACCCTGCGGTGGGACGCCACCTTGCTGAGTCACGACGACAGCGCCACCAAAGCCAGGGGAAGTAGTGGTGATCACGGTGGTCTGGGAAAAATTGAAAACAAATTGAAAATAAGAACTCTTTCTTGGTATTGCAACTGACCGTATTAGATGATTTTGTAACTACTGTTTAATTTGAACCTGTTTTGTACCGAATTGTAGTTAACAACTCGCTTATCAATACCGTCATCCACATACAGTTGTTGCACAGAGCGCTCTCACTGCGCTCTGAAATCTCCCGGGTCATATATGACTCGGAATCGAGGTTCTATTGGGCCTGACACTTTTCCGAGTCAAAATGACTCTTTAGTACTAACTCATTAATTTTTGCTGGGTCATTTTGACCGGGAAGAGTGTCATTTTGACCCCGAAAAATGTCAGGGAAAAAAAAGTGTCAGGCTATAGAACCCGGATTCCATATCAAACCTTACCCAGGAGATTTTAGCGTGTGTGAACAAGTCTTTGATAGGTATGGATCTACATTCTGTACTTTCATAATCACTGAATTTATGCATAATAAAACCAGACCACAGTGAGGGCGATACGTGCTAACTTTATAAGTAACATTATAATGTAATGGTAAAATCCTCGCAACGGCAGAAGTAGTTTTGCTCAAAAATTGATGTGACAAGTCCAGCGTCAAAGGGAATTGCAGTATAAATTTTGTTCAAAAATGTTTCCTGAGAAACAAGTTGTTGGATTTTTTGGGGTCAATTTTTTTTTTTTACCCTTGCTGCCATCACGTCCTGCAGACGGCCACGCCCATCTCTCAGCTCTGTGTACTGAGACACCACGCACAGGAAGCAAACCACCTGCCAACGATATCACACAAGTTTGGTACAAAAATTATTTCCTAAGACAGAAAATAAAACTTTCAGACTTTCAAGGACATGATGGACACACCCAAAAGAGATGTCGCTTCTAAAGTCCGAGGCAAAATTTGAGGCTATTAAGTCATAAGTGGAATAGATGTTTTTTTTCACATTACTCTAAATTGGCGTGAAAATCGTTTTTTTTTGGGGGGGGGGGGAATTTAAAAAGCACTCTTGGTTATGACATGGGAATGGGTAGAATTATAGGCGCTATCAAGCCTTGCTTTTGGTTACGCCCCTACCAATGCAATGACACCTACTCAATTAAGCAATGGCAGATTATACTTGGTGTGTAATGTACTCACATCCAGCACAGTAAAAAGTACAACAACGGCGAGTTGAAACATCAACAGACCAATACCAGCACTCGCCAAGGAGCTGTAGCCAGACGAGTACCCATAGGAGCCAACCTGTGCAGTGCAAAGAAGGATTACTTACTTCCTAGTAACTTAATCCTTAATGACGTGGCTTTTGAAATCTCATCAGAGTTTTGCTTTTTTATGTTACGATTTCGTATACTGATTTTATTTCACCACTTTGTGAGCTACATAATGTAGGTAGCAGCGACAAAGTGTGGACTTGCCCACGTCCACACTTTGTTTCCCCATTTCTGGAAAACAGGTTTAGAGGCATTTTGGGGTTAGGTTTATCCGTAGCAGGATGAAGAGAAACACTAAAGGGAATCATAGAAAAAAAATTGGGTTGAAAGAGTTTTCACAGTTTGAGAAAAATGAGTTTTTCCACTGGTGTTCCTTAACTACACGAAAAGAAAGGAAAGTCCACACTACGTATGTGAAACAAACATGGGTGTGTGTGGGGGGTGCAGCAAATCGTTATTAATTAAGCAGGTAGCTTGGTTGACATCAACAAAAACTTGACAAAGAAGAACTGAGTGTTAAAAAGGAACATTTACCATTATTTTTCAGTCTTTAAATGTTATTGCCACCTGTCTACAACGGTTGTATTAGGCAAGATCTCAGCTGTTACATTTGCTTGAAAACGTTTCTTACAAATATACCAAAGGCATAGATATCCCTTTTTCAAAATGTGCTTCAGACTGAAATTCATACTTGACCCTGAAAGTCGTAGGACAGTTAATTTAGTTTGCTGGATAAACTTACCGCGGCCGCTGCAACGATGATAATGATGCAGTAAGCTATGTGAAGCAGAATGAGTATCGGCATAACAATCATGTAGGGAAACAGATATCCACGCTGGTCCTTCAAAAGAAAAGACATATGGTCATCATTATTCATAATTATAGAATTAAAACACAGCGGCAGATGACATTGTAGACACATAATTATAATTTTGCAGCTTGAAGATGTATTAGACACTTCGCCACACACTTCTGAGATCCTTAGTTTCGTTAAAATACCTCGCACTTGTCCCAAATAAAGATCGGGCGATCATGGTGGCACAGAGGTATAGTTTCCTTGCCTTTCACACGATGGGTGCCCGGATTCATATCTCACCTGTTGCACTCTTCGGGTGTCTTTGTTCATGGTTTGTTTGACCCCTTGATTGTGTTGGTATATTCTTCACATAAATCTGAGAGGATTTTCTCCCACACCTTGCACTGACAGTTTCTTCATCATTTAAAATGGCTGTAAAATACACTTCGTGATAGAACAGTGAAATTACAGTCGAGGCTAAACAAATGCCATATGTGTCCTGGCTGTACCGTACAGCCCTACCCTGCTGCAACTCCATCGTTCGGTCGTCAGCTACTGGCAACGTGGGCAGGTGTCTCAGTGTCTCAAGGATGCTCAGTTTATACAGTTGTATAAGAACAAAGGGGATAAGTCCGACTGCAACAACTACCGCGGGATCTCCCTGCTGAATGTGTTTGGGAAGGCTGTGGCTAGGATCGTGCTTAAGAGGCTTCAAGTTTTGGGTGAGTACATCTACCCAGAGAGTCGGTGCAGTTTTAGGTCAAACAGGTCAACGATCGACATAGTGTTCACCCTACGACAGCTGCAAGAGAAATGCAGGGAGAAACATGTAAACCTCTACATCGCATTCGTGGACCTCACAAAAGCCTTTGACACAGTAAGCCGAGCTGGGTTGTACAGAGTGCTTGTGAAGATTGGCTGTCCACCGACGTTGCTCAAGATTGTCCAGTCATTTCATGATGGGATGGAAGCCTCCATCTCCTTCGAGGCGACGTGTCGGACAGTTTTTTCTGTCAGATGCGTAGTGAAGCAGGGCTGTGTAATGGCGCCATGTCTCTTCAACATCTACTTCTCATACCTCCTTCACCATGCCTTCGACGACAACACCCTGGGGGTATACTTGCACACTCGCTTCGATGGAGGGCTCTTCAATGTGCAGCGCTTCCGAGCCAAGACCAATGTGTCTCACTCCACTGTTGCTGACCTCCTGTTCGCTGACGATGCCGCGCTAGTTGCTCACACGGCAGATGATCTTCAGACCCTGTTGGATCGTTTCACTTTCTCCTGTGCAGTCTTTGGACTCAAGATCAGCGAGTCAAAGACGGTCGTCATGTGCCAGGAAGTGGAAGACCAGGCAGCACTGCAGACGTTCCTGGTTAACGGGAAAAAGATAGCAGTGGTAGATGAGTTCTGCTACCTCGGGTCCTGCATCTCAAGTATGGCCAGCATGGAGGCCGGACCTCAACAGACGCATCGGACGAGCTGCGGGCTGCTTTGGACAACTCAGGAGGCGTGTGTGGGCAAACAAGAAGCTTAGGCTAAAGACAAAGATCGCAGTCTACAAAGCGTGTGTTCTGCCTACACTGCTGTATGGGTCTGAGGCCTGGTCGGCCTATGCTGCGCAGATCACCAGGCTCAACAGCTTCCACCTGCGCAATCTGAGGAGGATTCTAGGTGTCAAGTGGTGGGACCAAGTGTCAAACGCAGAGGTTCTGCAGCGCACTCAAGGTGCAAGCATGCATACCATCCTCACAGAGCGCCGGCTCAGATGGTTTGGACATGTCTGTAGGATGCCGCAAGACCGTCATCCCTTGAGGACTCTTTTCAGCGAAGTCAGCACTGGAGCCCGAGTTCGTGGAAGACCTCTACTCCGTTTCCAAGACCGCGTAAGGGACGACCTACGACACTGCCAGATCAAGGAACGCGGAGTGGAAGAGCTATGTGCTGTGAGGGGAGCGTGGCGGAAATCAGTCCATGAGGGAGCAGATGCGGCAGAAAAGAAGTGGCGCAAGGAAGGACGGGCGTGCCGAAAACAATCAACCCAAGGAGCGGTAGCATGATCCCCATTGGATCTTATGCGGCCAACAACCAACAACAACGATGGCCTGAAATATGTATTTCAGTTGAACGAAAACAAAAACCTAAATGATATTATTCAGAAATAAAAGGGTTGTATTAACACTGATGGCATGTTCTTACCTTTGAAACGCCAACAAGGAGCAGTATGGAGGAAATCAGAATCAGTGTAAACAGCAACACCGCCAAGATACTTCCAATGAAGAAGCCATCCACCACTTGCACGCCGTAATAGGAAACTAAATCAAAGTAAAATGTGAAAGGTGTGATCACGTCAGTCGAGAAACTTATCTTTATCGTCGTTATTGTCATAAACTGATTCTATAACAGGCTGTTGGTTGATGGTCAGTGTTGTCGGTTTGTTGGTGGCACAGTTTTCGGCTGGTTTGTTTGGGATCGTCCCCAACTGATTTGCATAAAAATAGTGGCCGCATAAGGTCGCTGTTCGTGCTGTATTTTTACATGCACTGCATAGCGCGCGTGGCCTATGCCGCTGATTGATTACTGTGTGCGGGACGAATAACGACGAGAGCATTGATGAAGGCTAGGTTGGATGGAGATTGTTTGGAATTCAGTTGTCTGTGGGTTGGTGGGTGGTTGCAGTCGGTCTGCGGTCGGTTGTCGAAGGATTGACGGTCGGTTGTCGATGGGACAGTGGTCGGTTATGGGAAAGTGTTCGGTTGTCGATGGGCTGGCTTTCAGTTGCAACGGTTAGTTGCTGGTTCAGTTGTCGGCAGGTCTGCTGTGGTCGGTTGTCGATTGATTGCCGGTCAGTTCTTCGCTTTATTCGTTTGTTTGTTGTCCGTTGGTCAGTGATGGTCTATCAATCGGTAGTCGGTAATCAGTTGATTAATTTCGGTTAGTCGGTGGCCGTGCAGGTTGGTTGGTCGGTTTTGTAGGTTTGTCTCTTGGCGACTTTTTTTTAAGCAACACATTAAAATATCAAGAGACCTTAAATTTCGTCCAGTCATTCGTACTTAGTGCAATAATGCAGTACCGGTACTTTGCGAACAAAAGTCGTCGGGGTAATTTTCGCAATGGTAATTATTAATGCACCTGAAAAGAAAGTGTTGCTTACCAACTTGCGTGTAAAGTGAGAGCACATATGCTGAATAGGCCAACGCCAGAGCCGAATAAATCTGTACGTAATGAAAATACGAATGAGAAAATCTTGGAAGTCCTCAAAGAATTGAACAATCCTGTGTAACAATGGCAACAAATCCTTTTGAATAAAAAAATAGCCTAATTCTTCTGAATTAAAAAATAATAATTAAAATCCCTCCGAGAGTTAAAATCCAGTGCGCCACAGTCTATGTTATACATCCTGGCCCTGGCGAAAACAGATTCGGCGAGTTTCGCTCGTACCCCCCGCCCTGCAAACAGGACGCTGGGATACTCTGATGAATTCACGCTCTGATTGGTTGGATTTTGCGTGACCTGCGCGTCAACACGGTTATGACTCTGCAAGGTTTGAAACGGCCGTTAAGACTGATTCATTACTCTTCTATTCCAGTTTAGAGATTTTTTTGTTGTTGAAAAGTGTAATAATGTAGGTAATTCTGTAAAATTTATCTGTGTTGTAAATTTACAATTCCCGTCACTTGCACAGGCTCCATTTCGAATCACGAACGGTCGGATTGCATTATTCGACGCTAACAATTTTGGCCAAATGGTCCGCAATGAAATAGAAATCACATCCGGTATGCATGAAACGTGCGCATTTCTAAGGGGAAGTTTTCGGATCAGGTTTTAGGTCATAGGCCACTTCCTTCACAAGATTCTGTGAAGCTCATCAGTGTATCCCAGCGTCCTGTTTGCAGGGCGGCGCATGGACATATAATAAAACCGGGCAGGGGTACGAGCGAATCGGCGAGTATGCAACTAGACTGCGTATGACAGCGAGAAACTGACCAATCAGCAGGTGCCTTCTATACGCGCGTAATTCGAGCTCCCTGCATGCGCAAACATCACGCCCACGATGAGTAGCATTTTTGTACAGGTTGTTGTATTACAAAAACGCAGCATCGAAATTGACCAAGCACAGTCTTACTCCTGATTTCGGCGTGAAATGACGTCACGCATGCTTAGATAATATCAGACGTTAAACAGGAGACTTGGCTCCATGGATAACGGGTGATACTCAGACTACAGAATCCTCGTCTCAAGATTTTAAGAGAGAAAAGAAGACAAAATGCCGATCTTGACCTCCCATCAACATGAACACACAATGAAGTACACCACAAAAAGTATGGGAAAGAGTGTAGTCAGTCCAGGTGCGGTCAGTCCGGTTTGCGCGCTGGGCCCTAGAAGTCTGGTCTACGTACGTTGGTTGTCACGCGGTGACCGCTCAGTTTCGGTTTGGTATTCGCTGGATACAGTCAAAGTTGCGTACAAAGTCTATTGAGAGTCGAGTGCATTTTTAAAAGTATTTTCTTACAAAATTGGAAATGTTTCTCAGTCTCAGATTCATGTCTTTTCAACATTTTTGCAATGACTGACCTTATATTGAGATAATGCGTGATGAAAAAAAGGACGTCAGGGAGCAACATTCTTTCCAAAGTATGAGTAATTTTGCATAAAGTTGAAATAAGGAGAGAACTCAAATCACTCGAAAATTTCAATTCATTCTTAAGACAGCATTGCAAACCACCGAGAGTTGACGTAAAGCGGGAATACATACGGTTGTAGACCAGTAATAGACCTCAATGATAATTATACACGCACTTCTAAAAGAAATGTTTAAAATACTTCCAATAACACGCTTTTCCAAAAAGAAATGATTAAAATACTCACACTCTCCAAGGTGTTTGAGATAAACATCAAATTAAAGCATATTTCATCATCTTTCATTTTCTGTTCATTTTTTTCTTAAAAAACTTAAAGGTTTGTAAAAAAGATGGGTGGAAGCCGTTCACAGGAGTGTGAGCTCGTATTTCTGTGAAATTTGCATGAAATTGGCCCCTAAAATTAGGCCCTATTTATTTTGCAATGGGGCGCAGGCATAAGTTTTCAAATTGGTGATGGGGTCACAGGACTACCTTTCGGGATAATTATCTTTGGATAATGTTTTTTTCCAAAAAGTCATTGGATACTTGAACAAGAATTAAACAGAAAATGAAAGATGATAGTGAAATAAGCTTACATTTAATGGGTGTCTCAAACACCTTGAAGAGTTGTGAATATTTTAAATAATTTTCGGAAGTACGCGTAATTATCACTGAGGTCTATGAGAGTCGATTTGCAGGTCTGCACCGCTATGGAATTAGACTTGACCCAAGTCGGACGTACTCTACTTTGTTCAATCCGTAGGCGTACTTTGCTTTGTTCAGAATTCAATCCTTAGCTTATAGGGCGCCCTCATCTGGTTGCCGTTCCGCGATCCGGCGTCAACGTGTGATGTCATCAATGTCAGTGCAGTAAGGGTGCACTGAACCAATTCAATTCCCATTGAAAACGTGTAAAATCAACAAAGTTCAGGGCCAAATAACATGCCAGCCGACATCACTGGGGTTTCTCAAACAAAATTAAATTATTGTCTTGTACTTCATCTTTTCATTTCTTTTCAATTTTGGGTAGATTAGCCGATTACATTTTTAAATATTCACACCAAAACAAAATCACCTCCCGAAAAGTGATAGTTCCCAAGCCTGCATGAAGCCGTTTTACAAGTGGCATCCTTCCACTTTCTCAGGCAAATAGGACCCATTTTTCAACAGTAATTTTATCAAGCCTGCCCTCATATGGAAGCGCAAAAACCAGCGAGTTGATCCTTGGCTTCATTTACACAATTCCCCCGTTTTTAAAGCCGAACGGTCTCCGTTTTCAAAAGAAACTGTGGGGTCACTTTTTATGCTAATCAGCTCGCGTAGAAATTCTCACTTGAATTAGTTCACTGCACCCGTAGGTCAGTGCAGTGGGTTCTCGATCCACATAGGGCATATAGCGGGGCGTCGCAAAAGGGCGCGCTACTGATGAGCGAGCGGGCACGACGCACTATACATACACGGAACACGGACCATGATCAAGGACAGTGAAGAATCCCGACTTGGGGCAAGTCTACTATGGAATACGGTCCAGCACATAACACACAACGCAATAGTAGCCTTGCACTTGTCTCTGAAGTGAGCCGGGGTCATAGTATTTTGCTGAGTTGCCCTTTGCAATAGTCGTACAGTATGGGTACAGACCTGCAAATTGACTCCCATAGACTTTAGTGATAATTACGCTTACTTCCAAAAATTATTTAAAATACTCACAACTCTCCTAGTTGTTTGACAACCCATCATTATTTGAAAGCTTATTTCATAATCTTTCATTTTCTGTTCAATTTTTGTTCCGTTAACTGTTAACCTTTGGGAGAAAATTCCGTCCAAAGATGATCACAAAAAGTAGTCCTGTGGCTCATCGCCTTTTTCAAAAATGATGTCTGCGTTCCATTTCAAAATAGAGCAATTTAGGGCACAATTTTATGAGAATTTTACAGAAATACGAGCTCACACACCTGTGCACGGCTTCCACCCATAATTTACAAACCTTCAAGTTTATGGCCCACAAACTGCTCTGCATAGCAAAGAAATCGAGGGTGCACAAAATGTGATTTGGCCCGCGTAGGAAATTCTGGGCCCATTTACAGATCTGCACCCTGTATACATGTACGATTGGACGCCATTAAGCTACACATAACCCAAACTGCCATTACTCAATTTCCTTGGTATAATTTATAAAGGCGAATCCAGCCAACAAAAATGTTCGTGTACCTGCTCAAGCAATGCCTACTAATACTGCGGAACCATAATCAAGCATTTGGGGGATTTTGTTCTTTCTTTTCACTTTACGATCCCAGCAGTATTCCACGTATTGTACATTTTGTATTCGCTGTTCACGATCTGAACTTCCCAAGCAATTTTTATGGCCGAAATAATATCATGATCAAATTGTGGCGACTAATCGAAAAGTGCGAGTCCAAAACGCAAAAAAAGATGCATGGCATGGATGCTAATGTGCTGTATACTAGTTTTCTGTAAAGATATTGTGCGCAATACTTTTCAATGAACGATTTCTTCGGCAAAAGAATAGAGAAAAAGAGCAAGAGGAGCTCTGCTCTAAAACCGCCATGGCGCGTAGGATTATGCCTACTTACCAGGGTGTATATTCCTGATGCCGTGGACCCAGAGCGGACATTGTCAAAACAGCAGCATCTCTGCATGATAGCCATGTTGACAGCAGTTGATTCCTAGCTGAGGAGCAAAGATATTGCTTTAATCCTTGTCGATCTGGTCAAGTCGTGTAATAGAGAACACTATAGGTTCAGTGGTGGAGGTGTTGTATGTGCAGAGGTTCGTGACGCACCACGATAAAAATCTAGTCTAGTTCTGCCGCACAGGAAAAACTGGGAGTTGCCACATCGCGATCGCGCGCGTGACGTACGTGTTGCTTTGATGAAGCGTTTTCATTGGTCATTTATGCTGTGAATATAACACACGAACCACCTGCTATATGCGTGGCAACGGTGATGTCAAGCATCTGACCTCCGTGTGGCAGTGACCTTGTAACTATTGTTTGGCCAAGGGACATGTTATTTCGTGTTGGTACTCTCCATTCTAAGTACTATCACCAACACCGATGTACTTCATTGACAAAAGATATGCCTATATCAATAATGAAAATATAGAGAATAAGGAATTCCAAGTTATTCAAACTCTTCGATTAGTCGTTTGTACGTTATTACATTTTAGGTATGAGAGAACCGTGTGCAACGCCGTTAGAAACAAAAATCGCGAAAGCAGTTGCAACACGGTCCACGGACCTAGCAATACAAGACGAGTGAACGAGAAAACCAACGCTCCAGTGGTTGTGAAAACGGCAGTCTCCGCACCACCCCCAAATTAAAATCAAAGTCATATTTTTCACCAATCAATAATCTTTATCACAAATCATAATATCGCACAGATTCCGTTTTGTCGATGTCGTTATTTTGGTCTCAATATGAAGAGTAAATTTTATATACGACCATCTCTTCAATGTTCTTGGAAAGATACTGAATTTGAATGCATTCGTTATAAACCATTAAAATCCATACTGATACCGTCGGTATGGTAAAATTTACTTCCGTACACATAAAACAAATGTTTTGAAACGTTAAGTATGCAACGAAGAGGCTGTACCTGTAGATATTGTCCAATAATCAATTCTTATCTTTACTCTCTGTGAACACAACTCACTATGATTTTTTTTCACAATTCATCACTGCCAAAGACAATCCGCGGAAACTCGAAGGGACAAATCCACTCCAATTCTTACTATTGTAAAAGGAACTCAATATACTATAATATTTCACAGCAAACAAACACTTGGGGAAAAAGACAGTCATAAATCCATAAAGCAATGAGTTTACTGGCATCTAAGTGTTATTTCCCTAAGTTCAATGCAGTCATCGTCTTGCAAAACACAAATAAATTTCACACGTGGAGTACCGAATGATATCATCTGGCAATAGAGTATCAACTTGAAAAGACCGTAAAATGTTCACAGCACAGCACGGCGTTGACAATGTCCAGCAATAAAGATCTAAGATATGGACATTTATTCATTAAAGGTCAATGCATTAGAAGAGGGAGAAATAGGAATATTTACAAACGAATAAACAAAACCCATATGTTTAATGATATAATCATTGCTTTGTGAATATTGCAGTTTGTAAGAGCTTTACTTCATAGTAGCAGAAAGAATGCTTAATCTTAATTTCTGTATAATTATTCAGACTTAAGATCTCTAACGCAGTCGTATCTCTGTTTGATATCCCCAAGGTACTTTGTATGAACCAACATCTTGATATCAAAGATGGAGACATCAGCCTGTTTCATTCCCCAAGAAAACCTCCAAAATTCAAGGTAAGAGAACAACTACAGTAGAACATACGACGGGCATACGACGGAAATACTCATAATGATAATGTAGGAGGATTAAACTCTTTTATTTATGTGTTTTTCTTAAGAAGTCAATTATAAACCAAAAAACAATTGAAATCAAATAATAACACTAAACTGAACGTAATAGCTCTAACACTAAACAACAATAAACATCAGGGCATTGACGTCAGAAATATGTTCCCTTGGTTTTGTGGATATGGCTTATTTGAATATGAATATGTGAAGATTCTATTTAGTAGTATGACAACACCCGGCGGTGCATGGGGGAAAAGCCGTGTAGTTTTCCACTGGTGGTGTGTCATGTGCATATGGGAGAAATGATGCATCATACTCCGCACAATATATGCATGTACACTGTACATGTAATAATTCGCACAGCGGGACTGCGCTCAACAAATGGACGTTGCCAGTTTTGACGACCATAAAGTCTTTGAAAACCCTTAAGAGAAAAAATTGACACTCACATTGTTCAAGAAAGAATCTGCTTTCAAGTGGTGCCCGGTATGCTACTTAAATTGACGCAGTGGCATCATTCAATATCCGAGATTTTCTTTTAGACTAATGCGCCTAGTTCCTCCACCCCTCCCCTCCCCCGGGCTGCCCCACCTTAGACGTGGGGATTGTAAATTTTGAAGCGACAAATCCCCACCCCTCGGGTAAAATTTAAGTGACAATCCCCGACCATGCCCCGACATACATACGTGGGGCACAATAGTGATTGCCTTTCAATGTAGAACGCCTATGGTAAAAAATTAGAGTGACCAAAATCCCCACCCTGGAGCATGATAAACGTGACCAAGTCCCAAAATCGGACCTGGGGCAGCGGGTGGGGGGGACATTTTGATAGGCGCATACCATAGATATGACACAGATTATGACAATCTGTGAAACAGATATGATATTCTGTTTATGATTCAATAGTTACGCAAACAATCGGGAAACTAAAAAGGAAGTTGAATATCTCCAATCCAAAGTTTCATGCTGGTAGGCAAATTGTACAGGGTGAGTCACAGAAATTTAGAAAAATATGTAGCACCGTAAATAATAAAGACTAGAAAGCCAATTTCATAAACTTCTTTTAGATGAAAAAAATGACTGAAAATGCTCACTCTGTTTAAAGAATATCACTATTTAAACGCAATGACCATAAAACCTGTTTCGTCCAACAAAAAAAAAGCAATTTATTCTGACTCTTTGGAACAACAAAGAAAATGACACAGAATTCAGTTTCAACAACTGTAAACAACTGTAGTACACAATATCTTTATATTAACGACCCTGGTTAGGCAAACAGTATGATTTTATCAAATCTACTTTTTTTAAAGACGGCCTTCAAAAGGATTTTTTGTTGAATGTTTTTGATATTTAAACTGAGGTTTTATCGCTGGTGATGTTTGAAGATAATTGTGACGACGATTCTTGAAATCACATTTTTGGATGAAAGAGGTTTTAGGGTCATTATGTGTAAGTGGTGATATTCTTTGAACAGATTGAGCAATTTCAGTATTGTTTAAAAGTAGCTTATGAAATTGGCTTTCCAGTCAGTATAATTTTTTGGTGCTACTTATATTAAATATAATTTTGGGGGTTTGAGTTCCGCTTTTTGACTCACCGTATTACTTGATAGTATAAAAAAGAGAATTGAATATACAAGAGATACCGACCTTAATAGGGCTGTAAGCCTAAGAAGGGAATTGTTACATGGGTGAACACCGGTAAATTTTCGATTTTGATCTTCTCATTGTCCATCGTTAGTCGGTATCACAATATTCCCCTCTGCATTTCTGTGTACTGATCTCATCAGTTTTCATCGACTCTCAAAGCAAGCATGAGAAACAAGGCTCAACAAGTTACGACAATTGCAGCGGCAATGTACAAGTAGTTTAATCGGTTATTTAAGAAAATATGAACTACAGCGAGAAGGAACTATTTCATGACAACTATATTGTAACGTGCGTCGCCTAGTCGGTCCCTTGCCTCTCTGGCCCAGTCCCGATGGAGTTGAAGCACCTGCGGTTGGAGGCCACAGCACCAAGTGACGAACAGCACTCCCAAATCTGCTCCACCAGGGGAAAGCGCTAACTCAACTTGTGTTTGGGATTTAGGGGATTGGGTGGATTAACCTGTGGTTTTGGGTGGATTAGCCTGTGGTTTGGGAGGTTGACTGGTGGCTCTGGGTGGCTGACCGGTGGCTCAGGGTGGCTAACCAGTGGCTTAAGTGGCTCGAGTGGCTCTAGTGGCTCAAGTGGCTCAAGTGGGGGAGACTTACACCCTAATTAGTGACAATTAGACAATAAAACAGAGACAGGAGACTTCTTTGACTTCTTTGGTCCCACCAGGCGAAGAAGTGAGATTTATTCTCTCGAACTGTGCCTTTTATAGGCCAACATGGTCATATACATTCACATACAATAAATGCCCCTCATTACTAAAGTACACAGGGTGCCTCAACCAATGAAAATGCAGTATTGCTTAGTAGATGACTTAAGCCACGCCCATTAACAGCGCTGGCCAATTAAATGCTGATGTTCTAGTATGAGTGACTGGGCACTACAGACAAGTCACTATACAGTTCATGTTAATGTATAAAACGTATAGTTGATGATTCATCACATGACCTCCCCCCAGAGTTTTCAGTCCCTGAAACTGTTGAGTCTTAATTGATTAAAGTTTCCACACAACAACATTTGAAAACTTAAGATTTTGAATCAGAGCCACATCCTTCATTCAGTATTCTTGTATAAAGTTTACAATCTTCACAGCTGACAAAGTGGGTTTAATAAATCTCATAAGCAGCAATATTTGTGCACACAAACCTAGTTTAACAATCATCTTAGAACAACTCTAAAATGGAATGATTATTCCTTTTTATCAACACATGGCTTTATATGAAATAGATGACTTTATATAAAATAGATGGCTTTATATAAAAAAGATGAGCAACACTTTCAAAATACTTCTATAAAAGTCTTCTTAGTACATGTACATATATAACAAAATAAAGTGGTTCATATTAAACCAACTCTTTTAGAAATTTTAACATCAACTGTAAAACGTTTGAAACTTAACTAAACTTTAAAACTTTGAACTTCAAAACTCTTTTAACTTTTATAAATACTTGACAACTTTTGTGTAACTTTATACATGAGCTGGACTTAATTCTCTCATCTCTCTAGAAATAAAAGTCCTGCTTGGCCTCCTTCTGGTTGAACAGGACCCCTCGGCGGAAAACTCTTGTGATGGTGGTTACTTCGATGTGATCTGCCGCCATCTCCCCAGCTGGGTCTTCACTTTCCGTGGAGGAGCTCACTTGGGGCACCATCTCAGTGTGAAGCTGCCTAAGCAGCTTCAATGACTTTCCCCCAGTCTTGGGGTGGCCAGTGCGGCAGTGGAGGTTGAGGTGGAATTGCGGTGGCTGTGGTGGCTGAAGTGGAACTAGCGGTGGCTGTGGTGGCCGGCAG